TACTGAGATGAGGTTAGAGAGAGAGAGAGCAGAGATTGGGTTTATGTAACTCAGCGGTGATACTGAGATGAGATTAGAGAGAGAGAGCAGAGATTGGGTTTATGTAACTCAGGGGTGATACTGAGATGAGATTAGAGAGAGAGAGAGAGTGCAGAGATTGGGTTTATGTAACTCAGCGATGATACTGAGATTAGAGAGAGAGAGAGAGAGTGCAGAGATTGGGTTTATGTAATTTAGCGGTGATACTGAGATGAGGTTAGAGAGAGAGAGAGAGAGCAGAGATTGGGTTTATGTAACTCAGGGGTGATACTGAGATGAGATTAGAGAGAGAGAGTGCAGAGATTGGGTTTATGTAACTCAGCGATGATACTGAGATGAGGTTAGAGAGAGAGAGAGCAGAGATTGGGTTTATGTAATTTAGCGGTGATACTGAGATTAGAGAGAGAGAGAGAGAGAGAGTGCAGAGATTGGGTTTATGTAACTCAGCGGTGATACTGAGATGAGGTTAGAGAGAGAGAGAGAGCAGAGATTGGGTTTATGTAACTCAGCGGTGATACTGAGATGAGATTAGAGAGAGAGAGAGCAGAGATTGGGTTTATGTAACTCAGCGGTGATACTGAGATGAGGTTAGAGAGAGAGAGTGCAGAGATTGGGTTTATGTAACTCAGCGGTGATACTGAGATGAGGTTAGAGAGAGAGAGAGAGTGCAGAGATTGGGTTTATGTAACTGATGTGAGCAGTAAGACGGTCTCAATGCCTGAATTTTAACACTATATCACGATATTGTCATTAATAAAAAACACAATGTATTACAGCTCTGTTTACCTGTACCAAACAGTAACATAGTGAACGCACTCTGCTGGATCCACACAACCCAAGCTGTTTATCTCCAAGGAAGCATTATACATGATAGAGTCAGCACCCAAGCAATGCCATGCACAGCAATCAGCACCCTGGTGTTTTCATATTCATAACATGTTATTTTTGACAAAAAATGTAAACAGGATTGCTGGGCATGTCTGTGTATTATTATATATTGTTGCATGTTATTAGGTATTACAGAGCTTTGTTGTGCATTACTGGACATTGCTAACAGTAACTGTGTTTTACTGGTCATTAACGGGCTTTGCTGGTCATTACTGAGTGTTGCTGTACCTTGCTGGGCATTGCTGGATATTGCTGGTCATTACTGAGTGTTGCTGTACCTTGCTGGGCATTGCTGGATATTGCTGGTTGTTACTGTTTGTTGCTGTATTTTACTGGTCATTGTTGGGCATTGCTGGTTGTTACTGTTTGTTGCTGTATTTTACTGGTCATTGTTGGGCATTGCTGGGCGTTACTGTTTGTTGCTGTATTTTACTGGTCATTGTTGGGCATTGCTGGGCGTTACTGTTTGTTGCTGTATTTTACTGGTCATTGTTGGGCATTGCTGGGCGTTACTGTTTGTTGCTGTATTTTACTGGTCATTGCTGGTCATTACTGGGTGTTACTGTGTTTTGATGGTCATTGCTGGGCATTGCTGGTCAATACTGGTTGTTACTAGGTGTTGCTTTGTTTTATTGGTCATTGCTAGCCATTGTTTGTCATTACTGGGTGTTGCTGTGTTTTACTGGTCATTGTTGGGCTTTGTTGGTCATTGCTAGCCATTGTTTGTCATTACTGGGTGTTGCTGTGTTTTGATGGTCATTGCTGGGCGTTACTGGGTGTTGATGTGTTTTATTGGTCATTGCTGGTTATTACTTAGTGTTGCTGTGTTTTACTGGTCATTGTTAGGCATTGCTGAGCATTGCTGGCCATTACTGGGTGTTGCTGTGTTTTACTGGTCATTGTTGGGCTTTGCTGGTCATTACTGGTCATTGCTGGTCATTACTGGGTGTTGCTGTGTTTTACTGGTCATTGTTGGGCATTGCTGGGCGTTACTGGGTGTTGCTGTGTTTTACTGGTCATTGCTGGTCGTTACTGGCTGTTGCTGTGTTTTGCTGGTTATTGTTGGGCATTGCTGTGTGTTGCTGTGTTTTGATGGTCATTGTTGGGCATTGCTGGTCATTACTGGGTGTTGCTGTGTTTTGCTGGTCATTGTTGGGCATTGCTGGTCATTACTGGTCATTGCTGGTCATTACTGGGTGTTGCTGTGTTTTACTGGTCATTGTTGGGCTTTGTTGGTCATTGCTAGCCATTGTTTGTCATTACTGGGTGTTGCTGTGTTTTGATGGTCATTGCTGGGCGTTACTGGGTGTTGCTGTGTTTTGCTGGTTATTGTTGGGCATTGCTGGGTGTTGCTGTGTTTTGATGGTCATTGTTGGTCATTGCTGGTCATTACTGGGTGTTGCTGTGTTTTGATGGTCATTGTTGTGTTTCGCTGGTCATTGCTGGTCGTTACTGGGTGTTGCTGTGTTTTACTGGTCATTGTTGGGCATTGCTGGTTGTTACCGGGTGTTGCTGGGTTATACTCTGTTTGCTTTGAAGTGTTTCAGGTTACAGTTATTTTCTGTTTGTTACTGGGTTCTACCAGGTGTATATGTGATGTTGTGCATTACTAGACATTGTTACGTGTTACTGATTGTTGCTGAGAACGGCCGGACCAGAGTTTATGGAAAACATTCACAAAGGGTTCACAAAGAGAGTTGATAACAATCATGTATCTGTATTAAACCAATAAAATTTCCTGACCTTTTTCTGAGTATTTTCAACGTGGTTACAATCCAAAAATGTCACCAGCTTTTTATGCCAGTAACACCCATGAAGTTAAAAATCATTATCAAATTAAAACTGGGCTTAACTTCAATCGTCATCGTTAGCCACGTGATCTTAAGATCTATAATATGTGTCCTTAACCTGCTGTGTTCCAAATCAACACTGACCGTGATTTGTATGTTCAGTGCTTTCCACTAATATTGGTAACCTTGGTACATAGGAGTAAAGACGGCTGTAAAAATCGTCTTTATTGTTTAACCTTTTGATCTTTTGTTAAAAAAATACACAGAAATACTCTGCTCCTATGCAAACATGACACCGGTTTGTAAACAATTGCAAACACAACACATTTTTATAAAACAAATATATTTGCTAACTATATGTGTGTCACAATTACTGGCTGCCTTTTAGTCAATACTTTGTGCTACCTCCCTTTGCCAAGATAACATCTCTGAGTCTTCTCACATAATGCCCGATGAGGATGGAGGGTTGGAGAATACATGTCACTGGATCTGAGACCAATCCTCCATACAGAATCTCTCCACTTCTTTCAAATTTCGAGGTTGATGTTTGTGAACTCTCCTCTTCCATTCATCCCACAAGTTTTCTATGGGGTTCAAGTCAGGGGACTGTGATAACCATGGCAGGACCTTGATTTTGTTGACAGTAAACAATTTTTGTGTTGATTTTATTGTATGCTTTGGATCATTATCCTGCTGGAAGATCCAATCATGGCTCATTTTAAGCTTTCTGGCAGAGGCAGCTAGGTGTCCATTTAATATTTGTTGATATTTGATAGCCTTCTTATCAAAATGTCCAGGTCCTCTGGCAGAAAAACAGCCCTGAAGCATTAAAGAGTCACCACCTTATTTAACTTTGGTATGAAGTACTTTTTCAAATGGCAACGTCTCTGTGTGCACCAAACTCACCTTTGGTGATTATTGCCAAAAAACTCTATTTTGGTTTCATGTGACCATAGAGCACAATCCCATTTGAAGTTCCAGTTGTGCCTAGCAAACTAAAGATGGTTGCGTTTGCTTTTGGATGAGAGTAGAGACTTTTTTCTTAAAACCCTTCCAAACAACATGTGGTGATGTAGGTGACTTCAGATTGTAGTTTTGGAGAGTTTCTGACCCCAAAACTTCTGAAATTCTCCACCTGGAATCCTTGGAGATTTTTTGGCCACTCGAACCAACCTCTTCACAGTGCACTGATACCCACTTCTCCTTTCGTGAAGCTCAACAACCTTTTGCCAGACATTACAGCTATATTCCATGGTCTTACCCATCGTGATGAATGGCAAAGGGAATTTGTGAGAAAATGTGTTACCTCATATTTACAACCCTGAAACAGGGAGTCATGATTGAACAATTTCATTTTCCTAGTCACCCAGATGTACTAAACATGCAAAATTTCCATAGTAATATATTCCAATATTTTTCTCATATGAATTCATAATGGTGCCAGTAATTGTGCCACCCATATATTTAAAATTGTTTTTATTTGGATAAACCTGCGTTGTGTTTTCAATTGTTTGATATTCATGAAAGCAGGGTATTTTTGTGTATTTTTTGAACAAAAGATCAAAAGGTTAAACAATTCCCACAGCCTTGTTTGCTCATATTAACCAAGGGTGCCAATATTAGTGGAGGGTACTGTACATACATATCAAGTTCAGTGTCGATTTGGAACACAGCAGGTTAATAACACATATTATAGATCTCAAGATCATGTGACTCGTGATGACGATTGAAGTTAAACCCAGTTTTAATTTTATAATGGTTTGATTTCCAACTTTTTGGATTGTGATCACATTGAAAGCATTCACAAAAAGGTTGCTGTCTTAACGATTTCACTACATTATTTTAGTGTAACAGTTCCTATTTGTCCTATATATGCTTTAGTTGATAAAGACTCAGCATAAATGTTATGATATTCTCGCTAATATCATGAAGTCAAGGCAGTTCTTTGTCTTATTAGTTCTATTCTTGAGCAGAAACTTTCCACATTTTTGTGGTACCCGCTAATTAGTTGAAAATTTCTTTCTGTGGTTTTATTGAGTCTTTTTCAGTGTTGAATTTGACAATTTTCTGTTAATGTTTCGATAAATCTTCTTCAAGATTGTGGTTGATAAAGAATGACTGCTTAATCCACGGGATGCCAGCCTCTGGTACTTGGGCTAAAATCATGACCATCCATTTATAAGCAGAGCCTAAGGTAGACCAGGCAGCCACCAGTCATTGGGGGCTCTCATATGGCATAGTAGGCACCTGTCTACCCTCTGCCAAAAAATATTGTTTGAGAGGGGGGTATGGGCAGTGAGAGAGCTATGTACTTACAGGGATCTGATTCATTCCCTGCATGGTGCCAGGGAATAATCACATGTATAAATACAAAGTATAAAATAAACATATATCCATAATAAAAATAGTCCTACGCTTTTTGTTCGTTATGAACTTCCTCAGGGACCGCAATAAAATAATCACATGTATAAATACAAAGTATAAAATAAACATAAAATAAACATATATCCATATGTTTATTTGGATATAAAATAATCACATGTATAAATACAAAGTATTTATACATGTGATTATTTTATTGCGGTCCCTGAGGGAGTTCATAACGAACGAAATGCGTAGGACTATTTTTCTGCATCCATATCTTATGCTAAATTGGTGACTGCTTATTTTTATACTTTTATTGAATACATTTTTTCCAATTTTCTAAACCCTGACCTGTGGATGCCTTGTGGTGGAACACGAAATTGGAGGTGAACAGAAGGATTGTTTGGCCCCCCATTACACCGGGGGAGGCACCCTGTGAGCTTTTATACCTACTTCTATCTAGTGAGTGCAACCGATAACTGCGCACAGAATATTGTATTTTGTAACAATATTACACTATGTTTTGCCTTATGTTCTCTCTGTAGATTTACACAGATATAAATTGTAATCTTTACATTTGCTTCAATTTTAAAATACACAATGTATAGATTAGATTACATTAATGTTACTGATAGCTGAAACGTCGTCTGTCAGCAAAATCCAATTCACATAACCTCTTGCCATCGAGTGTCTGGGCAAAGCTTAAAGGATTTACTTTCTACTAACCAGTTGTCTTACTCAAAGTGACCTTTCCCATCCGCACATTCTGTGCTTGACAGACCCACTTTATTTTTATTTTTAATATTTTCATTTTTTTTTTTTTTTATTCATTTTTCCATGTGGGCTAGACATATTACATTTAGCATGACACAGAAAATGCAATAGTGAATGACATAAATAGAATGATGTATGCAATGATTCTTGCCCACCATAAAGGTCATACATGCAAAACCAAGAATAGAACAATTAAGAACATCATGAGCCCAGGGAAGCAGATTTTGACTATTTGTATGTCTGAAAGTGAGAAGAAGTATGAAAATTTAACAAAAATGTAAAATGATCTAACCAATTTGGAGGACGGCTGGAAGAGGAAGAATTATGGGCCCAGTAAATTATGCTCACAGGTATCGCCACAGTCGGGCTATAACTTTAACATGTCAGCCTCACTAGAAATAAAAAGTAGGAAAAGCAATTGAACATGGCAAGAAAAGAAACAATAAGCTATAGACAGAACTCAATGAACAAAGGTATGGTTTTCAATAGATCGTGAGACAACCACTGTATTGAGGTCCCAACCGGTTCTGGATGAGGGGCACACTGCCTCTTGCTTCTGAGGAGGAAGTCCTACTGCCCAGAGAAAGCTTGTCACCTCCGTCAGGGAGGATATATGAAAAACTGACCCATCTAGGGAAAGGCCCACCCCACTCTAAAAAAACGGTGCTAAGAATTTTCGCGACTGCTGTCTAAATACAGCATCTGCCATCAGCAGTATTAGACATCTGGGTTCAAACAGTTTATTCCGTACATTGCATGTTTTAACTTAGAACTGATCAGGCACCCTTACCTAGTTCTTGTTTTCAGAATTGGTGCGCACACACACACACGCTCGCACACATACCTGTTGGGAATCATGAACCAGTGAGAACAAACCTTGGTACAGAATTGCTCTTTTTTTGTATATGAACAAGTATGTCTGTCTTTAACTTCTTCATGACAGATGAGGTGCCAAGATTGTCATGATTTCATTCTATCTCCCTCCATTCTTCCTCTGTCTGACACATATACGCAGTTACAACGACTGGCTTGGGAACCACTGCTCTAGTTTATTGTAATCAGAACAGAACAATGTCAGAGGTCAGGGATGGCAGGAACAAGAACAAGATAAAGTGAAATCATCACTTTTATTAACACAGAAAGTTAACAAAAAGTCATTTTAGTTCCAGCCCCAAACACTCAATATAATCCGACTGTTTTAGCAAGCACAGGGGTTGGACAGAGAAGGATTAAAGGGTCACTAGAGGGACCCAGACCACTTCAGCTCATTGACGTAGTCTGGTTGCAGTGTCCCAGGACCCTTAACCCCACAATTATAAATATTGCTGTTTTTGATAAACTTCAATAATTGCTTTGCAGAATTAACTTCATCTCTAGTGGCTGTCCACCAGGCAGCCACTAGAGGAACTTCCAGGTCCTTAGTGGACTTTAGTCCACTAAATGACACTGAATGTCCTGATGGTTTGCATGAGGAGATCCAGCTTCATCCAAAACGCTGCATATGCGCATTAGGTCCCCCCTGCCGTCTGATGTCAGCGGAGAGGAGGAGGCGGAGCCTGAACCAGCGCCAAGGGACATCAGCGCTGGCTCTGGAATCAGGTAAGTCATATAGGGGTTTTTAATCCCATCACCACCATGAGCGGGTGGGGGGATGCGAGGGAGAGGGACAATGCAGATTGGCGAGTTTGGTCCCCTTTCATTCTTGATAGGGATGGTGAACGGGCCAGGATAATTTATGGTTCAGGTGCCCCTCTTTATACCCTGGGGTGAGATGTATTAAAAGATTTTACTAAACCAAATTCCTGTCTGGCACAGATTCAGTCTCAATGAATTTGCAAAGAGTTGGTGGACTGCACCCTGCCTTCATTACCATATTTTTAGTAAGTACTTTTATTAATGATCAAGTAAACAGCATTTCTCTATAGGATTGTTTTAAAAGTTAGATGATCTACATTGATGCCTGTCATTAAATTATATAAATATACAGATCAGAAGTGAAGGCATCGCTTACCTGCTTCTACTCGTTTGCATTCTAGACCAGTGATCCTTAACCTTTGGGTCGTGACCTAACACAGGGCCCCCCTGCAATTTGTAACATGCACTGATACAGTATCTGCTGTTGTGAAGTGTCAGGGCATTCCTGAGTGCAGCAGAGACACATTTCAAACTGAGAAGAGTCTGCCGGAGGTGCTCTTAGAATATATTTTGTTATATACATCGCTTTTGAAACCTGGGCCACTGAGCTTATTCATCAAATGAAGAATGGTTTACTAAGCTGGTGCCATGTATGTAATACTAAAACAAAGGATAAAGGAACTCTAAGTCCATCTCAGTGAAGTGGTCTGGGTGCAGTGGTCCTGTATGTTTTAACCCTTCTCAGCTACTAGAGGTGCTTACTATGCAGCAGCAGAGTTAAACTTGGTCATAAGTCGTGAACATCATTGAATGCAGTGCCTGGGAAATCATTGAATTCAATGTCTTCCTATGAGAAGCATTGACATGGCATCATGTTCCCCAAATCTCCTCTATGAGAAACATTGGACAAACAACAGGGAAGCAATGCCTTCGGAGTGGCCAACAGCACAGAGAGAGACTTGGTACTGGAATAAAGATTTATTACCTTTAGTTTAACTATTTTTACTACAAAGGGGGCACTAATCTAAATAGGGACTGGGGCACTATGTTGTTAAAGACACAGGTTTTTATTCCTAACATTATTGTTATTATTATTATTTTATTATTTATATAGTGCCATCAGATTCTGTAGTGCTGTACAAAGGGATAGTGTTCCTTTGAGAACCATTGGTCTCACCAGAATGGCTTACAACAGAATGGCTTAAACAGAAGAAAATACGCCTTCTGACGTGGCCCAGTCAGAGTCCTGACCTCAACCCGATTGAGATGCTGTGGCATGACCTCAAGAAATCGATTCACACCAGACATCCCAAGAATATTGCTGAACTTAAACAGTTCTGTAAAGAGGAATGGTCAAGAATTACTCCTGACCGTTGTGCACGTCTGATCTGCAACTATAGGAAACGTTTGGTTGAAGTTATTGCTGCCAAAGGAGGTTCAACCAGTTATTAAATCCAAGGGTTCACATACTTTTTCCACCTGCACTGTGAATGTTTACATGGTGTGTTCAATAAAAACATGGCAACATTTCATTCTTTGTGTGTTATTAGTTTAAGCAGACTGTGATTGTCTATTGTTGTGGCTTAGATGATGATCAGATCACATTTTATGACCAATTTGTGCAGAAATCCATATCATTTCAAAGGGTTCACATACTTTTTCTTGCAACTGTAAATCTATATCAGGAATTTAAATAACAGGACTTCTGAAGGATTAAAGGAACACTAGTGTTGGACTACCTATTTAGGTGTCCGCCTCTTCAGAATGGACTAAAAAGGTTTTTAACATTTTCTCCATCTGCTCTGGTCTCACCGCGGCTGGACCTGTCTCAATGGCTAAGAGTGTTGATCTCAGCCAATCCAATGTTTTCCCATAGGAAAGCATTAGGAGGCTCTCGCACATGTGCAGCAAAATGCAGTGCTGTGCCAATCAGCATCTCCTCATAGAGATACATTGAATCAATGCATTTTATGGGGTGTGTTCAGTGTCACCATGTAGAGCATGGAGACGCTGAATGTAGGTGCATGGAAAGCACCTCAAGTGGTCATCTGAGGGACTGTACCTAAAGGAGTTACTAGGCAGCAATGTGAAAATATGTTTATATATGGTTATAGAATGAAGGTGAAGAGTATGTAAGAGTAAATCCAAATGGCAAAATTAAATCTAAAATAGCAGATGTTAAATTTTTCAAAATAACCTTATATAAACTAGCAAAACAGTAATGTTTTAAAGTGTCATTCATTATATATTTGTATACATTTTCTAAATAAAATATATATAAAGTTTGCATAAAATACTTGTGAAATTCCTTTAGGCTGGAGGAAAAGCAAGGTTAATTCTGCAGTATTCTACTATATTCCTCATGCCATTATTCTTTAATTGGGTGATGATTGGGTGAATATTGAAGATTTGCAAGATAATGTGGCAGGATTTCAATAAAATGTATGGATCTGAATTGTGTGAAAATTGTTGAGCCGTTGGCCTTAAAGAGGAACTGTCTGTGGATTTTACACTATTGAATAAATCATTGAAAATCACCTATAATGCGCTATAACCTTTTTCAGGCAATGCTCCATTGTCTTTTTATATGAAAGGTAATGCAAAATGCATCATAATCCAGTTCGAACAAGGCACAGCCAGGGCACACAAAGTAATTAATTTCTCCTCTTCTATATGCTGATTGCCAGGTGCAAAGGACAGAGCTTTGATTGAATTTGACATTGATTATTATTCCCACCTCACAAATATATATTTGTTAAATGTAGGGAATAAGTAAACCTAACGTTAAACATCCTGGGAATGACAGTCCCCGTTTTAAGCACAATTTTAGGGATTGAAAATGAGAGAAGTGAAAGACTAGTCGTGACTTCTATTCCGTGATTCACTGCTTGAAATAGCACTGCTTAGAGGAGAAGGAGGATATCATGTGGGTTATTTTACTAATCTAAAAATTGCAATTGTGATTTGGATAATTTATTTTAAAATTTAGGTTAGTGTAACTGATTTAGAAAAAAATCCCTAATTCGGCCATAGTCATGGCTTTGGTATTTTAGCCAGAATTGTATTAATCATTATTTAATTCCCTACAATTTACTGTTGTAGGGAATTAAATAAGCCCCCGTTTCCTTATACTCGGGCATTGGAGGTCGTTGTCCACATTGATAAAAATAAGACATTCAGTAAGGATGATGACCCTCCATCTGACGTTATTGGCTATTCTTAAAAAAAAATAATAGTGCTATACTTCAAAGACCTTATTCAAAAAACAGGAAAATTCTTAAAGGCAATTTAGCTGTAATAAGAGTATATATAGAAATGTTAGGGACAAAAAGAGCCACAGATTGAAATAGATGGATTACAGGTGGATTTTCGAGGTAAGTGTTAGTATTTATCATTAACATGTCTAATTTTAAACATGCGATATATTGTTTGCCTTTAATAGATCATTATGAAAGTCGTAATATTATATTATTTTTATGTCTTTATGGCTCCAATAATGTATTCAGCGGTTGACACAATCTTTTATTGCAAACTCATGTTTGACAGAGAAATAAACTGATACATATGCTAAAGGGGGCCGTGTTCCCAAGCTGACAGTGTACAGATGAGGATAATTATATATTCATTACAGTATTATGGTGATAGATTGCTGTAGTACTTTGAGAAAGAAATATAGCTTTAGGCAATAACAAAGTTGCATCCCTGAGGCACAAAGTACTGAAATGCGTACAAATCCTCCACCCTACCACATACTGGGTGAGGAAGGTGGGCTATTTACTTAGTGCGGGGGAGGCCATTGGATCCCCCGCATACAATTAGTGGCTTTGCATAGGAGGAGGTCTGTCAAAGTTTCCCTGTGCAATATGGGGGCTTAGAATGGACTAGATATATATATGCAGGTAAAGAGAATACACATGAATATACAAGGTAATAGAAATATCAGTAATAATATATTATTGCTCTTGAGAAAATTATTTTCAAGTCAATAACAATTCAACTCACCCCTATCCCCCCACCTCAATTTCACATGAACATGAGTGCTCACTACTTTCTAGCTTCAAGAGAGAAGGCACCTTATGAACAGGACCAGATCTGCACCGTCCCACCCTGTTTAAACCAACACCTCTACAGTTCCCATCTCATCTCAAATTCTACAGTTTTAGTAGTTTCAAGTTGCTCCATAGCCACACATACCTGTATCAGTGAAAGTATTGCAGTAACTAATTGTCATTTTCTGCAGTTTAAAAAAACAAAACAGATTGACAGACCTGCTTTCTCTATTTTTGAATAGAAACATACCTGTAGGCATCAATTTGTGGCTTAAAAAGGTGCCAACATTGCAGGGTTCCAACATCCCTGATTGTCACTTCCCCCAGCCTTCACCACAATCTTCTATCTTACAATTGACAACCAATGATTTGAATGGATCTGAATATGTCATCCTTAATAACACAGATTTAAATTCCAATGGGTCTTCTTCAGTAATGACAAACATATCATAAAAGTTAATGACATATTACACATGTTAGCACAGTTCATTTAATTCAACTCCTGCTGATGGCTCATAAGATAGTGATCAAGATTCTATAAAGAATTCCTACGTTTTGTATGCTGTGAGGGTACAAGATGCCAGATTTGGTGGCAATCTACCTCAGGTTAAAGAAAGTTTTGACTTGGTGCCCCCACCAGCCAGTAACTGTAAAAGTCCTCCTTTAAACATCTTAGTTGTTAGCATAATCATCACCTCCAATGCAACACCCATTGCAAAATCCAAAGACAACACTGTGTTTATTCCCTCAGATGGTGCCACCTTCTAGGTTATTCTATCCATTCTACAACAATAAGGAAGAAATGTTTCTGGTTTTTATAGAGTTCAAATAATCCCTCTAGTTCATTATAAATACTAGTACCCATTTTAATTGTTTTGCTCCAAAGATACATTGTTATAGGTAAATGGATAGATGAATAATCAGATAGATAGATAGACAGATTTATAGATAGATAGCCTGGACATGACTCTGAGTGCTCTTGATGAATAGGTCAATTTATTGAGCATGCAGCAATATAGACAATACTGGGCAGTTACTAATGAACTCTCCTGAGATGTAGACTTTATAGTTCTGGTATTGTACAAGGGGTGTGGACCATCCCCAGATCATATCTACTAATATAGTTAAGAACTGTAAGTTTCTAGTTAACAATATCTATTTCTAGGCAAAAAAGGTTAAATGCAGAAGAAAGCTAAAAACAGCAGTCCTTTGGTCTGGACTTATGGCCATAGCAACACCTCCTGGCAAAACACAGAGTGAGACAGGTGTCTGTCAAAGAAAAGACACTCTAATGGTCCCCCTCCCACATTCTCCACCAAATCTGAATCTAAAACAGTTCTTGAGTGCAGTTCTGATACAGATATTAAATTAATGCAGGCACAGAAAATGGCGTTGGTACAGTTCATAACAGGATGATGGTAGGTAAAGAGCAATTTTCCGTTCACAAAAGGTTCCCATGGGAACAGAGAGATAAGTATGTGATTATTTGCTGGCAGGATACATAGTAAATTAACTTATGGGTTTTAATGTGCAATTGAATTAATTTTCTTAATGCAAATCACACTGTCGCGGTTTGTGGTTTAAATACTGAAAAAGAGAATATTATCTTCATTTGGTTGCCTAGTAACTGCTTGCAGTGTTATTCCGAGCAGATCTCCTTGTACAAGACGGAATGTCATCTAACGGGTCTGGGTGGGATTGCAGTACATTGCAGAATAAAAGAACAATGGGTGAGAGGAATTATGCAACCATGTCCATGCTATCACATTTTATAGCCACAGACAATGAAGGACAAAGTGGCTTGTTCAAGGTCAAAACACCATTGATATGCTACGCTATCCTTTTCAGATTAGGAACTGTCATCCTCTGGTATTTTGACAGTTCTGGATATGCATTCACATAATCCTCTAAAGTCTTCCAGACTGATTAAGGATGATGGGAATTTTCTTCCAGAACAGTAAGGGAGGTATATGTATTCCTTGTCTGCTTAGCAGTCTAACAATTTATAGTTGCTAAAAACCAAAAGAGGGGCAAAGGTTTAAAAATAATTTCAGGAAGTATTACTTTACAGAGAGGATAGTGGATGCATGGAATAGCCTTCCAGCTGAAGTGGTAGAGGTTAACACACTGACGGAGTTTAAGCATGCGTGGGATAGGCATAAGGTTATCCTAGCTATAAGATAAGGTCAGGGACTAATGAAAGTATTTTGAAAATTGGGCAGACTAGATGGGCCAAACAATTCTTATCTGCCGTCACATTGTATGTTTCTATGTTAATTTGCTAAACCATGAAATGCAATGAATTAAAAACCTAAAAGTTTAGGCCACAATTGATAGGTTAGAAAATTTTCCAAATAAGCTGCAATTCCTGCTTGTATTTTTTGACCCTTGTTTTCCAATTCAGGTTTTCATTGCAGAAAAAAGCAAAAAAACTTTCATGTTTAGTAACTGTTAACTACCATTTGTATCCATTTCTCTATATTCTTTAATTGCTTGCTTTATCTTTACGTCTTTATGTTGCTTGTTCCAGTAAGGTTATTATAATTAATTATTACCCTGATTTATGTGTTAATTGTGACATTTATAGAGAAGTAATGAAATCTAAAAAGAAAAAATAATAGCAACATCTGTAAGTTAAAAATAATAATAATTGCAATTAACTGGCATTACTCACTAAACTCCGAAATTTAGTGAATTAACATCTAATGGGAAAATGTAATCTAAAATAGCCAAACTGTGTCCAAAATTGAGAAGGAGAATTTTTCAAAATCAAATATTTATTCCTATATTATGCAACTGAGATTGAATTTACTAAATTAAGTGTTTAATGAATAACGCTCACAGAGTCAAATGAGTACTATTGCATGTCACTAGGTCCCATTGCTAAAAAAAAAAAACAGTGGTACCTGGTGATGTGTAGTAGTCCTTATTTGACCATTTAGTAATATTAATTCAGCTTTCAGTAGGGAAGGTTGTTAGACAGGCTAATGTTTCTTATTCAGCCAGTTCCAGGAGATGATAAGGGTTTTATTGTCTTTTCTGTTGGAGTTATCAACAGGAGACCAACTGAACGTGCTCCTATAATTAATCATACATCACTACACCACATATCTGTCTGCTAGGTCCATAAACCTTGCCAACAGGCTGTAATAGCATTGACTCATCCTGAACTGCTTGCCAGTAGCAGATTGCTGGAGTGGAATCTGTCTGATCAAGTTAATAAGAATTTACCACTCCATTAAATGATGGGGAATCATTTCACTTGCATGGCTGGATTCCTAGCAACCCCCCCTTTTTATGTGATGTCTCATGTTACTTTAAGCACGTCCCCTGTAAGCTGATACCATAAATAATGCTTCCCCTGGCCTAACAGTCATTTGAAGGATATCTTTTAGCCAGTGTTCCATTTGAAAGCTAAGGATTCCAACATGTTGAACGGTGACATGACCATGCCTTTGACTTGTTCTCATTGTAACAATGTAGGTTTCCTGCAGAGGAACAACAGTTTGGAGGACAAGAGCAGAATTGTGAGTTCTTTCAAAGAGAGACAGTCTTCCAAGAACGTTCTGGTCTGCGAGAATATCGATAAAGACTCCAGGTTTCGTCGCGCTGAGACAGATTTCTCCAATCTGTATGCCAGAGGTGAGGATTCACAAGTTATCCTTTCTTTAATTCTGTACGTTAAGTAAATGTACCTTAAAAAGTATTTGAGAAAGAAAACTCAACTAGCAGGGTTACTCCATATAATATTCAAATTGTAGGTTAAAACAGCTGAAATGAGGAATAATATCCATGTCAGCTCAGCTACTTTGGCATAAAATTTGAAATTTTCTTTGTATTCTTGACAGTTGACATTGTAGTGAACAACATACTAACTATAGCAAAGTCAATGTGTTAGATATCTCAAACCTGTTATACATTAGCTCTATGTGACATGTATCGGAGGTCTATTCATTAAATAGTAACATGTGCCATGTTGGCCAAAAGTGCAAAACAATATTTATAAAATCTCCAACTCGGCTAAATTTAATATTTTAGTTGAACCTCCTATTTGACCTGCATTCTGCAATAGGTTGTTTAGTTAACATATTCTTAATGTATCTGTGCAGGAGTATTGTACTTTACTTCTATATAGCATCATCTACAGAATTATTCAAAACAGCTGATATATTAAATCTGACCAGCAGCTACGCTCTTTCTAATACTAACAGGAACTGCACAAAGGTGTGGAAAAAGTTTAAAGTTAACTACAGAAGGAAATCACAGGGAAAAGGTCTTATGCTTTTAATACAAGTCTTATATACACAGAAGAGAACAGCCAGATATACAAGTCAGTCCCAGTTTAGTAAAGATTGAAAAATTTAAAATAATGCAATGCAATTGCCAATCTATAGACAGTTACTAAACGTCACATCAGTAATCACTTAACAGGCAACCATCGTTAAACAGACAATCAGCACAATAGCCGGGACTGTACAATTATGAAGGTGGTAGCACGGAATATTTTAAACACTATATAGAATCATTCACCTTATTCAACAAAGCATGACATTGCCTCTCATTACAGTTGTATAATCTTCTTGTTTGGAAATGCGTGAGAAAATATCTAAACTTTATTAGGTGTAGTACACGGTTGACAAGATATATGGACGTTAGACTTGAAACATGAATTTACTTGTAAGGAATGCTCTGACTCTGACTGATCTAGAAATGATGTATGCATGTATCAGGAGAGGTACAGATGTTCAAAGTGGAGGAATTTCCTTCACGTTTGGAACTTTGCAAAGAGACACGTTAAATAAGATGGCATTACACTGGCAATAAAATATTATCACTTATTGCATAAAAAAGAAAATAAGAAATAGCTGTATAATGCTTAATCTTAGTAACACGGCCAAGACTGGGAGCCAGAGATCAGACAGAGAAAAATGGCTGATTCCAAATGAGCAGCTACTACAACTGTCAAAGTGATGTGTGATAGCACGCTTAAGATTTTGTCTAGACAATTTGTATTCTCGAACCTCAGTCATATATAAATATCCTAATATCTGGCAGACACCCACTATGTGGTGATCTGTCAACCGCTCGGAGGTTTCAAGGCAGGTTGCTAATAGCTGTTTTGCTTCGTAGATTTACTGCCTGCCAAGAATGGAGAGGAATCTACCATGCAATTCTTGCTCGAAGTGGTGGACATACTACTGAACTACGTGAAGAAAACATTTGACAGATCCACCAAAGTACTTGACTTTCACCATCCGCACCAGCTTCTGGAAGGAATCGAAGGTTTCAATTTGGAGCTGTCTGACAATCCTGAGTCCTTGGAGCAGATTCTAGTGGACTGTAGGGATACACTCAAGTATGGCGTGCGGACAGGTAATTTATTTATTTATAAAATATTTTACCAGGATGGATACATTGAGATTTCTCTAGTTTTCAAGTATGTCCTGGGTCTTTGTCCACAAAACATTGCATTGTTACAATAGGATACAATATTACAAAAATACAACATACAAACTATATATATACATACACACATAGATAAATTTAACATTATTTATTTATTTATAAAATATTTTACCAGTAAAGATACATTGAGATTTCTCTCGTTTTCAGGTATGTCCTGGGTCCACAAATCATTGCATTGTTACATTAGGTACAACAAAATACAAAAACAATATTAATACACAATATATACAAAATTTAACATAGAACAGGCAGGAAATATATAATCAACCATGACACGTGCATTCTGTTTTGAGGTATGTAGAGAGGGATCTCTTAAATGACTTTAGGCTTAGGGAAGATTTTAAATTGTGCAGGAGGTCGTTCCACAATTGCGGTGCTCTATAGGAGAAGGAGGATCGGGCCGCTTTCTTTTTGTATTGAGGTAGACTAAGTAAAGTACTTGTACTGGATCGGAGCTTATAGAAAGTGGGAACAGCTGGGGAAAGCATTTTGTTCAGGTAGGGTGCGAGTTTCCCAGAAAAGCTCTTAAAAACAAAGCTGAAGGGTGCGTCTGGATTCCAGCGATAGCCAATTTAGTTCTTTTAGCATGTCACAATGATGGGTCCTGTAATTACATTGTAGCACAAATCGGCAGAACGAGTTATACAATGTGTTGAGTTTATTAATGTGGGATTGCGATGCAGATGCATATACTACATCCCCATAATCAATGATTGGCATCAGTATTTGCTGTACAATCTTTTCCTTTACTGTAGGGCTTAGGCAGGCTTTGTTTCTGTACAGGGCACCTAATTTTGGATAAAGTTTAGATGCAAGCTTTTCTATGTGCAGGCCAAAAGATAGATTGGGGTCTAATATCATACCCAAGTATTTGAAAGAGTGGACTGCGGTCAGTGTGCCATTTGAATTTGTTTTGATGGATAGGTGGGAATTGTGTAATTTGTGTAATTTAGGTACTGTTCCAAAGATCATTGTGACAGTTTTGTCAGTGTTCAGGAAGAGTTTGTTTTTTGCGATCCACTTTTCTACCTCTGTAAACTGGTCTTGGAGCACAGCCTCACGTTGCGGTAGATTGGATTTGCTCGCATAGATTACCGTGTCATCTGCGTACATGTGTACATTTGAGGATTGGCAGACATTAGGCAGATCATTTATAAATAATGTAAATAGTAGGGGGCCGAGAATGGAACCCTGGGGAACACCACACGTGACTGGGAGAGGGAGGGAGTCACTGTCAGAAATGGACACATATTGCGAGCGATCCGATACATACGATCGAAACCAGTTTAGAGAATGATCACCAATACCTGATTTTTTGAGTTTGTGCAGTAGAATGTCGTGGTCTACTGTGTCAAAGGCCTTAGCAAAATCAAGGAAAATAGCTCCAGTTAGGGCTCCTTGTTCCATGCCAGTTTGGATGTCATTGCAAACTTTTAGGAGGGCAGTTGTAGTGGAGTGATTCTGGCGAAAGCCCGATTGATCAGGGGTCAGATAGTTTAATTGTTGGTAGTACTCACAAAGTTGCGTATGGACAAATTTTTCTAAGATTTTTGACAATACCGGGAGCAATGATATTGGGCGATAGTTAGAAACCAAAGTAGTGTCCCCACTTTTATGGATAGGCACTACTCTCGCAGTCTTCCAAAGTTTGGGTATGTATCCAGACACCAAGGATTCGTTAATTAGAGTTGAGACGGCTTTAGCAATTGCCGGCGCACTGAGCTTCAACAGCATTGCTGGGATTTGATCAGGTCCGGACTGGTTTTTCATTTTTAGATTATTAAGATGTTTTTTAATGACACTAACAGGTACAGGTCTAAAAATAAACTTGTCTATATTGGGCCTTTGCAAATTTAGTGTGACTTGCAGGGACGTATTAACCGCGAGGCAAACAAGGCATTTGCCTTGGGCGGCATTTGCCCAGGGCAGATGCCTTGTTAGCCTTGCGGCTGACATCCCGGGCGGCCGGCGAGGGAGTACTTCCCATGAGCTGACTGCTCAGCTCCCTCGCGCACCGCAAAGTGAGGCTGGGAGCCGGAAGATGACGTCATCTTCCGGTTCCCAGCCTCACTCTGCAGCCGACGCGCGAGGGAGCTGAGCAGTCAGCTCATGGGAAGTACTCCCTCGCCGGCGCCTGCCAGCGCCGCCCGCCCTGCAGCCACTGGACCACCAGGGAGAGAGACCCCCCACCCCCCAACACTCCCAAAGGTAAGGAGGTTGGGGGGGGATTTAAATTAAAAAAAAAGTTAATGTGTGTGTGTGTTTGTGTCTGTGTTTGTGTCTGTGTATGTGTCTGACTGTGTGTGTGTGTGTTTGTGTCTGACTGTGTTTGTGTCTGTGTATGTGTCTGACTGTGTGTGTGTATCTGACTGTGTGTGTGTATGTGACTGTGTGTGTCTGTGTGTGTTTGTGTGTGTGTTTGTGTCTGACTGTGTGTGTCTGACTGTGTGTGTGTGTTTGTGTCTGACTGTGTATGTGTGTGTGTGTGTGTCTGACTGTGTGTGTGTTTGTGTCTGACTGTGTCTGTGTATGTGTCTGACTGTGTGTGTGTGTGTTTGTGTATGTGTCTGACTGTGTGTGTTTGTGTATGTGTCTGACTGTGTGTGTGTGTATTTAGAAGGTGGGGCGGGGGGAAGGGTTGGGTGGGGGTGGCGCGGGGGGGAGGGGGGCGCCTGAGTTTTGTCCTGCCTAGGGCAGCACAAAACCAGGATACACCACTGGTGACCTGATCCACACCATATAACAGGTGATTAATATATTCAACCATGACAGGTGCATTCTGTGCTGAGGTATATTGCCATAGATCTCTTAAAAGATTTTAGATTAAATGAAGATTTGACTGTGTCCCTGAGGTTATTCCATAATTGTTTGCTGCGTATGCGCTGTGCAAACAGTAGTCGTCTATATACAGTGAGAGTCTTTCTTGTAGCTCATCTGTGATGGAATGCAACGTACATGGTTTACACTAGCATACAGTACGAGTACACACACGCATACACATGCAGATGAGCAGAGGTAGAAGTCAATCACGCTGACACTAGAACACATGTACTCACAAAGGTAATAAAACAAGAAAATCATACCACATACTACACGCAAACACTGCACACATATAGAAACGGTACAAGCACAATTAAAACAAGGAATAGCAAAAGTGAATGCTCAAAAAAAAAAAAAACATGGCGGATTCTGTAGTTCCTGATACCTACCATTATGTTGTTACAGGAACAATAGAAGTTAAGTATAAAAAGTGTCTGTTCTGAATAGTGGTACCGACATGGAAAAGGGGAGGAGTCACCAGAGCAATATGTCTGCTGGTTTATCTGGTTTCCATGGTGACTGCCCACTTCTAGCCTACCTATTTATACATAACTCCCAATATATGCTCTTAGGTCGGGCAGCACTCTACTCTCTCCTCCAGTTCTGCTTCACTCACAGCCTATTTGAATGATATTTCCTGTCCTATTGTGTTTTATACCCCACTTCCTATAGACTGTAAGCTCGTTTAAGCAGGGTCCTCTTCAACCTATCACTCCTGTAAGTTTTCTTGTAATTGTCCTATTTATAGTTAAATCCCCCCTCTCTTATAATATTGTAAAGCGCTACTGAATCTGTTGGCGCTATATAAATGGCAATAATAATAATAATAAAACCAAACTGTATTTGCGGAGTATTGCATGCATATACATTCACACATGTAAACAAACCAGTTGTTTGCAAAAAAACAAGCGTAAAATGCACACACTAAAAAAAGGGGGGAATACTTCCTGCAGAGTGCTAAAGAAAGGGAGGGCCAATCCCTGAAGACATCAAATGGTAAAAAAAAGATTTATCCAGGAACACCTTAGGTTTCTTCTATTATTATTATATTTATATAGCGGCAACAAATTCCATAGTGCTGTACAATGGGTGGACTAACAAACAGGTAATTGTAACCAGACAAGTTTGACGGACAGGAACAGAGGGGTTGAGGACCCTGCTCAGTCATCTTACATGCTAGAGGGAGTGGGGTAAAGTGACACAAAAGGTAAGGCAAGTATTAGGGAAGTAGATTGGTAGAATAGTATTCAATGAAGACTTTGTGTGTTTTTTTTTTTTGTAGCCATTAACAGTTTAATTGATACACTTTTGTGAAAAAGTGAGGTTTTAATGATTTTTTTGAAGGAGTGGAGACTTGGTGAGCGTCTAACGGAAAAAGGAAGGGAGTTCCACAGGAACGGTGCAGATCTAGAGAAATCTTGAAGGCGAGCATCAGAGGTGGGAGTATGAACAGAGGATAGACGTAGGTCTTCGCCAGACCGTAGGGGCCTAGACGGGACATACTTGTGTATTAGGGAGGATAAATAGGTTGGAGCAGCATTATGTAGAGATTTGAAAGCAAGAACCAGAATTTTTTATTGAGCCCTATATCTTACGGGAATCCAGTGCAGGGACTGACAGAGGGATGAGGCATGGGAGCTGCGGCTGGACAGGTAGATGAGCCTCACCGCCGAATTCATTATAGACTGCAATGGGGCAAGTTGGCATCACGTAAGACCACTGCAGTAGTCAACACGAGAGAGGACAGTGGCATGGTCCAGCACCTAAGCCGCATCTGGCATTGAGTAGGGGCGGATGTGCGCAATGTTTTTGAGATAGAAGCGGCAGGATTTGGCAATCGACTGGACATGAGGGGTGAAGGAGGGGTCGGAGTCAGAGAGAACACCTAGGCAGCGAGCCTGCGTGGTGGAGCTGATGGTAGCACCAGTAACGTGGAGGGAGACAGAGACGGGAGTAGCAACACTTGAGGGAGGAAAGACCAGAAGTTCTGTTTTGGACAAGTTAAGTTTAAGGAAGTGGGCAGCCATTCAGTTAGAAATAGCGGATAGGCAATCAGAGACACTAGTCAAGAGGGGCAGGGAGAGATTGGGGGAGGACAGATAGATTTGTATGTTATCTGCATAGAAGTGATATTGGAAGCCAAAGGAGCTGATGAGTTTACCAAGGGAGGCAGTATAGATGGAGAACAGTAGGGGACCAAGGATTGAACATTGGGCGGCACCAGCAGACAGAGGTTGGGAGGAAGAGGCAGAGCCAGAGAAAGAAACACTAAAAGAGTGCTGAGTGAGGTAGGAGGAGCACCAGGAGAGAGCAATATCTCGTAGACTGAGATTATGCAGAATGAGAAGAAATTGTTGATGATCAACAGTATCAAAAGCAGCGGAAAGATCAAGGTGTATTAGGATAGAGTAGTGACCCTGAGATTTTGCAGTGAGTAGATCATTTGATACTTTGGTAAGAGTCGAGCGCAGAAACCAGACTGAAGTGGGTTGAGCAGAGAATTGGACTTGAGGAAGTCTGTCAATCTCACATACACAAGTCTTTCAAGGATCTTGGATGCAAAAGGCAGTAGCGAGATAGGGTGGTAGTTGGATGGGGAGTTAGGGTCAAGGTTGGGCTTTTTTAGAATCGGGGTTACAGTCGCATGTTTAAAGGATAATGGAAATATACCAGATGAGATGGAGAGATTGAGAATTTTAGTGAGAGGTAAAGCAAGAAAAGGAGACAGAGTACAGATGAGATGCGAGGGAATAGGATCAAGGGAGCAGGTGATGTGGCAGGAGGACCGGAGTAGATCAGAAACCTCTTCCGCTGTAGCGGGTGCGAATGAACATAGAACAGCGGAGGGAGGGAGGTTGGGGGAAGTACTGTAAGAGGAAGGAGATAGATGAGAGAAGTGAGTGGTAGGAGGGGAAGGAGCAACAGGGCGAAGAAGAGAGTTAAAAGTGTGAAATAGTTGTTTTGGTTCGAGGGAGAGTATGGTTATGAGGGTATTGAAGTAATTTAATTTTGCAAAGGAAAGAGCCAAGCTGTAAGAGCGCAGCATAAATTTATAGTGGAGAAAGTGAGATGAGTAGTGAGACTGATTTTATAATTCGGATGTGACGGCAATAGTAGCCACAGAGAAACACAGAAAGTCACTGATATCCATAGAATACAGCAACTTGCTATTACACTCTACTTGGCTTTCACTATCTCTCTACCTGGCTATTGCTATTCATCTCTATTTTCTGGCTATCATTATCTCTGTTTCTCTCCCTTGATCTGGCTATCAATATCTCCCTATGTGGCTATCACTATCTCTCTACGTGGCTATCACTATCTTTACATCTGGCTATCACTAACTCTCTATCTGACTATCACTATCTCTCTATCTGGCTATCACTATCTCTCTATCTGACTATCACTATCTCTCTATCTGGCTATCACTATCTCTCTATCTGGCTATCAATAACTCTCTATCTGGCTATCAATAACTCTCTATCTGACTATCACAATCTATCTGACTATCACTACCTCTCTATCCAGCTATCACTTTCTATCTGTCTGGCTATCACTTTCTCTCTATCTGACTATCACTATCTCTCTCTATATGGCTATCACTAACTCTCTATATCTGGCTATCACTATCTCTCTATCTGGCTATCGCTATCTCCCTATTTGGCTATCACTAACTCTCTATCTGACTATCACTATCTGTCTGACTATCACTATGTCTATCTGGCTATCGCTTTCTCTCTCTATCTGGCTATCACTATCTCTCTATCTATCACTATGTCTATCTGGCTATCACTATCTCTCTATATCTGGCTATCACTATCTCTCTAGCTGACTATCATTATCTCTCTATCTGGCTATCAATAACTCTCTATCTGGCTATCACTATATCTCTATCTGGCTATCAATAACTCTCTATCTGACTATCACTAGCTTTCTCTCTTTATCTATCACTATCTCTCTATCTGGCTATCAATAACTCTCTATCTGACTATCACTAGCTTTCTCTCTTTATCTATCACTATCTCTCTATCTGGCTATCACTATCTGACTATCACTATCTCTCTCCAGCTGATTATCGTTATCTCTCTATCTGACTATCACTATCTCCCTATTTGGCCATCACTATCTCTCTATCTGGCTATCACTAGCTCCCTATTTGGCTATCACTATCTCTCTATCTGACTATCACTATCTGTCTATCTGACTATCACTATGTCTATCTGGCTATCGCTTTCTCTCTCTATCTGACTATCACTATCTCTCTATCTGGCTATTAGTATCCCTCTATCTGGCTATCACTATCTCTCTATCTGGCTAATGAGATTTCCTCCCTATCTGCTCTTACTATCTCTCTGTTTTATATAGATATTACTGTCTATCTGTCTCTCCCCATCTCACTTCTATTAAGTTATAATATCTTTATATATGTACAGTAATCGAGTCTAGTTCTAGACATCTTTCACGTTAACATTTTGCTAAAAAGATTGCCATTCTCATAAAACACAAACCTGTAAGAATCCCAGGGGAAAGATATCATTAGCCTGAATGGCAGCGGATTCAAAGTGATTCTACTTTCAGTACACCAGAGGCATGGATATAAAGGCTATCAGTGGGACATCAAGCATTCACTTTCATTAGAAGTTCACTAGAAATACAGTCATGTGTTTCATTTCACACTTTATGGATAATCTACCGCAGCTATACACATAATGTCTAGTCTAGTACATCTTAATGAAAACCGTCTCAATATGCTAAATTCTGGTCCAACATGATGAATATTTTAACAGGGATTATTCCTACAGGGAGCTAGAATTGCTATATAGTCGTTTTGTGTTTACAAAATGGAAACATCTATCAATGAGCTTTTACTTCTGAAACAAAAAAAAAACTATTATTCAAAAACTACAGTAAGAGGAAAATCCATCCATTTATGGAAATAAGCAAGGTGAAAAAAAGTTATCTTATCTAATATACATTTCTAGTCTAGACAAAGCAACCAGATATATTTCATGCGACTTATCAGAAAAATGAACTTAGTGTGCTATAAAAGCTATGATAAATATTGTGTATCTTTATTTTCTTGCTGACGCGTTTAATGTAAAAAAACGAAAATAGTGAACATATAGCGCCTCTATCATGACAAATATAGAAAAAAATGGGCAATCAAAATGTAGCTTGCGCATGAAAAGAACACGTTGGTATGTATTTTACTATTTGATCAGCAAAGACTGCACTATGATTGCAAATGTAACGATTACACTTGGAGGAAAGTGGTATATTTTACATCAACTTCCAATTATTATTATTATTGGCATTTATATAGCGCCAACAAATTCCATAGCGCTTTACAATATTATTGGACGGGAAGATTTCACAATAAGTGAGACAATTACAAAAACTTACAGGAGCGATAGGTTGAAGAGGACCCTGCTCAAACAAGCTTACTGTCTAGAGGAGGTGGGGTATAAAACACAATAGGACAGGAGATAGCAATCAAACAAGATGGGAGTGAGGATCTATGTAATAAAATGTATGGCTTAAGGATACGCGATCTTGCTATATGGATAATGTTTAACTATACTTTCCATAAATGTCTCTCTTTCTGATCTAATTATAGAATAATGGGCGGTTTATTCGTTTCGTAGATATATTGATGATATGACAATGTGTTAACGTGGGCTTCTTCTTAATCTAATTGTATCTGATAGGACGTGTTAGTATTATAAGAACAGTTCAGATGAAAAGTAGAGTTGGGAAACTCTCAAAATAGTGATATAAGGAAAGTATATGCATCAAAAATAAGTATTTTTGTGATTTATTTTATTTTGAGTATGGTTGTGCATTTCTTATATTTATTACTAATTCTTTATTTGATTTAGAAATTACTATTGGTGCTCAATGCACAAATACTAGTAATTATTTGTTAGTGTGTTGCACATGTACATCACATTATTTCTTAAACAGAACCTGTCTTCAAAAAACAAAATCACATTTACATTTAGAATGTTATAGATGTAATCTATATACTATGCTGGAGAAATTGTCAGGTGAGTGGTTCTCATTACCGTGGTAGGATCCGAAACGGAGTCCCCATGTTTTTTTCAGTGGATCCCTTTTGGTTGTGTAGGTATATGTTAGATTTATCAGGTGTATAATGGCAATTTTAGTCCGATCTGGAATGATTAAGAACCACTGAGTTAGACAGACCAACTCCCATTGGAATTGTAAAGTTAACTTGACTGCTGAAGTTCGCAGATGTCAGTGTATGAAAGGATCCTAAACAAGTTCAGACCTCACAGACATCCTGTTTGGAAGTGAAATATTTTTGTTCGAGCAATGCAATGTCTGGACCAGGGTGGGTTTCTTTTTACAAAACATTTAGTCACCAACATTCCCTTCGATACAGTATTGATGCAATTCTATCTAGGGTAGTAGCTGGTTTACGAACCGAGTCCTTAAGTCCAACAGTTGAAGTTTTGTCAGTAACTCCACTGGAACAGAAATGCCAATCTCCTGGACTTTTGGTGTGTCTTAAATACTGATTTTGGCACCACATCTCTAGGGTTTACTTAAAGGACCACTATAGTGCCAGGTAAACAAACTTGTTTTCCTGGCACTATAGGGTTATTAGGTCCCCCCCACCCTCAGGGGGGGACCCTCACGATAGGCTAACGGGGTTAAAACCCCTTCAGGCACTTACCTTAATCCAGCGCCGGGCTCCCTCAGTGTTGGTGACCTCTCCTCCCCCTCTGATGTCAGCTCCCGTCGCGGAAGCGCCTCTAGCGTCTGTCAGGAAGACTGCCACTAGAGGCTGGATTAACCCTGCAATGTAAACATAGCAGTTTCTCTGAAACTGCTATGTTATCTGAAACTGCTATGTTTACAGCTGCAGGGTTAAAACCTGGGGGACCTGGCACCCAGACCATTTCATTGAGCTGAAGTGGTCTGGGAGACTAGAGTGGTCGTTTAATATTAGGCTTTATAATCAGTTTAATATAAGCTAGTTCCACCTTTATCCTATAATGTTTAAAGAAATATATACACATATATAGCTTGAATGCTTTGTCTTAAAATAAGGCTAGATAACAAATGTGTCAATTTGTTTCAGGTCACCCTCGATTCTTTAACCAGCTTTCAACTGGACTGGATATTATTGGATTGGCTGGGGAATGGCTAACATCAACAGCTAACACAAATATGTAAGCACTGTAACACTATGTTATTTTCTGTTTGTAATGTTCCATTGTCCATAAAACAGAAGTGGTGTAGAGATATAATGACAGACGGTGCTCCATCTAGACCGATGTTTATATCACCACCAGCAGTCTTATTTTGGTAGGCATCCTTCAGCAATCAAGATGTTGTGGACTACATGTTGACTACAAGAACATTATGGGACATGCAGTTCACCCAATGTGGAGTGCTGTAGGTTGTCTACCTCCTGGTATAACATATTCTCTGCCTCAGAGATCCCAAACTTCCCCATATTTCCTTTTTTTGTCACTTACATATAGGGTTCATGCCCATCCTGCTCAGAGACCAGACGCTATTTTTTCTCCCACCTCTTCTTTAAGTTCTTCCCCATGTCCCATACTTCATCGCTGCACGTTTGTTGTATGACAGTTTCGCTGTGAAAGAACAATACATTGCAGTTACTGGTTAAGTTGTGATAAAACACTTAGGAGATGAACAGTCCCGTGACTGCTCAGCCAGTGAATTGTTCTAAAATATAGATGAAATTGATACAAGCAAGCAGGAGGCCAGAATATGGGTGCCTTGATCCCTTTGGTTTTGGTCAAACTACTCAAAAACATCTTGACTAGGAAATAGGGACAGCAGCCACAGCGTGATGGCATTTTAACCACTACATTGGCATGTAGTTATTATGGTGCCTATCCTGCTCATTTTATTGAGCAGTATGATTGGCAGGATATGGAAGGTGAAAGAAAGCCAGAAAATACTATAGCATTTTTTTGTATCTGCACTTCGGAGAAGAAGAAGGCCTCCCATTTTACATCAAATAGTTCTTATTTTCCAAGTTTTCTGTTCATTTAGTTATGCAAGAGAGGCTTATGTAGTAATGTCACAAAGAAATGTAAAAAAAAACAATTTTGTGAAACAGATCATTTTTTCATGGACTTCCATTATAGATCATCTGTTAGCATGAATCTAAATATCGCCTCTTCATTTATGGATTTTAACGCAGCTTTCAAACTGGTTTTAACCAAATAAGGAGAGTTTTCTTAAAATCAGCTGACGGGCATTGTAATGTTATGTTTCATGATACGTTGTTAAATAAAGATATTAATATATATATCAGCTCTCTTATTAGATTCCAAATTGTAGTGAATCTGGAAACAAAATTTAGGCTAATTTCGAAATGTTCTCCAATCTAGCTACAGAAAAAGCTTGCCTATTTTATTCTTAATGTTGCCTTTCATATTAATCCCGCTGAGTAAATGTCAAAAGTCTTTCACCATAGCCATCCAGATTAAGACAGATAATGTCACCCTACTACATATGGCCCAAGATTGATCACACCACCTTATCCGGAGTGATCTCTTTATTAACCGTGGTGGCTTAAGATCTTAACATCTGCAAATTAAATAAATTTAAAAAAACAGATTGGTCAGCTTTTGAATCGAAGTTTCATAAACTCTATCATTGAATTTGACAGAAAAAATAGTATTGTACTATGCAAATAAATGTCCAGCAAATGCAGTCATTCAAACAAAACTGCTGTTGGCTATTTTAAATTGTATATTGATCTATGCTCCATCAGAAAGAAAAATTGATTCAATCAGAATTTAAGGCACATGAACTTCTTGTCTGTTCTAACAAGGTGTGCTAATGAAAATAACTAGGAGCATAGACTTTAAATCCAAAGTTAGGTGCGTTTAGCCCCAAAAAATCATACATATTTAGTAGAACTTGAAAAATTCTGGATTGCTTAATTTTGAAAAATCTGCAGACACTTTCTAACGCTTTCTACTAAAAGATGTACATAGATAGCATGTCAATACAGGGATTCTTTATACAGATGGTTGTAAACAGACGCAATATTCAATGTATTTATTTATTCTATATGTTCAATTTGATAGATAAGTAGATACACAGACAGACAATCCTGCCTGTATCTCTTATTTAAAATACAGCAGGAGTTATACTCCTATTGAAACAAAAATCTCATTTTGTGAAATTGTGACTATCACGTCCAACAGACTGCCCAAGTGAACCTCATCATATGATGTACAATCATTTACTGATATTGGTATTAGTCAGGGAACATGAGATTCTGCTTATATATATCCAATATCTTTAAACAAAGAGCTTGTTTTTTAATTGTTTTTCCTGGACTGGAAAATAAATTTAAAACATTTGTCCAAAACAGAAAACAAAATTAAAAACAAAAACTATAGCCAAGTTATGAAAAGTTTCCACTTGCTACTTTGATTAAAATTTTACATATAGATTACCAGATCGTGTCAAGTGTGTAAACGGCACGTCAAGTACATACACCTCGTGTTAGGGATCCAGATATATAAGTTCAACATATTAACGTTTAAGCATTGAAAATTAGTCTGGTCCATGGAGGATAAATTATGTTTGGCTGAATCAATTCATGTGAAAATTTTTTTTTGTTCAGTCATACATATGGTGGTTTGGCTCAAACGACTTTCATTCTCGTAATGGTTTTGGAAAAAATGTTTGGGTGAATACCAATAAGAACAAATGATACAATCAGTGTATTACAAAATATGTATTACACTATACATAGGTAAATATAATGTTATAAATATTGTCTATGTATTTTGCAATACACTGATGGGTACATTTTCCTGCCGTTTGGTTGACATATCAAGTGAGAAGTATCCAACAGAGGGTTAAAAAAAAGTAGCAATACAAAATCTATATATAAGTAGTTATATATTATATATTAAATATATAATATAAATATATACTTGTAGATTTTTTTTCTACTCTCTTTCCCTCGACCCCTTATTGTTCTTCTCACTTGATCTGTGTCAGGAATAGCTGATGCCCAACACGCAGAACTTAAGTAAATATAAAGATAAATCCGAAGACGTATCACCGGGCCTTAGAATGGCCGGATTAACATATAAAGGAAAAAAGACAGGATAATGACAAGAACGCAGAAATCACAGAAACAATGAACAAGCCAAGGGTCCAGAAATTGAGAATTCAGAATAGTTAGGAGCCAAGCCAAAGGTCAAGGAATACAGAGATCGGATAGTCAGAAGGAAAGCCAAGGTCAAATACACAAAAATCAATAACAGAAATGCGCTCTCGGATAACATCAGCGGAAACCGCGACAGGGCACAGAGAAATGGACAAAACAGGTTTAAATAGTCTAAGGTGCTCCCTGATTGGCTGCAGGGAGGCATTTGATCGTAGGCGTGTGTGTGTGTGGCACACTCACACGTTTAGAATGAAATGGCACTTTAAGGGTTAAATAGTAAACCCTTAAAATCAACAAAGCTGCAGCGGCCGGCGTCTCTAATGATTACAGACCCGGCCACTGTGTGAGGGGGAGGAGCCACCACACGTGGGAATGCCACCAGACCGAGATGTGCCCACTGTGTTTCAGTCCGCTCCCGGGCATGGGCGGACCTGGCGGGCGTCTGCAGGACAGGTAAGAATCTGGCAGTAGGAGTGGACCCGGCGTGTGGCGTAACAATCTGTGAATAAAATCAACATATTGTGGCTGTTCCCTAACCATCAATTATCTTTTTTCCCATCAGTCTTCTCTTTTTTGGTAATTCGGAGTTACGGAATTTGGATGACCCACCAATCTACCAAAATTCAAACAAACTGTGGTTGGTTTGAAACTGAATGCACAATCTATTACCAACACATAATGTTTTATTTTTGGGGTTAACAGAATATTGTTTACTTTACAATGACTGTAACAATCCTAATGTGTTGCGCAAGTGGCCCAGTTTTAGTCTGTATCTCGTTGATGTACTAGATGAAATTGAGAATCTATTGGAAACATCTCTCTATTTCTCCTTAACTGAAATGCACAACAAGATAGGCATTACGGCATGTCCCATGCACGCCAAGTCTACCCATTAGATGAAAATTCCAGTTGACTGCACTTTCCCTTTCTGGTTTTTGTCATGGGTAATTAGAAAATCATCATTTATAATTACTCCTGACAGATATTGACTTAGTGATATTGTTAAAACAAAGCTGTCCTTAGGGGTTATTACTTGTGGGGGCTATGTAAATAATTACTTTTGGATTTTTAAGATGGTGCTCAATGGAACTAATTATGTTGTGTTGTTTGTTACATGAAGATATAACCCTGTTTTTCGTACAGAATCAGACCACGCAACTCTTTACAAATTAAAAAAGAAATCAATCGTTGAACAGGGTAGTATGTTTTAATTTCGAATCAAGTGATTAGAGGCTTTGAAAATATCTTTACCATGTCTCACTTATTCAGAAATTCAAACGCGTATTCCGTGAAGTCCAAAAAGCTATGCAATGGAATTTTTCTATAACCGACTTTCCTATTAAAAGATATAGATCTGTCTTTGGTTCATACTGTGTTTCCATTATACAGGTTTACGTATGAGATTGCACCAGTATTTGTACTCATGGAACAAATAACCCTTCGGAAAATGCGAGAAATAATTGGTTGGTCTGCAAAGGAAGGCGATGGAATATTTTCTCCTGGTTGGTTCTTAGGCTTATTTGATAATATTAAGTAATTGGAGAGATGTGTTCTAATGTGAAAGACAAGAAACATTTTAAAACAGAAACATTTCAATGCAAAAACATATAAGGTTGTGGAGCCTGGAGGTAGCCATATTGGAATAGCATCTACATACTCAAATCCTCATAAATGTGAATTCTTAAAAAAAGATTCTCAAGAGAATGTGGTCTCAGCAACCAATAATAATCTAGCATTTGAACAGGTGAACAGATAAGCTTCAAGCGTTTTATCATGTATGAAATAGGAAATGCATTTTTGAAACAATTACTGAAGTTACATAGTTACATAGTTACATAGCTGAAAAGAGACTTGCGTCCATCCAGTTCAGCCTACCTCACATTTGTTTTTTGCTGTTGATTCAAAAGAAGGCAAAAAAACCTAGTTTGAAGCACAATTTTGCAACAAGCTAGGAAAAAAATTCCTTCTTGACCCCAGAATGGGTTGAATGCCCTTGAAGGCCACAGGAAGTACAGCTTAGTAGATATTCCGGATGTTGCTAGGTTACAGAAACACTGTTCCCAAGCTCCCCCTCCCTGCAGCCACCTGGGTGCACCAACTTCTCCCCTTAAGTAGCCTGGTGGTCCTCTGTCCTACCAATCCAATTTTTTTAAAGATACAGCTACAGAGACCCCCGTCAGGAGCTTCAGCCCTCAAAGTCCCACACCAGCAACGCCTATAGTAGATATATTGCTGATAAATGGCGAGCTTTATAACAAAAGTCCCAATAATAATAATAATGTTTAAACTATTTCAATAAACAGCTGGACTGATATAAATTAGTCATTCCAAAATGTATTGAACTGTTATGACACTAGAAGGAAATGGGTTCAGTCCATCTGGTTTTTGTCTAATATTTTTCAATCAATTTCACAAAAAAAAAATAGAGGAGTTCAGTGGCAACCAACTCCTACGCAATTACACCGACCCTACAGCTTAGAACTTCCCATAGCATAGTATTATCATTGAATCCGTGGTAATACCATATAGTCCCTAGAATGAATAATCAGAGTGAAATATGGTCACTATGATGTCACACGCTGTAGGTGGGCTTTTGGGGCCAAGGAAAGTTATTTTTTTGTTCAATCATATAAACCTTGAGAAATCAATTGATACTGAACTATAGTGGTTATGGTGCCTGGAGAGTCCATTTAAATGCTCAACTTAATTCTCTCAGTATACTGACTCCAAATAACAAATATATATTTATACTCTATTTGCTCTTTTTTTTTTTTTTAAATGGTTACTCCATGTATTATAACGAACTGCCGCCTTATCCTGATCCTCATTCACTATCAGCCAATGAATGCTCCTCTGTGCATAGGAATATGAGTTACACCCCTGGCACCAAAGTGGTTAAACTCAATATGTGGTTACTCAATGCACCATGACCACTTTAAATGTCTGAAGGGGTCATGGTGCTTCGGTTGATGCTTTAATTTTACTTTTAATATATATTTTTTAACATAAAGGGTTATCATCCCAAAAAGTGTTGTTAGAATTTACTGGCTATTTGCACATTTAAAAAAAATAAAATAGCTGAATTATGTCTATGTAATTAATAGGAGGAGCAATATCCAACATGTACAGTATCATGTGTGCGCGATACAAATACTTCCCCGAAGTGAAAACCAAAGGCATGGCTGCTGTCCCCAAACTGATCATCTTTACCTCAGAACATGTAAGTTAAATTCATTATTTTAAGATGTTTTTTTATCAATAACCATTGTGCTGATAACCTCTGCATTTAACAGTTGTGGAGCGGAATATAATGCCGATAATAACCAATTTCTGTTCAGACTTCACAACGGGACGAAGTAATCTAATTAAAGATATTCATTTACAGAAGGCCATCCATCTGTCTATCCTTCCATATATATATATATATATATGTATAACACATTAACAGTGTGAATGTTTCATCTGTGTCCAAATGTGTCTATTAAATGTATTAAACTTGTGAATCTGTGCTAAATATGTGAATTGATATATCCACTTGTAGTAGTGGAATTAAATAAATGATGCATTGTTTGTCGGTTCCTTTTTGTTTTGTAATTTTGTCATTTGTGTGGTATATATATGGTGTCAACGCATAGTGCTGGTCGTATGATAATGCTACATCCATATCAGCTTTTTGGTTGCACCTGTTTGCCATTTGAGCTGAAAGGGTCAGTTGTCCCATAATAGTCCTGTACTTTAGCTCGTGCATAAAAGGTACAGTTTTAGTTTTAGTGCTGGAAAGCTTATAATTAATTATTCTGAGCCTGCGAACAGTGTCAATTCCACTTGTGTTGTGAAATACCCCATGGCAAAGCAATGTTTTTGATATACAAACATTTTAATAATTAATGTTACCCCACAAAGTAGGCAAAGTATGAAAGGTATGCAGCTTTATTCACTAAACTGAGACTTTGTGAAAGAATTAAAAATTTTCAGCCAAAACATTGAAATGGAAAAATGAAAATGAAAAAAAAAAATCACTAATTATCACTGTTTCCAACTTGGCTTTAAATTTTGAATGAATTTACCAATTGCTCAGAATTCTAGTTTAGTGAATAAACCTCAAGGAATCATTGAAAACACCTTACATATCTTGTGCAGAAATGCACTTCATCACAGGTTTAACACTATTGCTAAAATGAGAATTGTTGTGAAATGAATTCAAAGTGAATTTCCCAAGTTGGCTATATTTTCGGTTGAGCTACTTTGGCCCTAAATTTGAAATTTACTTTGAATTCCAAACAAAACTCACTTTAGTATATAAACCTTATGGAAATGCAACCTTTTTGGCATGGGAATGAAACAGAATATCTTTAAATTAAAGGAACACTATAGGGTCAGGAACACAAACATGTATTCCTGGTCCTAATCTAGCCCCCTGTCCCACTTCCTAGCTTTCCTAAAAATAATAAAATCTTACCTTTATTCCAGTCTGCTGGTCCTGGCTCTGACCCTGATCTGCCTGCTTGGGATGACATCATCAGAAGTGATAATCTGAGACAATCACAAATGCTTTGGAGCATTGGATTGGCTGATATTGCGAAGCAGGTGGGACAGGGGGCGGAGCAAAATGCCACCCTGGCCAGTCAGCATTTCCTTGTAGAGATGCATTGAATCAATGCATCTCTATGAGGAAAGTTCAATGTCTCCCAGCAGCCATTTGAGGAATGTAAATACTGCCTTTTCTCAAAAAAAAATAAAAAAAAAATACAATGAGCTGTAGTTGTTCAGGTAACTACAGTGTCACTTTAATTCCATTTAAGACTCTCTTGTCTACAGTATACATCATGCAAACAAAAATTCAATGATTCCCTTGCTGTTCACTGTGATTTATAAGCAATCTGTTTCTGGAAATTTGAGGGAAATTTTACAATATATATATTAATTTATTTGCATTCTGTCCTTAATATAGAGTCACTACTCCATGAAGAAGGCCGGAGCAGCGTTAGGATTTGGGACTGAAAATGTTATCCTGGTGAAATGCAATGAGAGGTGAGGACAAACTATCTGTGATCTATAGAATGCGGCAGAGTGTTAAATTTGTTTTATTGTGCAGAAGGAGTGGTGTTATGCCATGTGCCAAATTACTAATGGTCTGTTGCAAAATCTCATTAAATTGTGTTTTCAGCGTCCCACTGCCATGTATCGTATTCATTTTATTTCACACCTGTCTGTTTCACAATAATTACAGAGGGAAACTAATTCCTGCAGATTTGGAAGCAAAAATCCTTGAAGCTAAACAAAAGGTACGTAGTGTTTAGTTTTGGGTGTGAAGTTTCACTGAAAGACAACGCCAGTGTAATCCTATCAGAAAATATATCTGAACGTTTAAGATCTAAAGATTTAACCAAAAATGTCCTGTTTGAGAAGATAATATTTTTATAAAATTGGCTTTTCCCGTATAGCAATGATGGCAAAAATTGGAACTGCAATCACCGTTTCGATTTCTTGTGGCTAGGGCCCTCTCTGACTATTTATTTGCCTTAGTTTATTACATTCAGGGCTATTTACTAAGGTGAGAATTTTCAGGAATTCAAAGAAATCCAAATTTAAGGCCAAAATAGAAAATTTATCCAAATCAACTTCGGCCAGTTTGGCTATTTTGGCTAAAATTAGAAATTCCCATTTAATTCACTTTGAATTCCTGACAATACTCACTTCAGTAAATAACCCTGATTGTATTCAGCTGCATGGAAGTGAGATATCACAGTAGAAAGAGTTCCAGATCTTAGGAGTCACAAGTTCAGTTCGTGGCACGGTCATCTCACCTGCTTTTTATTCCAAGGTCAATTAAATAAGTAACGTTAAAATGGTTAAAAACATCTTCCATATCAAGATGCCCATGGGAACTAGGCGGACGTTAAATTTAGGATGGTTGAAGACTGTTATTATATTTATATCACGTGGTGTATAAAATATTTGCACTATATATATTAATAATAATAATACTCCTGTTCATTTTATATATGATTCTATTTTATCTTTTAATTAAGATGATTTAAAGAGACCCTCTGATGTTATAAAAATAATATATATTTTTTTATTTATAATGTCAGCATGTTTAGTTTATGCCTCCACACTTTTAAAAAGAAAACATTAAACTCTCCTTTTCATCCAGAGCTGTCCAACGTATGCCATTGCAGCTGCTCCTCCTCTTTTGAGATCATCGAAAATGATGATCTCAGTCTATTCCAGTGCTTCTTAAAGCAAAACATTGAGGTTTTATCGCGCATGCACAGCAATCACCATTATCAGCCAATTGGATGCTTCTCATAGAGTAGCATTTACAACTTTCAGAAACACAGAATATCAAGACTGTCCAGTAACTGAAGTAGCCTGTAGTGGCTGTCTGATTGACTGACTGAACGTCGCCAGAGGCATTCTGACAGACACACATAAACATTGCTGTTTCTCACAAACAAAGCAGTGCAGGGTCTTTGCACCAAAACCACTAAAGTAAAGCGTAGTGACTGATTTTAGTGCTTGGAGTGTCCCTTTAACCTCAAAACATTTCCATTATTTTTCTGTGACAGTGGATTGTTTTGCTCAATACTGGGGGTTCGCCATCCTTTAATCATCATAACTCCAATGCTTACTTGACTTGTTAGCCCTACTATTTGCCAGAATAGCAAATTGCAAGCATACATCCATAATTTGGTATCATCATCATGGTCCACATTAAATTTAATGTGGCAAAGAGGAGGTAAGGTTGATTATAGATAAACGTATGCATGCTACTTGGCAAGAGTCAAGTACACCATCACTAGGTTATTTAAGGATTCACAAGATATAGTTAGGATGTGAGTGTGCACCAAAATCTAATTTGGCATTATAGGGTAATAACCCTTTGCCAGCACTGGGTGAATTTACAATATTTGGTTTAATCTGCTGTATTTGGGCATACATCAGTTAAGAAAGTATTTTGGCTGAATTTTCTGAATTTGAAAGATAATAAATTCAACAAATTACTTCCAAAATGTTGTCTCCAGTTTGACCCAAATTGATCTGCAGGATGTTCCCTAAATTTGTTCCTACAAGTTTAGAATTTCACAAATAAGCTCCTTTCTGTTTACAATAGCGTATACATTTATTACATAAACAGCTATTTAATGCTCTGACTATTGGCTAAAGATAACAATAAAATGTAATTCATATATATTTAATGGCAAAATGTATATGGTCATCAATGTAAGTGTGACAAATAAAATAACAAAAATTATGCCTAAGTACATTATCAGTAAGGAATATGTTGGTATGTTTGGAAATGTAAATTTCCCAAAACATCTCCATGTTTATTAACAATTTGTGCTCCTCACCTGCAATCAAAATGTTAACTCTAACCATTAAAGGAACACTGCAGCGTTAGGATTGCAAATGTGTATTCGTAACGCTATAGTGCCCTTCTAACTAATCATTGGGAGGCTGGTGCATCTGCATAGCAAAATGCCACACTGCACCAATCAGAAGATGAGACCATCATTTTGAAATAGCTGAGTTTTACTCAGCTGTTTGAATGGAAGCTGCTCTAATGGATGTCACTAGGCAGCCACTAGAGGCATTTAAATCCAGCAGTGTAAACATTTTCATTCCTCCAGAATTTGTTTACATTGAAGGATTAAACCTATAGGGACATGGAGCCCAGACCACTTCATCGAGCTGGCGTGGTCTGGGTGCCTACAGTTTCATTTTAATACATAGGAAAACCATGTTAACATGAAACATAGTTGTGTATATGGTAGATATAAATTGTTCAGAGCTCACATTCAGTGTTTATATTACAGGGGCATGTTCCATTGTATGTGAATGCTACAGCTGGAACAACGGTTTATGGAGCATTTGACCCAATACAAGAAATAGCAGATATTTGTGAAAAGTACAACATCTGGCTTCACGTGGATGTAAGTAATCCATCTATATTATGTCCTTTGAGATGTAATTCTTATCCCAAAGACTGACATGTCTAATTTTATTGTCCCAGGCGGCATGGGGAGGTGGATTGTTAATGTCCCGAAAACATCGCCACAAGCTGAATGGAATCGAGAGGTAAATAACTGAGCAATTAGGGAAATATTTATAGATAAAGAGTGGGACTGTGCCATCCGTCAAATCCACAGGAGCACTTTAAATATGTAGCGTCAATGTGATTGATTTATTGGGTTAATAAAAAGAGTTTGGAGGATATTGATTGTGGAGGTATACCCTCTCGAGGATGGGTTACTACCGCTTGTGGTTGCCCCTTCCTTGTTGTGCCCAGTCCTAGAGTGATTAAAGCTGCTAGCTAATGATTATACTTCACTTCGGCCTCAGTAGAGAGGATAAAACCTATTAATATAAACAGAAAACCACCATAGCATAGACTGTATAAAGGTGATGTCCGTAAAATTAAATATGGAGAACACTCACATATTTTTGAGCCCTGAAGGTCGGCTCTGAACTCAGTAGGTATAATGTATCCACTAAGCGTGTTGTTTAGTCGATGGGTATGGTGGTTTTCTGTTTATATTAATAGGTTTTATCCTGTCTACTGAGGCCGAAGTGAAGTATACCTAGCATTTTGTGCACTATCACCTTATTTATTTCCAAGACTCTATGTATGTCCAAGTGTTATATTGGCATAGCACTTGGGTGATTTTTAGCTGCATGGTTTTAGGATACTATTGGCGCCATTGTCTTTAATTTTTTGTACATATTGTAGCTAGTGATTACAGTCACTTGCAGAATGTCAATCGTGGTATCACCCAAACACTAGTCAAGACTTAGTGAAGGGTGAACCCCCCACAGGGGGTCTCCATTTACAGCAATACAAAACATAAGTCCACCCCAGCGTCGCTGTGTCTGGGAGATAATGGTATCTCCCAGACACAGGAAGCCGACCACACAAAAATCCCCAAAATACACACCATACAGTAATGCACCCCCACATGCCATACATCCTCAAATAGCTCCTGGTTCCAACTATGATCCCTATAAATTGCGAAGCTATTGGATGTACCGACCCCGAGAAATCATTGTTCCAAATCTAGACTTGAGGCTCTGTACATACCCGAAAATATCTCCACAGAATCTTGGTTTCGGCCGGTGGATTCAAATTTTGCGCCTAAACCACGTGGCGGCAAATCAGGAGAAAGGGTGCAAACCAATTTACACCAGTCGGCACTCAGGAAGGAGAGGTGATTCGCCGGCCAATCGGGAGAAAGGGCGCGAAATCAACTTGCACCAATCTGTGCTCAGGGAAGGGGGGAGTTACAAGCTAAGCCCTTTAACTTGTGCTGACCAATCGGGAGAAAGAGCGTGAACCAGTGTGAATGGCAGCTCCTTCTCCTATTGGTTGGCACAGGTTTCTAGGTGCCTGGGGACCCTGTGGCTGTAAAGCCGAGTCATAGTTCCATGGTGCTCGTGTCTCTCTCCAGTGGATATCTCCACGTGGGTAACACCGGAGAGAGCGCTCTTTGGCGATTACCCCATCACATTGACTAAATAGAAAGTTGCGGTGGCCTGAGAACTGACATGAAGAACGTAGGCTAAAACAGACAAATTTAAAAAATATCTCTCTTTGGTAGAATTAGATTTTTTTTAATTCTAACTTTGTTATTGTTTTTGTCATCCTACTTATCCTACAACATGTTGGTAAAAGGTAAAATTGCTGACTGATACTCTATATGCCTGTGCAGGACACACTTACTCAAGTTGTTTTTTTTAATGTACTATACGAATATAGTAGTATATATAGCAATCTATGTTAGGAGATTACAAAAGATTTCTAGCCAAAGATATCTTTTGTAATGTTGCAAGACTGAAACTACATGAAATTGTCCAGCCTCACTTAAAACTGTTCCAAGGATCTCTATTAGACATGCTGAGGGGGAACAAAATTCAGCAATTGTGTTTTCAAACTTTGTTTTCAAAAACTACTAGTCCCTAATACTATTTTCATCATGTGGTAGGACTTAATAAATTAGCAGATAGGGGCATGGGATATGGGAACAAAGTTAGAAATAGGGGGGACCTGCCAAAGTGCCTCCCTGAGGTCCTCATCCACGATGTAGATAAGTGGATAAGGGGTTAGATATCGAATCTGATGATCAGGCACCCTGCCCACTATTCAATGCTCAGTGGGCAGGGAATATAACTTATATTTCCTCATCCCTTAAACCTCCTAACCCTAATAATAATTTCACTAGTCCAATGTTGCATTGTCAAACTCATTCAATAAATGTATCCTCTGCATCTGCTAAAGTTATTTGTAAAATAAAAAAGGGAAAATGGTCCTTTTACATGAGAAACATTTTTAGGTCTGAAAAATAGAATGAACAGTTATTAAATGGTTAACATGATATACCCATCAGAATTATCTGTATCCCACCTAAATGACACCCGATCAGACACTGTCTGAGAATAAGAAGATAAACATAAGGTCAGCCCACTGTCCCAGAATATGAAGAGTTAATATTGGATTATTCAAAGCATGTAGGATTACTTTGTGTGGTCACCATTGACTTCTTAATTACCAAGTATCATTCAACCCTTCTACTTCATCCTTAAACGCATCACTCAGATTCACTTTCATAGAATATCTTCCAGCAGTAATACCTTTCTGTGTCATTGTGCCTAGGCTTCTGCAGTGAACTACATCTACGGACTGCAAAAAACTAATTATACTAACTGCAGATGTTGCAAAATTCTACAGTCAGGCTGCTTGCTAACCATGTATGTTCCACTTATTTTACACCCATCCTCCTTTCTCTGCAGCCTGGAAGATGGCGAAAAAGCTACGAAGGGCTGGTTTTCATTCTTTTCACAATAATTTAGCGACAAGTAAATAATCGCCATCACAGCAGTCTCTCTCTATCCTTAGCACTTACAGTCAGTTTACAGGCTACAAATGTATCTTTTAAAGATGGGTAATCAGTAGCTGAAAAATACATCAACCATAAAGATTAGAGATTTTAATAAATATGTGAGAAATTTGACTTAGCAGTGACTGGTGAAATTTTAAGATGGTGGGATTCCAGACTCCTATCTCAGAATTTGACACCTCTGTAGCCACCATCTTCTAACATGTGGCACTTTACCTCATGTAGTCAACCCCTATAGTCCTCATTCAATACAGAGTTAACAGTACAATACACAGAGCCAGGACCAATACAGAGATATGCATACAATACAAAGAGCCCAGTACAACAAAGAAAAATTATAACAATAACTGAGCATAATGCGACATACTCATACATTACACACAACTGAACGCCATACAAAGATATACATTAAATACCCTGAGCTAGGTATATTACACAGATACCGATGCGACAGGCAGAGCTGAGTAAAATACATTGATACAACACACAGAGCTGTCACAATAGGGAGAATATATAACTATTCTACACGTGTGATGGATTACACAGGGCTGCAATACAGAGATCCCCGTGCAGTACAATGTCTCTATATAATGCTCATGTTCTCTTCGTCTAACTCTCCGAGTCTTTAGCTCTCTTTTTTCTGATCTCATCTTTAGTAGTGCTCCTGCCCTGACAACATTAGCATTCCTGTAGATGTTGCTTCGGTTATGAAACATGTCCGCTACCTCTGACTCACTATTAGCACTCAGCACACTGTGTACATAGGGTTAAAGTAGTTAGATACTGATAGACACCTTATTATCTTTGTAGTTGGCAATGTCATTGATTTGCAGTGTTAGTACGGAGTATATTTCCTTGCTTAAAGGACCACTATAGGCACCCAGACCACTTCAGCTTAATGAGGTGGTCTGGGTGCCTGGTCCAGGTAGGGTTAACCCTTTTTTCTATAAACATAGCAGTTTCAGAGAAACTGCTATGTTTATATTAGGGTTAATCCAGCCTCTAATGGCTGTCTCATTGACAGCCGCTAGAGGGCTTCCGCGTTTCTCACTGATAAAATCACAGTGAGAAGACACCAGCGTCCATAGGAAAGCATTGTGAATGCTTTCCTATGGACTGGCTGAATGCGCGCGCGGCTCCTGCCGCGCATGCACATTCAGCCTAAGAGGAGGAGGAAAGGAGGAGGAGAGGAGGTGGAGAGGAGGAGGAGAGTTCCCCGCCCGGCGCTGGAGAAAGAGGTAAGTTTAACCCCTTCCTCCCCCCAGAGCCCGGTGGGAGGGGGATCCTGAGGGTGGGGGCACCCTCAGGGTACTATAGTGCCAAGAAAACGAGTATGTTTTCCTGGCACTATAGTCAGGGCCGGTGCAAAGAATTTTGGGTACATAGGCGAAGATGCATTTTTCCGCCCCCCCAAAAACATCTTCACCCATGTGCCTCTTAACCTCCCTTTTGTGTTTATTATCCCGTCTTTTAAATATATAAATAAATAGATGTATTTTATCTCCTATTTTTGCCTTTGTGTGTCTCCTATCTCTCCTCTTTGTATGACTCTTACATCCTCCCACATTTTGTGTCTTACTCCTCCCAGCCCCTTTGTGTGACTCCTTTTCTCCCAGCCCATTTGTGTCTTTTATTCTTCCCAGCTCCTTTGTGTGTGTCTCTTTCCTTCTCAAGCCCCGCTGTGTGTTTCTTTCACATCCAGCCCCTCTCCCCATCCCTTAATGGTCCCCTCCCTTCTCTGACCCTTACTGTTCCTTTCCCTTCCCGCCTCCTTTCCCTGTCCCTTAGTGTTCCTCTCCCCTCCCCCATCTGTTCCCTGTCGCTTAGTGTTCCTCTCCCTCCCTCCCTCCTTTTCCTGTACCTTAGGGTATCTCTCCCCTCCTCTCCCTGTCCCTTGGTGCGCCACCCACCCCCATAGTGGTCCCCTCCCCTTCCTGGTGTGCCTCCTACCTTTTTTTGTAGCGTGGCTGAGCAGAGCGAATCCCGGTACAGTGAGCTTTTCCTGTAAGTTCTGCCAGGTACAGGAAACAGAAGTTCCTGTACCACGGTACACTCCGCTTGCCCACGCTACAGTCAGGGGTGTATAAACACTGACAGTCACACACACTCAATGACAAACACACAGACATCTCTGACAGCCAGACTCACTTATCTGACACACTCATTCATTGACAGACACTCACATGCACACTGACAGACACACAAACACTGACAGACTCATTGAAAAACACACACACACAAACTCACAGACACTGACAGACACACATGCACATACTGACAGACACACTCACTCACACACACTGACAGACACAAATACTCACACACACACTGACAGAACCACACACACACAAACTCACAGACACACATACTCACACACACACTGACAGACACACACACTGACAGACACACATTCTCACACACACACTGACAGACACACTCACTCACACACACACTGACAGACACACTCACTCACACACACACACTGACAGACACACATACTCACATGCACACACACTGACAGACACATACTCACATGCACACACACACATACTCACACACACACATACTCACACACACACTGACAGACACACATACTCACATGCACACACACACACTGACAGACACACATACTCACATGTACACACACACACAGTAATTAATAATCTAAATTAAATTTAAATTTCCCACCCAGGCTCCCTACCTGGAGAGCTGGCGTGGGTCTCTCATTGGTGGTCCAGTAGGGCTGCTGGGAGGCGTGCGGCTGAATTGGATGCCGAGGTGGCGAGGGAGCTCTGATCTCTCTGATCTGCTCCCTCGCAGGCTGTTTACTGATGCCGCGGGAGCCGGAATATGACGTCATCAGTAAACAGCCTGCGAGGGAGCACATCAGAGAGATCAGAGCTCCCTCGGCATCCAATTCAGCCGCACGCCGCGCCGGGGATCCAGGAGGTGACCTGGCAGGAGGGAGCACTTCCCTCCTGCCGGTCACTGGAATTTTGCGCCCCCAGAGCCGGTGCGCCCTAAGGCGGCCGCCTGTGCCGCCTTATGGACGCGCCGGCCCTGACTATAGTGGTCCTTTAATCAGACCTCAGGAAGACACTGAGGCTACATTTGGCAGGGGCAAGGAGCTGCCGCTGCTGTGCTCTCTCTGTGCTACTTCCAAGATGGTTTCCTGCTTCTCTCTCGTGTGAGCACTGTGACTCCATCCAGTGAACAGAATAGAGATGACAATAGCATGCTTCCACTCATGGGCAGCTGGCTCTGCTGCCCGAATTCCATCTCAATGGGAGGCCTCTGAAATCCCTTCTACACATGTGCAAAACCTGCTGAAACAGGACATATTTTAAATCTGCCCTATTTTTAGACATGCCTAGTTGCTTTCAAACAGTCTCCAATGCAGGGAGAGGGGACGTTCCTTGCAGAATTGAATCCTATTACATAATTAAAGAGACACAGTTTATTACTTTTTTCAACTTATTTTTTTTAGCTTTGCCAACTCCTACCAGAAAAAGATTCTTAGTGTTTCTAAACTACTGCAAATATTCTTTTTAGCACATACAAACAGATGGGTTGCTGTCCCAAAGTGACCCATTGGAAGAACCTCCTCTGCAAAATAGGTATATAAAAAAATTGTGTTTATGTCAAAGTAGTGCAGAAATCCATTATAATTACATTTATTATTATAGTGCTAACATAATCCACAGCGCACTTACTGTTCCTGTGTGGCATACAGAAACATTCGTTTAAGAGGGTCTTGCCCAAATGAGCTTACAATCTAATGATCATTTTAAAGGGTTCACAAAGTTGCTTTCACCATTTTACAACATAAATCATTGCTGTCAGTAAGATCCACATTTATAGAAAATCTGTATTTTAATGAAAATAAAAACGGATCAAGTATGTCACGCCAAAAAATTTAGATTTTCAGAAATATTATTAATGTAGGCAGCAAACATTTCTAAGCCAATATATCAAAAAGGCTAGACATTCGTTGGTTTCTGGCGCACATTTTTCCTTTAACTTCATCATAAACTGAGTCGAATATATTATATTCCTGTTTTCAAACATAACTCTAATTAAATGAGCTGTTAGCTATAATACTATGAACAATTTTCAATAAAATCAACAAGGTAAAACCTTTCCACCATTAAGAAAGGTAGACTGTCATAAACAAGTTCAGTATTCTAAATCTAGTGTTATCCATTGAGTTTCCTAGAAGTTAAAGAGGTATACGTTGTAACACGATATTGGTTTCATTTTCAGTATATGCAATAGTGAGAATCCACTGAGAAGATTGTGAGATAAGATTGGTTTCTTACTATTATGCTAATGTACCATCGCAAACACCTAAAGCCTTTTGAACAAGGAATAGAGCAGTGCTAAACACACTAAGGACACTACGATGGAAGGCAGCTCACCTGATAATAGGGGAATCCCTCCAACCCCCAAGAAAACTGGAACACGTCAAACAACAATATACAGGTAGTGCCAAGACACAACAGTATATAATAATAAGAGCAATAAGAGCAATTAAACACCAACAGGATATAAAGAGTCCACAATAAAACTACGGCACAGTAGTGGTGCGGCACAGTCTCAAAGATAACAGTAGATCTCCTAGTCCTGGTATGGGACTTTCTTGGTAGCTTCGCTTAATAGCAGAATATGAAAAGGAAGCAAAAACAGAGGCAAATCGATAGTGCAATATGGAAGTACGTGGTAGGACAAATGACACTTTGATAAGATGTCAACTCACATATGGTAGAGCTATAACCAGCTCTAGGTAAAACAGCATGCAGTGGTATATAATCCCCACTTGCAGGATATCCCTCTGGTTTTGGTACACAGTAGAATGATGGTAAATAATAACAGGATAACAATGAGGTGGATCATGTGGAATGACAAAAAAGCAGCCAATAGTGCTCTGCTCTCTATTTAGATAGGTAAGTATCAATAAGGTAAATAAAAAATATACTTACAATAGAGTGAGCAGACTAACCGCTCTATGTATCAAGCCTGGGTGGTATAATCCACACCAAGGATTTATTTTGGTTGGTTGTCCCAATAGGTAATGGGTCCAGATGTCAGGTAAAAGTATAAAAATAAATAATAAGTACTAAAAATATATGGCTTAAAGGCAGGTAGTGAGTTAGCCAAAATACTTTATTTAACAACAGCATAAAAACCACAACGCGTTTCTCCCCTTAGGGCTTTGTCAAGTGTTAAAAAATCAACCAAAGAAATCCTTGGTGAGGATTATATCACCCAAGTTTGATACATAGAGCGGTTAGTCTGCTCACTCTATTGTAAGTATATTTTTATTTGCCTTATGATACTTACCTATTTATATAGAGAGCGCTATTGGCTGCTTTTTTGTCATTCCATATGATGTACCTCATCATTATCCAGTTGTGATTTACCATAATTCTACTATCTATTGCCACCTTTGAAAATGTGCCGTACCATTTGGTATTATTTATACTTTCAAGTTTTAATGTGGACTCTTTTTATATCCTTTGGGTGTTTTATTGCTCTTATTATTATATACTATTGTGTTTGGAGTATTTGACTTGACCTAAAACCTTTTAGCTAGCTGCAGTGCTTTAGGGACTAACGGAGTGTAGCCTTTATCAAAACATATTAAAGTCAGCAGTTTCATAAAGCCTCTGGTTCCACTCTCCCTGCTGTCAAAAAGAGAGTCGGAATGTCGATCTTCCTCACTGCTTTGCAGACATGAGTTTTTTACAGAAAAGCACTTGTTTCAATGTATCCTTCTAAGTATCCTTAAATGAGGAGTGCTTACATGAGAAGCATTGGATTGGCCAGGAGATCTTCACTAGTGAGGTAGAGCAGAGTTGCGACCAAGGACCTTCTGTATTATAGGTTAGCTAAATCATTAAGAATATAAACCTATAGCCCTCTCCCTAGTACAATACAAGTGTGCCCCCACCCCACCCGAGCACCCCCGTTTGTTATAAAGATTAACAAAATGTAGGATTTACTAACCTTTTTTCGGAACTGAGGCTCTAGCTGTGCGATACCATGAAGGAGGCATTTATGGTCCAATCAAGTGCTCCTCATAGAGGAATATTGGGGACCTGATACTCACGTGTTGCAAGCATCCCAGCTTCCACATGGCTTTGGCAACACATGACATCAGTGCTACAGAAGTGCCTCTAGTGGCTGTCAGTATGACAGCACTAGAAGTGGACTTAACCCTGCAGGGTAAACATTGCAGCTTCTAAAAAAACAGCAATGTTTTGCATTGCGGGGTTAAAACGAAAGGGCCCCTGGCCACTTCACAGAGATATAGTAGGTGGGTGAGATGTTTCTTAGGGTACAGTAGGGGGCAATAACCTAAATGGTATTTAAACACACCAGCGTTATAAATATAGGCTGTTCCTTTAATATGTGAAGAGAATGGGATGATATTTGGTCTCCTGCTGTTTTGTTTTATTTTTTGGCAATGATGAAAACTGTCAAGTTTAATACAACAATTCTCACTGGTATTTATTGATTAGACAGTTGCTGACATGTTAAAGTCACGGCAGCTTCCTGTTTCCATTCCCCGAGGCTAGCCAACTGTGATATGACCTCTTTATTTGCCCCACTGAAACTCGACAAAAAATGTCAGTAGAAATAAGGTTTCTGGAATTAAAAATGAGAGAACATCTATTGCATTCAACATCATGGGTCTCATTGTACATTGAAACATTGAGACTGACCGCTAAAGGCAAAAAGCCATCAGAACATGTTTTCTTTGTGTTAGATGAAAAATGTTTATTGTACAAGAAAGTTTTAAGCCACCCGATGCCTCAGGCATAAGAAAATCGAAATGTATCTAAAATATAGGGAAACCAAGGCAAGCAATTATTTGGATAAAACAGTGCAATGACAAAAACAAATGTTTTTCAACTAAACAACATAAACTGTTAGAATGAATCACTTTTCTAATAGCTTAACCTAGTTTAATAAGAGCCAGAATAATTTAGCCTCAGAATAACTAGAAAAATAATAGTGGTTTGTATTGTTGTTATACAGTTATCCTGCACGTGTACTTTGTAGAATATCCAGCAGTCACATAATAGATATTAACCATTGTATTAATTTTAAAAAATACTGTTTAGTAGATTTACCCCAATGAAAACATGCATGTATATAGCTATGCAGTTTTTCAATGGGGTGTATATATAAAAATTGCTATTAGCAAAAGCTGCAGATCTCTTGTCTGCAGCCTTTGCAAGCTCCCCCCTTCTAACCCCGCCCAGACTTCCTGTGGCTGTCCAATCACAGACTTCCCTATGCAGCTCAATGAGAAGTCTTTGCAAGGCAGGTGCTCTGGACAATGGTTGCCTCTTGAGTTTAGCTCAACTGAGGTTACCAAACCAGGAAGTAACAGGACATGTGGTCTGCTTGACAGCCAGAGGTGTAACCAAGTTAATTTATAAAAGTGCCACTTTCTATTGAAATCTGCACTTTTCGTAAAATGAAAAAAAGAGGACACACTATTGATACATAAAGCAGTTCAGCAAGCTGGAGTGATTTACGAGTCTAGTGTGTTCCTTTTAATGTTTCTCAACCCAGTCTTTAAAGGACCTCAGAGACCTCAGGATTTAGAGTTTAGCAAAACCCCTTCTTTGGTAATATCAATAAAACCTGTACATTTTGTGGTGTGTGAGGAGTGATTAGATAATAACCTCTTTTATATGATGGTTGAGACTATTCCATTGGCTGGAAAAATATGTTATGTAGTTATGGCAACTTTGCCTGTTAATCTATCAGATACAGGAAGCCTAAAATGGGGCAGCATATGTCTGGCAGTTGGAGATGTAGCGCAGCATGGCTGCAGTTGTAAAGACTGATACAGTTGTCTGGTAGTTCCCAAACATCATAAAGGGCTATTCAGCAATACAGATCAGTTAATGAGATAAAAAATTCTCCCTGGCTGTTCTAAAGTTCTAAACATTGCATGGGCGTGAGCCATAGCTGACTTTTGTCATGTTAGAGGCAGCTGTTAGTGCCCCCTGTCACTTCTGTGCAGGGTAATGAGTCAAAATGATGTATATGATATGTGACTTCATATCCAGTTGCTTGAGACTGGATACAGAGGAAAAAAGAGGTTGCAAGAACAAAGGGGGAAACGGGGTAAGAGAAATGTAACAGAGCTTTGGAGAAAAAGCATTGTTAGATGAGGAAAGGTAATGCGAGACAGTGAAAAAAATAAGAAAATGGAGGTCGGAGAGCAACAAGGAAGGGAGAGGGTATGGAGAAAAGCTAAAACGAATAATTAAAAAGGAGAGAAAAAAGTGCGAGAACGATGGTAGAGTAAAAAGACAGTATGGAAGAGAATATAGGAGAGAAATAGGGGGCAGTAATTAAATAAAAGGAGAAGTAGAAAGTGAGAGATCTGTGGATTGAGTAAAAGGCCAGTGGGCCGGGGGTGAAAAACGTTGGTTACTAATGACCCAAAGATAAAAAATCAAGGGAATGAGAGTAGAAGTCTAAGGGTCTTATGGTAGAAGACCTGGAATCATAGGGTTCGAGACCTGGACACGGTAAATATTACCTGATTTAATGATGATAAAAAAAAGAAGATACACAGTGCCTCTTAATGAATGGGCTTGTGGTGGAGGTGGGAAGGTACAGGCTCTGTAAGTGATGAATTTAGGGTGGATTAGTAATTACATTTAGGATTTGTTACACTTTAGAGAGTCCAATACAAAATACAAAACAAAATATCTTTAGTACAGTTGGTGAAACCAGTCCATAAAATGGATGATAGCGTAAAGGAAGATATTTGTGTCAACAGGAAAGACATGATAATAAAATCTAAGGTTATGTGTATTTACCATATGCAAAGAGCAAAGGACCCAAATCCTTTGGGTACGTAATCTGCGAGAAGAATTAAATAGATAAAGCTCCAGAATTAAATCGTAAAGTTACATTCAGATAAATAATCCTGTATAAGGAGATGGCAGTGTCTCTAGATTAGTGTTCGTGTCTGTAATTGGTAATGTCTTGGGCAAAAGAAACACTAAATATATCTTTATTGTCAGAGTGACCTACTTCTCCATTTGATAATGGATCTCCTAGCCTGCTTACATTTCGACTCCTATCAGATGGCCTGGCAGAGTTTATTGCTTGTGCAATCTTTAGTTCATGAACACATATCACTAAACAATGGTCAAAGCTGGTTACTTTTCCCAGTGTCGAGATAAAACAATAATATTAACAACCAGTACCGTGTTAATAAAAATGTCAGCTCCTGGCTGATACTGTGGTTGATACTACATAGTACTTTTTCGTAAAGCAGAAAAAGCTAATAATTCAAGAAAGACTTCAGTAATTGAGGGTGAGTGATTGAGAGATACATATCATTAGTGGATATTGTTGGATCTAAATCTATGCTGCCCTGCGATGTGTTCAAACCTGTATAGATTATATTGAAGGTATGTTGTCCATAAACACAACTTTTTAAGGTTTGCTGGGAGGAGAGCAAGGCTAGATTCCCCTTTAACGAATGCTGTGTGTGGTTGTTTGCACCATATGTCATTAGATTATAAGAAATATTTAAATATTTTTTTCATTAAATATTTCTTTCACAGAGCTGACTCGGTAACCTGGAATCCTCACAAGATGATGGGAGTTTTGCTGCAATGTTCTGCAATCCTCTTAAGGGAAAAGGTAATTCCAGAGAATGTGTTCATTTAGAACAGTATTAACCTGCTGATCAGATTAAGTAGCATATATATATATATATGCCATACCAATATACCCTGCTGTGGCATGAATTCATGATCTATTGGTTGGAATCAAGAGAAATCAAGTCACGTCATTTCATGTTTGGCTATACCAGCTCATGTACAAAGTTAATATGTCTTCAGCTGCCATTCAATGAATTGATTCAGAGTAGCCTTTAATAAAATCAGGTGTTCGTGCCTTAGCACAAAATAGCATCAAATCTATTTCAATATACTTGTAATAGTCAAAACATCATTGGAAATATACAGATCAGGACCTGAATATAAAATACATCTGAAGGCATAATATGTATCATGGAACACTGCAAAGAATTAGGAATTTGAAGAACGATGATTCAATAAGGACATTGCAAACACTGGGGCATTCCTCCAAAAATGGATGACTAGTCAAGGGAAAAGGTCAAAGGTAATATATGGTCATCGGAAATAGGACAGTCCCGAAATATGGCTCATTTTCTACATCTGAGTTCACACATTGAGGTGGCAACAAAATGCTGGGGGCTACATTGGTTCTCTGGAGGCAATTGCTAAAATAACACAATCAGATATGCCACTTATGGATCAAAACAATTAATTGAACAGATTTTAGGCTGAAACAAATCCTTAAAATATGCACATTTATATATAATTAGCAATAATGGCATATGAGCATTGGGTGACCTAAGTAACACAGTGATGTATTTTAGACATATTTATTGCAGTCTGAAATAGGCCTTAAAAGGGTCATTTAAGGCTCACAGCCACATTGCCATGGCCCTACTATGTAACAAAGAAATGCCAACACCAAACAGAAACTATCTGAAAATTATTCATAGTGCTTCTGTGCTTTTCTGCCTTATTTTCTTTGCAAGCAGTTTAGCTTCAGTTATCTGATAAGGTCAAACCTTATCAGTTGGAATTAACCTACATCATCTAAATGGCACCCTTACAGTCCAAGCAGTTTAGAACAACCACGTGTATATCCCAAAGTGACTTGTTTCTAAATCAGTTTTATTAAATGTTGAATGTAAAATGTGCCCAACTCCTACCTTTCAATAGATTTACTGTCAGGCTGATGCCTATTCTTGTTATACAGCATGCAAAGAGGCACTCAGTATTATCCCGGTAGAAAGATCCACCTTAGATACCAAACTTTTTTGACTCAATAAATTCTGGGACATAATTCTGGGAAGTGTTGGCCAAGTTAGACCTGAAAAAAAAGTGAATAAGACTAATTGCTTTTCAGATTACATTGACTCAAGATGCCAATTCTCCTGACCACTTGGTGCCTCTATTTAATATTAGAGTATGCAATAGCTCAATGACTCAAAATATATGTGACTATGGGAGAATAAAGAATTGGGAATGTCGATTTTCTGCCAATATGTTTGATCAGCTGTGCAGAAACTAGCACAAAGTTACTAGTTATTGTTACCAGTTAATTTATAGTATTTAAAACAAGGTAATGTATTTCCTGGTGTGATCTGAGTGGGGGAGTAACACATAGCTACAGATACTTTATTTTCAAATTGTAGAATCCGTCATCGTGCACAATGCTCAAAACCAAGACAAAGAAAATAAACATGTATGAAATACTTGCACTTAACCTAAACAAACTTACTAAGGACCTTTATTTCCATGAATATTATCATTATTTATAAAGCGCCAACAAGTTCCGTAGCGCTGTACAATCGGTGGACTAACAGACACGTATTTGTAACCAGACAAGTTGGATGCACAGGAACAGAGGAATTGAGGGCCCTGCTCAATGAGCTTACATGCTAGAGGGAGTGGGGTAAAGTGACACAAAAGGTAAGGGTAGGGTGGAAAGGTAGGTTGCTAGCATAGGATGATACCCAGATAGATGGAGTAACATCCATAGTTCATTTACTGTACTTGAATTCTTAAGTTATACTTCTGAGGTCTGACAAAGTTTTCCACTAAAATGAGAATTCAAAGTTAAATACAAATTTTAGGGGGGCGGGGCTTGGGAGCAGAGCTGAACGGACACCATCTCCATCAGCTCCCGACCTCGCAACGATAAACTTGAAAATATCACGGGCATCTCAACCCATTCGCAGACACCAACCCCACTCCGAACACAGGGTAACTGAGAGGAGCCGACTAATGCCCTTCACCAAACGAAGCCCAGAAAGGTGAAACAAAAACACCGGGCCTACCTCACTCCCACGAGCTACGGCCTGGAGACTCTCCTGGACAGCATCGGGACGAAATACCGCCCAGACTCGGAGGAGACGGCCACCGCAACACACTGCAGCCCCACTGCAACCATGGGGTGTCGCACGCAAAAACAGCACCCGGCATCGGCAGCAGACCAGCCGAACATCGGGGAAATGCTGCAATGACAAGCACCCTCCAAAATAGCCGCCACGAGATCCTCCACAGTAGGCCTCCCGCCAGCACTATCGGAGCGGGCTCACTCACTGGAGCTAGGGCCTGAGGACAAGCGACCCAACTCACCCCTGGCTGGCACAGAGCTGAGCGAGAATACCTTTGCTACAAAACAAGACCTGCAAACATGGATGCAGGAGATTCAAACCCTGCTAGCCGCGGATATTGGCACCCTCAAGACGGACGGACGTAAAACCATTGAGAGGGTGAGTGCCATAGAAGGGGACATACAATCACTAACCAGTGGGACATCAAATCTCACCGCAGCCCTGCAGTCCCTGCAGACAGCCCACCAGGCACTGGCGACGCAGGTGGCCACCCAGGAGGACCGCCTGCGTCGCAATCACATTAAGCTAAGGGGAGTCCCAAAAGAAATCACCACAGAGGAGTTGCCCCACTTTGTGAGGAGGCTTCTAACCTCCATACTACCGCCAGCTACAGCCAGAAAACTCACCCTAGAAGGCATATTTCAGCTGCCAACTGGGAACACCACACCAGCCGCGGAGGCTAGGGACGTTATATTAAAGTGTGCTACAACACAAGATAAAGCAGCAATACTGGCAGCAATCAGAGGCAAGACTCCTCTACCGTTCGAAAACTCCAACCTATTTTTTTTCCAAGACCTCACCCGAGCGACACTACTCTGGCGGAGATCAATAAACACTTAACAAGCCGCCTGAGAACGGCAGGCATACAGTACAGATGGGGCATGCCGCGGACCCTGCTGATTCCGCACAACGGGACTATCCATAGAGCCACATCGGAGGCAGACATACTCGCAGTCCTCATACTTTTGGGACCATCGGACGCTCTCCAGATAACAGCCCAGACAGGACCAGCCCGGATGGGAGATCCAGCCACCACGAGACCATTTAACCCCCGATCCCCAAGCACAGACTCGGAAACCTGACACAGTCTGCAAGCAAGCCTGGCCAACCTGGCTCAAGTGGACTTTATTAAACCCGCATACTGAACTGTTGCTCTTTTCATATAACTGTTTAGTTATACCAGTTATTACCTCTGTTATTGACCCACACATTCCGTGCCAATCACTCACCCACACACTAAGTGATACCCACACACTCAGTGACAATCACATGAGACCACACTAATGCAGGGTGGCTCCAGACAAGCTCTCTACACCTCCCCCCCTACCCCCGCAGCCCCCCTAGGTTAGGGGCCCCCACTACCGTGGTAAAAGCCGTGACCCCACAATGACGCTACATCACAGACGACCGGCTCACAAAGAGTGGCCACAGCTAAAGTAGCACCACGGGTAGACCACCCTTGACTTCTCATGAACGCCACAAACTAGTGCACTTACACATAGTAATACAAAACCTCATCAAGAGTACAACCATGCGACCCAAACCACGAAGAGCAGAAATAGGGGCACCCAGAAACATATGTAAGCACTAATGCACGCAACCGTTATGCAACATGTTATAAAAAGAAAAATATGTGCTGAACAACTTGACTAAATACCGTGTAATGCATATTCTCAACTCCTGTATCTGTCAATATAATGCATGAAACCAAATAACGCACAAACAAAATAAAGAATTACAAAAAAATAAAATACAAATTTTAGTGCTAATTTGGAGTTTAGCTGACTTTTTTTTCCAATTCAGCTATTTGTCCTTAAATTTGAAATCAGTTTGGGTGATTTCTCAAACACTTTGGTAAATATCCATGTAAGAGATCTTTATCGGTTTGATATGGCTTTTATGTATTTTAAGAGCCTTACATGCATTTTATCTCTGTATAAATTTGTTTAGTATATTGTTTCTAATTAAAATGGTCAATAAACATTATTTGAATTAAAACCCAGCACATTTTATTACACGTATTTATATATATATATATATTGATTTTTTTTTCTTGCCACCAGGGTATACTCCAAGGGTGTAACCAGATGTGTGCAGGGTACTTGTTTCAACAAGACAAGCAGTACGACATATCATATGACACAGGAGATAAGGCAATACAGTGCGGACGGCATGTGGACATTTTCAAATTCTGGCTCATGTGGAAAGCTAAGGTAATAAAACTAACAAAAACTACAAACATTAAAGACGGCTTGCTTGTATAGTGAAATACACAAATCGTGGTGAGTAGTGTACTACGAAAATGTAACTTCTCATTATATACGAGATTACCTGTAATAACTGCTTAACTGTTGAAACCTCAGTGTTGCACGTTCTGTTATTGACAGCATCAAGTAGACCTTCATCCATCCAGATAGATAAAATGAGTAACATGGGACTGGATAACGGTGACTTCTGCTAATCAGCTGTTTATATTGTTAGACTGTAAGAGCAATTTTTTTTTAACTATATCTCAGGCCAGGCTTTAGATTGTCAAAGCAATATATAAATATATAACATTGAAGATAACTACATTTGATGAATTGTGTTTTATATTGTCTTTGTGAATATTTGTGTAAAAACGAATAAAAGAATTGATATTTAAAAAAAAAAGAAAAAGAAAAAAGAAACTTCTCGGATTTTAAGGACAAAGATTATCTCTGCCTTCCAACAATTACCACCTGCTGTTGAACAACCATCATGAAAAAAAAAGATTGTCAAAGCATCATGGAGACTGTAGATACTGTAGTCCTAAAACATGTTGGCTCAACTGTTCTAAGTCCTTTGGGCTAAACTATATACAAATATATATTGTTAACCCCATGAGGACACATGACGGAAATTTTCCGTCATACTGGCTTTTTACTTCTGAAGTTGTGTCCTTAAGGGGGTTAATATTAGTGTAGCCAAATTCTAGGTGACATTAACACATTTTATGATCCATAACTTCATCGAACGTCTATTTCAATATACTTGTAATAGTCAGAACATATTTCTCGAACATTTTAGCTCTTCATAAATCTGATTTAAAAAACAACAACTTAATTTTACACTAAGCAAAAGTGCTCATTTGTATTGTTTGAAACAGGGCACAGAAGGATTTGAAATTCAGATCAACAAATGTCTGGAGCTTTCCGAGTATCTGTACTCCAAGATCTGCAACCGAGAGGAATTCGAAATGGTCTTCAAAGGAGAGGTGGGTTGAGCCAAACGTTCATGATATTCAATTGCACTAATTCTTCCAAACTGGAAACATTCATATAATTGCCTGGCTCGTTCAAGCATTCACATTATAACAGATGACACTAATGTAACATTAAATGCATATTCCATTGTTATGTGATGTGTAATCATTTCATAATTCACAGTAGAGTTCATCTTAATCACTTGGCATAAAATGACCAGGTCTGTGTTAAAGTACGCCAGTCACGTAGAAAACAAAGAAATACAGTACTTTGAAAAGCAATCATTTTAAACCAGAGTTCTTAAAACCCATCCTCTGGAGCCATCAATTGGTCAGCAATGTGACATTAACTCTCCCTCCTTGTTCTCATTGATAGAACTTGCTATCTGCCACTTACCTTATGTTGGCACACATTTATCCCTTGTCAGTTCCTATTTTCAAATTCTCATGCCAACATAACCGCCTCTCTTGATTGTTACGTTAGCATCTCTCTTCTGCTTCTCAGACTGATAAAACGTCTACCCTTGGCTGTTATATTGGTGCAACTGTGTTCGCATGCACTGCACACTAGCCCCCAATGCTTCCCTATGGAAAGTATTGGATAGACTGAGATGATCAGTATTTAAGATCTCAACCAAGGAATAGGTGACCTATGCAAGACCAGGACCAGAGGGTTTAATGTAAGTAAATCTTAATGTATTTGTTAAGGCAGTTTGCTAATCTAGATTGCTAGGAAAACACTCTAGCATTAGAGTGTTCTTTTAAAATTTTAGAGAGTTAGTTTACATGTTTTTATGCAGAATCTATAGTTTTAAGTTTCTACTTTGTTTAGGGGTGTATCATATTTTATACCTGTATACATTCCATCAGGCAGTAAAACACCATCTGCGAAAACGATCTTACAAAGTATGAATTTATCAAATGTCATGGAAAAATACATAATTTTTTCGATAAAAAAAAAAATGAAATACATTCTTACCCACTTGTGCTACTAGAACATACTTCAACTCCTTAATTCTAATATCCCAACAATGAATCATGCGGCTATACCTCAGTATGTAAATTAAGCTGACATGGTTACAAGGTGTATGGTAAAATTTCATAATGCAAGTGACTTTAGCTGTGGTATAATTGCTGGTGCCAGATGAGGTTAATTTCAGAATTTTTACAGTGATTGTCATAAACATCAAAATACCAGTGAGAGATGGTTGTGTGGATGAGGACATTTTGTATGTGATGATGTCAGGGAAAGGTCAGACTCACACAAGATAGCGGAAATAATACAATTTAAAAAGCTTTTGCAGCGGTGGTGTAGTACACAGTTTTACTTCCAGTGTGCAATGTGGTGTCCCAATTCTAGGGCTGTGATGGCACATACAGGTCTCAAATGCCCAGGAATAGGTCCTCAATGGTAACTGTACACAAATAATTTGGGTACCAAGCCAACTCGCACCCTGCTCTGATTGCCAAAGAAAAAACTCTTTGTAGGCTAAAAGTGATTATTTTTTTAATAAATATTTTATTGTGTCTTCCTTTTCAGCCCGAGCACACAAACGTTTGTTTCTGGTACATTCCCCCAAGTCTGCGAGGGATGCCAAACTCTGACGAGAAACAGCAAAAGCTCCATAGGGTGAGTACATTTTTTTTCAAATAGATTTAATATAAAAGATAAAAACTAAAGAAATAAAGAGTTGTAAGAGACCATGAAGAAAAAAACATTAATGATTATCAATATTACGATTAATGCAGAATTATTACCTTTTGTGCCACTCTACTTGTCTCTGTATGAGCTTTGTTTGACGTATTTCAGTGTATTCCGTACTGCACATTTTGTTGGCGCTATATAAGTAAATTAGTAAATTAGTGTAATAAAAAAAAACTGCGTGAATAACAATAGTCAGGTCTATTAAGCAGCTGAAAACAGTACGTAAGTGGATCTTAATGAAAAGCACATTAAAAATCCCCCAGGATAATTTTTGGACTATTACTTGAAAGAAAAAAAGAGCCCTATGAAGATTAAGCAATATTTTCCTGCTGCCCCCCAGTGGATGAATTGTATTATGACATTAAGAAAGAACATTACTTTCAGATTCTTGACAAAAAATATTATTTGGTTTCAAAACGTAAAGATTGTGTGAACATTTATTATGGTGATATTTAGAATAAATTCTTTAGCCGCCGGGCATATCATTCAAAGAAGGATAGCTGTCAGGTATGTGTCCTTAATATTAAATGTATTTACTTAGGACTCCTTCATGGGATGGTGAGTGCCCACAAGTGGTGACATGTGGGATGTTATACCCAAGCAGAGTAGGAGATGAGCCCATCTCAAAATGTAGGGTGGCTAGTGAGAGTGACTAAATGGGAACAAGTGCCTAAAGCACTAGACATGTGCAATTAGTTTCGGTCCAAATTTAAGTTCGGACGAATTTCGGCAATTAAGACATTCGGATGCTTACGAATGTCTAAATTGCCGAATTTTTGAAGCGCCGAAGTGGGGAATTTTGAAAGTGCAAAACCAAACCGAATTGGCAAATTGACGAAGTCCCAAAGTGCCGAATTTCGGAAGTGCTGAATGGAATTGCCGAAGTGCCGAATTTCAGAAGTGCCGAAGTGCTTCGGATTTCTGAAAAGTGGCAAAACAGGAGAGAGAGGGAAAATTAAGGGAATGATGACCGGAATCTAACCCTAACCCTACTCCTAACCCTACCTCTAACCCTAATCGGTAGTAGGGTAGGGTTAGGGGTAGGGTTAGGGTTAGGGAATTGCCAAAGTGCCGTATTGCCGGAGTCTCGAATTTCAGAAGTGCTTAACCGAACCTAATGTTTTGCCCATGCACATCCCTATAAAGCACCCTTCTGCCAAAAACAGTGTAAATGATTGCAGTAACATTAAAATGATCATATTCGGAAAAGTGGCTGCCTTGCAGATTTTTTCCACAGAAGGCTCATGGCAAAAGGCTCACAATGTACCCACACCAGAAGTGGAGTGAGCAGTGACCCAGTCCAGGGGAGTCTTGTCAGCCAGGGCATAAGCCTTGAGGATCATGGGTTTGGGCCAGTCGAGGAGACGGAAGTAATACAAATGTATCTGGAAAATTAATTTCCTTCTGTAAGCTAAGAACCCACAAGGCCTGGTCCATTATCATAAATACCAGTATTAGTAAAGGGGGCCAGGCACTCCAATATCAAGCTTGACAAAGATTCCATTGGGAGTTGAAACGTTGCAGTGTTCCACATGTTCTAATAAAGGTGCCTAAAGACATTGGAGTGCCTGGACACTTTTTCTAATACTGATATTGAGCCCTTGGTTCAGTTAAGCACCTTGTCTCCAGTGAATTGAGTTCGGTTCCTTTTCTATTTTTTTGCAATTGGTCCATTATCATAGGCCAGTGCCTTGTCTTGTGCTTAAAATTCACTGCTCGCTTTGTCGTTTCTTCCTGCTTTCATTACTCCCCTGCTTGTCTATACGTAGAGCTACATATTCTAGAGGAGGGGCTGAAAAATCAAAAGAAAAAACTTGCATGAAAAGACAAAAACATATTTTTGTGTCAAACACCCATGTATTTCCTGAAGTGTGCCCAGAGTTCTCTAGAATGCAGCCACAAAGTTTGATCTGCAAAGGTAGCTATAGACTGTGAAAGGAGACATACATTGTAATTTTTTATTGTTTTGTAATAAAAAATGAAAGTCAATCCCTGCATATTTGTTGTTGTGTGGTTAGGTCCGGAACAAACGTACCATGGTTAAGACAAAGCTACGCAAGTTTTATCTATCCCAGTTCTCTTTCAGTGTTTTATTGCGTTTGTTTTTACATTTTAAAGGTTGCACCAAAAATCAAGGCTTTGATGATGGAATCAGGGACAACAATGGTCGGATACCAGCCCCAGGGAGATAAAGCTAACTTCTTCCGAATGGTCATCTCAAACCCTGCAGCCACCAAATCTGACATCGACTTCCTGATTGAAGAAATCGAGAGATTGGGACTGGAGTTGTAATAGTCGTGACATGTTCTGTTAACCTCATCCTCACCCACATCATGCTGATATGACATTTCCAGCACTTTACGGGTTAACTGGCTTAAAACAAGGTTTTAGAACAATAGACATTCCCTCAATAAGTTATAAATGTGCAATTCTCTTCTGGCACTTCAACCAACATAGGTTGCTGAAACATACACTAAATATTATAACAGAGATAAGCAATATTATCTAATAGGTGTACAGTAGAACCTTATTTTAGTGTGTTTGTTAAGGTAATCAGAAGCCTACATGGGATTTGAATGTTGTAATATATAGTACTCTTTAAGTGTGAGGTGGCATTTACTTAACCCCTTAAGGACACATGACATGTGTGACATGTCATGATTCCCTTTTATTCCAGAGGTTTGGTCCTTAAGGGGTTAAAGCAAGAATTGTGGTGAACAAACAAGGGACGTTTTAGGCCAGAATCACTAAACTTGAAAGCTACTATTTTGACCTAAATGTGTAGTTCCCTTGTGAACTCTCCAGAACACTAAATTTACAGGTTATTTACTTATGTGACGAAACTTTGAAATTCAATTGAATTTTCACATTGGTAAATAATCCTGTTAGGAACAGGGTCAGCTCTGGGCATTGTTTGAGCCAGCAACTGATTCATACAGGGTTATCCAATAAACTGTGAGCTGGCAGAAACTGACAAGTGAATCTCCAATTTTAGGACAAAAAAATGCTTAACTCTACAGTTCGCCTATTTTAGCTTGAAATTTGTAATTTACTAGTCAATGCCTAACAAGGCACAGTATTCTTAGGAAACATGAAGTATTTGAGCGAACAAGGGACCTGGCCAGTGGGATTTCTTATCCCTATGATTAAAGGATTCTTTCATGGCCCTGTACTATATAACTATACGTACACACTTAGAAGTACGCCACAAAAAAGTCTTGTTAAAAACATGTAGGTTTCTGAAATATTAAATGTGCTCTAATGTGTTAATACAAATTGCTTCTGTATATGCAAGCTAGAGTATTGAATCAATTTCTATTTTTTACCACGCGTTCTAATGCTCCACAGTACTAAAAACAACAATATTTTGCAATCTTATTCCTAATCTCCTGAATTGATGACAATTCAGTGTGTTAACTAGCAAGCTTTAGAAAATAAGCACATGATGTCATCAAGCTGTACTGCACCATTGTTATCTCTGTACAAAGAGGTTAAGTGAATACAGCTACAGATCATGATGCCTGTGAGGTTTAAACATGTTCAGACTTCTTTCCATATTGTAGTATCATTCAATACTTTGTGTATTGCAGGCTCCAAGTCAGTTATCTTTTGTTCTGAATAACACTGGCTTTAAAAAACCTACATGAATGTCTCTTTAAAGGGACAATCCCATATGATAAAAAATGTATATAAGAACTAGGGTTTCTTTGCTAATGCGTGACAAAAGTCAGAACTAAGAATGTATAGAAAAGAGGATATTGTTTAAATACAATCGCAATAACTATTGAACTGTGAAGTATTGAAAGTGAGTATACAAACCAGAAAAGAATTGCTTACATCCCTTTGCATATAAAGCATATTTGTATGTATATATTAACCCATTAGAGTCCATTTAAATAAATCCTGCCTAACAGTATTAAACCTTATTGTTGGTGCTTTAATACCTTTAGACAGCACCATCCAGTAAGTAGATTGCTCGTCCCCTTTGTAGTGTCTTGGGGGTAATAATAGCACAGTTGTTGTAACAGGTACTATATTGCTGTATTTTTAGGGATTAATTTATGTAGATTGTGTACATTATTGTTAAATGACTTTGTGCAATGGGAATAAATGTAATAGTTTTACAGTTATTTAACAGCTAAATGATAGTTATAAAAAAAAAAAATTGCTTATTTATATGCAGAGATTTCCCATGTTAAAGAGGTGTCTTGTATTTTCTTCCATTTGTAATGTAATCTATTTATATTATATACATATAAATATATAAATATATATACAGTATATATTAATGAACTAAGTTCTAAATAACGTTTATTGTAATTCAGTGTCTTTGTGAGCCAAAGAAATCTGAGAAATATAGTGGAACCAGGAATTACGTTCAAATGCCCTCAAAAGGCATTTCAGAAAGAAAAATAAAATTCCATTTACACCCTTTGGGTGTGAGAGGTGCACCCTTGCAGTGTACAAAAAGTTAGGTAGGAACACAGGAGTCTAGTTTAGCAAACTTACTGCTAACAACTAGCTGTCATCAGTCATTTGCATTGCATACCGATACATTTATCACGGCAAAATTGGAGCAATCTTGGGGCAATACGCTAAATGTGGAGCAATCACCAAACAAAGGATTTCTACTGATTCCTCTACTGTAGGAGAAGATAGAAGGTAGATATTCAACAGACAATCTAGCTTTTGGTCAACTGATAATCTAGCTTTTTGGTCAGCTTTGGTCAACTGATGATCTAGCTTTTAGTCAACTTTGGTCTAGAGCAGAGGTATGCAAGTTTTGGCAATCCTGATGTATTGGACTACATCTCCCATAATACTCTTACAGCCATAATGTAGTGCTGTATAAATGTAGTGCACAACATCTGGAGTGCCGAAGGATGCCGACCGCTTGCTCTAGAACAAATGTTTAGCCTTCTGTGATATACTGAAGGTCTAAAACTGCAGTAGAGCTACCCTATGGCGACCTCTAGTGCACTGATTTGGAATTAATTCAGAACATATACATGATTGGCCATTGATTTCCAAAGTAATTAGGTTCTTTTTCATGTGTGAAAATGTTTAAGATAGAGATTAATTTGCCCGTTCTCTGCCCAGGATAAGTCCTGTGGAAAAATCGAAGCACCTTGTTAAAAAACTCACACAAAGACCAATTCTTGGGCAAGTTGCCAGCCGTGAAACAGTCAGTTTGAACATTCTGTAGTTTCCATGGTGATCAGAGCAGGATTAACCATACGGCGACTCTCAACGGCCACCTAGCGTCCAGGAATTAGACAGGTACCCCAGAACCATGAAATTATTTGTCCATTAACCATCCCTGTGTAAAGAATGCAAGGGGGGGGGGGCATAACTGGCAATCTGCCGAGGACCCCATGTTAAAAAAATTATTTCTTTGATTGGTCATAGCTCCACTTCTAGAATTTATCCCCAGAATTTCTCTTTAAGGACGTGGTCAATATAAGCCATTAGACATAATTATTTTGCAGATCCTAGCACTATTAAACAGAGTATTTAAACTCAGTATTGATTTTGATAATCATGCTATTATCAACATGCTGAATCAGAACATGGTTAACTATTTATTTATTGTTGCTTGGTTTTGTGTGATTTTCACACTGCTTACACCATACCTCTTTCTCCCTAATGAAAACATTTTGCTGCAATGCCACTATTTCTTGAAGCATTACTGTATATAAGCAGTATGCACAGTATATGTGTAGTGTGTTTCTACATTATCATATTAACCTTAACTAGTATAGAATCAACAGATATGCTGTAGTTATATTAGGAGTATCACCAGTACATTAAGTAACGTATATGCATTGACGTGCGTCACCTCCAATCTATTGCACCTTTCCCAAGGATGATATTCTGTGAGCGCCAATGAGGTCGAGTTTTAACCTTTAACCTCCTGGCATAAAAAGAGTTAACAGGTACGATCCAGTATAAGGTTTTAAAACATGGTTGCTCACACACGATAGCATTGTTAGATATAGCTAGTTGAGAATCATTAGAGGTTTAGTCCATGGGTCCTTTGGCTCCCATTTTATAGACAGAACAATTATAAGATATCTAAATAGAGATAAATGGATTAAAATGGCATTAATTGACTAACTACATAACATGTAATTGGTAAACATTAAATATTTCTCAAAGGAGAATTCGTTTGTACCCCGTCTCCATTCCATGTGTTAATTCATGTAATCTGTGTATGTATTATGTTTTAATAATATGCCTTAGCAAACCATTTAAACATGATCACTGCGGGTCACATATTGTCTCTGAAATGACTTTATGCCAGACATTCCACCAATTAAAACAGAAATAGTAGCATTTAAGTATTGGAAGCACAGCATTACAGCAAACAGATGGAAACGTTATAAAAAACACCGTCATTATACTTCAAACCTGGTAATCAGAAAGCTCAGTAATGATCTCTGACGGGACATGCCAGGTGCTATATTATTAACATGAACGCACATGTAACATGTGATGTCACAAACCGACATAGTATCTTACTAAGCGTCTTTTCCCAGATTTTATGGCACATCATTACGCCCGTGCCGCTCTCATTGCTCTTATCCACAATAAAACAAGAATATACCAGTCTCATAATATTTCCACCCACAGGACCACTTACCTACTTACTTAAACAAGTGTTCTTAAACACAAGAGGTCAAGGTTTTTCCAGATATCTCCATGGACAATCCCAAAATCCAGATCTCATCAATCAGACCCCCTTTCAACAAATCCCAAACTCTAGGTGTACAACGGAGTAATGTGCTTTTGTGTATTGAAAAAACGGTGCATTTCAATATATATTCTATGGGCCACTTTTGGGAATCAAACGAATTGTTCCCTGTTCTGTCTTGTGTTCAGGATGTGAAATTGTAATATTGAAAACCAACCAGGCTCTTTCACATTTACAGCATCTTCCGAAAGACAAACTAAAGGGGCAAATTGCAATGGTCTATAATGCTACCCAAAAGGCACAAAAAATAGAGGACAGACTCTTATTTAAAGGATCCTAATGCAAATGATTAGGAACCTTTTTCAAAATTTCTACCATTTTTTTTCCAGGAAATATGGTTCACAGTTTCATAAAAATAGTAGATGACAGAGAACATCCCTAATCAGTTGAAATTAATAAATACAGAACGCTAATTCGTCATAATGTTCATTTTCATCCGCATCCCATTAAATCACAAATCCACGATCATATTCTAAGTAAAATGAAAATGTGCCAAAATGTCTTGTGAGGTTTCACTTGTTGTGAAAATCTTGTGACAATCGTATCTTGTCAAAATGTTTTGTAAAATTATCATAAAATGCTGTGTTTGTCTTCGTTCCTGCTATATGAAAGCACAAAGCGGCTTTATACTGAAACAGATTACAGATACAAATAATAAATGCAAATTTAGTGGAAAGCCGCATCTGACTAATTTTCTTTCTGTAAATCCAACAATTGAAAAAAATCTCTTATCAGCCGTAAGATTCCATCGGAACTGAATGTATTTTATTAAATAATGAATGGTGTGTTTTTCAGAATTCCAAACGTGTGAGCTGATTGCATGATATGCTATTTAGACGAAGGGTCTTTTCACAAAACAGCAATTTGTAAACCAGGTTTAGAAATGAAAAGCAAAGTTTAGTCTTAAATATCTGTGTTGGATATAATGTCTAATACAGGGTTGGAGATTTTTACAAGTTTTGACTTAAGTGAAACTGTCACTTCTTCACTTTTAGCTCGATCAAATAGCTAACTAAAAGTCAGATATTGGTTGTGCTAAATGCGTTTTTTTTCCTTTCTTTAAATCTTTATATTCCTTTAGATATTAGCTTAGATACTTTCCTTGCCAGCATCAGGATAGTATGTAAAGTAATTAAGTCTCAGTACCGTACGTAAAGCAAATATATGTGTGTATGACTCTGCTGGAGAAGATACTAAGCTTGTCTGCGCATGTACAGAATTTCTCTATTAGATTCTCGAATGAAAATGTGAGTGCCTAAAGAATCATAGGGCTGCAAAACCGTGGGACAGCGGTGTAGGTAAGTACATATTTTGCGTATCTCCACTGCCCAATTAATCTTGGTAAATGCTATTTCAGCATTTACTGGGGTGAAGGAATTGGGAAATGTCACCTGCCTGGCAGTGGCAGTTCCTCTTTGAATTATACGAGTCAAAAAGTAAATCTTTCTTAGTAAGTAGTCTCCACGGAGGTAGATCTGTGCAAATGAATTCTAGTAAGCCTTCGAAGTAGTACTGTATGTATAAAGTTTTATTCGCTAAAAAAATGGAAAGTGAGAATTTTATGGCCAAGGTAGCTCAAATGGAAATATATCTCCAAGTCAACGGTTTCTAGTTCAGCGAAATGTGAAATTTTCTTTGAATTCAAAGCTCTCATTTTAGAGAATAATCCTGGTGGTATATAGTCCCTGTATCCAAGACACTGCACATCCAAACAGACATAAGAACGAACAAAAATATTTAAAATATCTGTTCCATTATCATTATAAAAGTGACTCTTTAGGGGCATACTAGATCTTCATCATGCCAGACGAGACGTTTGCTATTCTTGTAATGATTGAGTAAAACAAACCCGGAGAAATTCACTAAAGTGTGGATTGTCTGAAATTCGAAATTAATTTAGAATGTAGCTAAAAACAGCAAAACGGAACACATACCTAATTATGAAGATGTTTTTGCGATTCGAAATTTGTTTCCTAAAATGTAAAATTCACTTTGAACTCCTGACAATTCACATTTTATTGAACATTCCTGACAAAGATGAGGTGGCTAATCTGGCCTAAGAATGGCAAGTTGCTTAACAACTACTCATCACAATACACGGCTTAGTAAGTAGAGCCCAGTGTTTCTGGGGTATATCTCTACCTTAAGGAATTTAAGGGTCAATCATTCCTACAATACAGACATGGGGGGATGATGAAGCACAGGAGCGGGTGAAATGTTGTCTCTTTTGGTTTAATACTACAACACACCTTATTACCTTACAGTTGTAACTTATCAATCTTATTATTGCAGTCAAACGACTGCACTGGGAGTTTATTATGTCCAACCTTGCCACACAGGAAGTCAGTCAGAGCTGGATTAAGGTTGCTCAGGGCCCTTGGCAGAATTCCAGATTGGGGCCGCCTCCTAGATCTGTGGGCTCTTTTCTGTGAGTGTTCAATGTGTGTGTGTGTTGGTGAAGTGTTCTACAGTATGTGCATGGGGGAGATTAAGTGTGGTGTGTGTAGTGATTGTAGTGATTGAGTGTTGTGTGTATGGAAGAAGCGGAAAGTAGAATATGCTGGTTGAGTATTGTGTGTGGAGTGTCTGAAATGTTTAGTGAAGGACTCTAACTGTTGTTGTGTGTGAGTCTGCGTGTGACTGGCTGTGTACTCTGTGTGTGTAGTGTCTGAGTGTGTGTAAGTTGGCTTTTTTTGCCCGCCATTCTTTGCAGCATCACTGGAAGGCCAGTGGAGACTTTTGTTGGTGGTCAAGGGGGAAAGTTATTGTCTACACCAAAATCAGGTGAAAATCCATTTATGACTTCCCTTGTGGTCTCTGTGATGCTCTGAGTTACTGAAAAGTGCTAAGGAACTACAAGAGAGCTCCTAAATTGATCTGCGCCTGATAAAGGTGTAGACCACAAAGCTCCCTCAAAGCTCGCTTTTATTCAGCATATTAAATGTTGCTCTTTTGCTGCCATTGACCATTAATAAGTGGAAGAGGGGAAAAAAAAAAAACAAAGCTTCTATTTTCCTCTTCATTTGCATAGTGTGCCCTGCCTATGCCTGGACTGAACTGGGTTGTGATATCACTAGGTATTTCTTTAATATACATATTAAAAGGCTATGATCGCATGAAAAAAGTTTAACACGTGCTACATGTTTTTTTTCAATGTTTTTTTTAGTGGTGTAATATCCAGACAATGACAGTTTCACTTTTAGAGTTACGAAATGAGTGTTACTTATCTAATAGCTACTGCAAATTATATAAAGAGGTTCAGACAACAGAGTTAAGGGTTTTTACCACTTATCTTTCCTTGGGACTTGAGCTAATAATATTATCTAAACTGCAGAGGTGTTTAGCTTGCAAGGCATATTATTATCACAGAACCCAATTCAAGGTTAGAATCAGCAAAATCAGGACCACACATACATTATACTGTATTGGACCCAAAACCTGTGATTATTCCTAGAACAAACATGGGTGTTTAAGTCAAGGTCACATTAAAAGCTCCTGCAAATGTAACTCCAGATAATATAGGCACATTAGATGATAATCTATAACAAAAGAGTGTGTACTGTATAGTTTACTTCATATGGATCCAAATGCGTTGTCCATATCCTTCAAGACATGGAGAACGAATCAGGTCTCCAATGCATGTGAGGAGAGCCAGATCTTGTGGCCAGTCAGTCAACCGGCCATTTGGCCAGGAGTCTATTGCCTACGGTAGGTGCTGAATAACAGAAAGACAAGGGGATCCAACATTTTTTTTATTTTACATTTAATTTTTTTATTATCACTGTACAGCAATATACAGGCAGGAATTTTAACATAGTTCCAATTCTCATGATTAATAATAATTTCAGATTGGTACAGAGGAACGCAAACAAAAAACCCAGATGGAAGATGACTCACAGGGGATTTTTCTACTAAGCAGAGAGTAAACCGTGACTCCAATCAGCATAAATACTTTTAGATAACTCTCCAGCCACCCTTGACACGTAGGAATTAACAGGAAGTACATATTCGTTATAAATCATCTAGCGATCATCAACAGACAATGCAAAAAATGCCAGACAAAATATTAAAACATCAGTAGATGCAGCAAAAAATAAGCTGTATATTTTTAACTATAATGTTAGCTTTATTGGTGGGACATTTTGGTGGCAAACAAAGTTTATATCTCCAAGTTTCATAGTATCCCAACATTCCTTGTACAATAGCTGTCTTTCACAATAGAAACAGGATAGGAAAGGATCTTCTTTGCTTTCATTGGCTGTCTCCCTAAATCCTGTCATTAGAAACCAAAGTGGATCGGATAAGTCCTTCAGACCATTAGTCCTCCTGACATACAGGTATCTGCAAAGCTATTCCAACACACCAATGTATCTTTTCCAATCGTACAATTTTCCCACAATGCTCAGGTTTCCTCCATAGTTTTGCAAGCTCACCTTTACATTTCCGAGTACTGCGCATGCACTGTAAAATGGTCTTTACTTATGGCCTCCTGTGCATGCGTGAGCATTGTTCATTGCTATACCAACAATTAGAGGCAGGATTTACATTGCGTTGCATACTGAGGCATTATACTTGTGTCCCCTGCTGTATAGTCCAAAACCACTGCACGATGTCTCTGTGCACCAAATACTGGCGAGATGGCACCGTGTTGAAAAGTCCAAACAGTGTCTGTGAGTTAAAATGGCCGCCATCCATTATACGGTGATTGTTTTTCATTTAGCCTGTATATGTTCTGCAGAATCTGCATTAAACTGTATCTTCCAAAGTACTGAACGGATCTGGGTGAATTTTGGATATGTGGTTCACCCACATCCCCCGGTTCCAGGATATACTTTTTATGGGGTTATTGCATGTTTTGGGGTCCCTGTGATGTGTTTTATGAAACTGTATTTCTCTGTCTGTGATAATTAGATTACCCATTGTGTAAGGTAATTGTATTACAAGCAGAGGGGAGGATTTTGTGTGGGAGTGTCTGTGTGTATTGTACAGATTGATTGGTTGTTCTGTAAAACCCTGTGGGCAGTACTAAGTTTGTGGATTGGGAATAAAAGAGGCTGTATGTGCCAGTACAGTCAGTTCCTGTTCTAACCCTCAAAGTGAAGTGTCGTCTCATTATTGGGGGAAGGATTTATTGTATGCTGTTCCAGTTTGACTGCTAGGTGAGTAAACCTATTCGTATGGTTCCTATTCAACTGTCTACAGCATTCATATGCTTGAGAGCATTCACATGCTCCTACGGTTCGGTGGTTTTAGTGTCCTCAGGAAGTGCTAGGAGCATCCTTCAACGGAGGTACCCAGTCGGGGTGCCAGGTGATCCGTTACAGTCTCCAAGCCTGTCTCCACAACACCATTAGCCTCAGTGTCTGAGCCTGTCTCCACAACACCACTACCCACATATACACACTCAGCAGACACACACACACACTGCTACCCACATGCACACATTCACACACACACACTGCTATTCACACAGATATCCACACACACAGATATCCACACACACACACACATATCCCCACATACACACACACACAGATATACACACACACACACACACAGATATCCACACACACACACAGATATCCACACACACACACACTGATATCCACATACACACACTGATATCCACTGTGATCCTTGTCTGCAGGTAGCACGGTCCTCTTGGGCACAAACATGCACAGTCTTTTAAGGCAACTAAATTTCCAGGCACTTTATTGTTAAACTCCACAAAGACAGCAGCACATGAAAAACAAAAATGTAACAAAACCCTATAAGCAAAAACCTAGCTCGGTCTGAGCACTAACTAACATCTAGTTCCCTCTCTCTCAAGGGTTTAAACTATAACAAAACAAGAAGTGGTTTCACAAACCTAGTGTCTTTGTCAGCTCTCAGAACTCCACTGTTTAGACAGCCTGCTGCTTCCAGCCCTTCAAGAGAGAAACAAACATTCTCTCTCTTTTCCGCACTCCCAGGGCTCCAAGCCAGCCTTGACTGCTTTCCTTTTGCACTCCCAGTGCTCAGTCTCCTTGACACTCTCACTGGAGAGAACAGCATCTCTCCAACCTGCTTCCAGGGAGGAAGCCAGCAATCCCTCTTTTCCTGCATAGCAGGGAGGGGTTTATTCCAACTGCTACAGCTGATTATCTGCAGCAGAGCAGTGGATTGGAGACAGTTCCAAAAAAACTCTTGCCTGGACCTGATTCCTCCCAGTTGTGTATAAACTGAGGAGTGGAGCATTGGCCCACCCTGCTCTCCAAATGCTCCACCCCAGGGGCGCATAACTAAACGGTGGTTTGTGTTGCCTACAACACATACTCCCCCTGGGGTTAAATGTTATAGGCCTATCTGCCTTCACTTTATCACACCACATACACACACTGATATCCACATGCACACACAGATATCCACATGCACACACAGATATCCACATACACGCACTGATAACCACACGCACACACTGATATCTACACACACAGGGGCGTATTAGCCGCGAGGCAAACAAGGCATTTGCCTTGGGCGGCATTTTTCAGGGAGCGGCAAAAAAGCCGCCCCCCAAATGCCCAGGGCAAATGCCTTGTTAGCCTCGCGGCTAACAGACATGCCGAGCTGGCAGCGCGACGCCGAGTGAGACTGGGAGACGGAATATGATGTCATCTTCCGGCTCCCAGCCTCACTCTGCTGGCGGCGCGCGAGGGAGCTGAGCAGAGCGCTCAGGGGAAGAGCTCCCTCGCCGCCCGCCCTGCAGCCACTGGACCCCAGGACCCCATGGAGAGGAAGAACCCCCCCAGCATTCGCAAAGGTAAGGAGGCTGATGGGGTTAAATAAAAAAAAAAACACAAGTGAGTGTTAGTGTGTGTGTATGTTAGTGTGTGTGTATGTATGTTAGTGTGTGTGTGTGTGTCTGTTAGTGTGTGTGTGTCTGTTAGTGTGTGTGTGTATGCTAGTGTTAGTGTGTGTGTGTGTCTGTTAGTGTGTGTGTGTATGTTAGTGTGTGTGTCTGTTAGTGTGTGTGTTAGTGTGTGTCTGTTAGTGTTTGTGTGTCTGTTAGTGTGTGTGTATGTTAGTGTTAGTGTGTGTGTGTCTCGTTAGTGTGTGTGTCTGTTAGTGTGTGTGTGATGTCTGTTAAAGTGTGTGTGCGTGTAAAAAGTGTCTGCTAGTGTGTGTGTGTCTGTTAGTGTTAGTGTGTATGCTAGTAAGTGCGGTTCGCTAGTGTGTGTGTGTTAAAGTGCATGTTAGTAGCAGTGTGTGTGTATGTTAGTGTGTGTCTGTTAGTGTGTGTGTGTTCATCTAGTGTGTGTTTGCCTGTTGTGTGTGTGTGTGTTAGTGTGTGTGTGCGTCTGTTAGTGAGTGTGTGTTTGCCTGTTAGTGTGTGTGTGTGTGTTTGCCCGTGAGTGTGTGTCTGCCAGTGAGTGTGTGTGTGTCTGTTAGTGAGTGTGTGTTTCTGTTAGCTAGTGAATGCGTATCTGTCAGTGAATGTGTGTGTGTGTATTTAGAAGGCGGAGCAGGGGGGAAGGGTTGGGTGGCGGTTGCGCGGGTGGGGGTGGCGCTGGGGGGTGCCTGAGTTTTGTCCTGCCTAGGGCAGCACAAAACCAGGATACACCACTGCACACACACACTGATATCCACATGCACACACACTGATATCCACATGCTGTCAGAGTATTTATATCGGCAGACATTTTGTGCTATGATAGAAATTAAAAGTGTATATTCTGAGTCACTCTGAACAGACCAGACTCCATTTTGTTATTCCAAGTTAACAAAAAAGACACAAAATTCTTTCTGTAAGACTGGCCTCTTTGCCAGAGCTAAGGAATGCATAGTATAAACAAGTGATAAGGAACGGGGTTGGACAGACTGTCTAATGCTAATGGAATATAATCAAATCTAAACCCAGACAATTGTGACAGAGAAGATTAAATAATTTAATATTAACTGTCTATATATATAAGGTACCATTGTATGGAAAAGGGTAAACTTAGTTCATGATCTGTCATATCAGAAATTATGGCAGGAATTGCAGACGCTAAGTCTGGACAAAATTTAAGAAATCCTTTGAAATTTTAAATTATGGCGCTATAAAGATAATGCAAAATGACGTCAAAATAGCCACCAGGAAAAGTTAACTCTTTCCTGGATAGGTATGTTTAGTGGGACAAGACTGCCCTCTACAGACCAAATAACTAATTTACGATCTGGAAGATAACCACACCTCTAGTGCTTCTATTGGGTTATCAACTGATGACGTACAGAGAGTCTGGCCCTTTAAAAGTTAAGACAAAGGGAAGATAGGGAGACAGACGAAGGAGGCAGATGAAGATATGCAAAGGAGAGAAAAGAGAGGAATTGGAAGTTTGGGGACTCCAACCTCCATGCAGAGACACATCCAAATAAATTCCTGAGACTACCAATCGGATGAAATATCTACTCAACTGGTAATTATACTGGTTTCATTTAATTAAATTAAATTAATTAAAATGTATTAATAGCATTATATATGACTGGATAAAGCACGGTCAGATTTCCATATTAAGAAATCTTAGTTAACTAAGAATATATAGTTATAAACATTCCATTCTGCAGGTGGAATTAAGAATAATTATATATTAATGTGATATTATCACGTGTTAGCATACCGCTGTTTTTATCCAGGTGTATTGATTTGCTCTAAATTAAGATAGATATCTTTTAGACAAATTAAAATCTGCTTATATAATATGTAGATTCTCTTATTGGATTGTTTTCAGGAAATGGCTAATGAACTGGTTTAAATGTTAGTTTATTTAAAAATTACATCAGAATAGATCTTAACTACCTAGGAGATCTAGCCAGCATTGAAAGGGTTATTCTAACTGTCGGCTAAACTTTACGACCTTACGCTGCACTCTGAGGAATTCTGTTCTTCTGTGAAAAGTTTCACTTTCAGCCTGTGTTAAAGATAGTCATAAATAATTCTTGACAGGAAATGCTATTTAGCCATTGTAACGTAATACCCATTTCTTTGTACTACATATAATTTTATACTGAATATTCATTGATTATTGTCATGCATGTTACATATATTATTATTAATTATTGGTTATCATAAATAAAAATCTATTTTTATATAAACTGTGAATATTATTTATATGGTACACATTTCACTTAACACGATAAACGTTCTTTGGGATCTGAGAATTGAATTAGTGGGCAATTCTCACTGTTACTATTATTATCCCATAAATATCCCCACAATGCACAGACATTCATTGATTTCACATACATACACTGATATCCACATGCACACACTGATTTCTACATAAACAGACTGATATCCACATACACACACTGATATCCACACGCACAAACTGATATCCACATGTACACACAGATATCCACATACACACACTGATATCCACATGCACACACTGATATCCACATACACACACACTGATATCCACATACACACACTGATATCCACATGCACACACACTGATATCCACACACACTGATATCCACATGCACACACACTGATATCCACACACACTGATATCCACACACACACTGATTTCTACACACACACACTGATATCCACATGCACACACACTGATATCCACATACACACACACACACTGATTTCCACACGCACACACTGATATCCACACACACACTGATATCCACACACACACACTGATATCCACATACACACACACTGATATCCACACACACACACTGATATCCACACACACACACTGATATCTACACACACACACTGATATCCACACGCACACACACTGATATCCACACACACACACACTGATATCCACATGCACACACACTGATATCCACACACACACACACTGATATCCACATGCACACACACTGATATCCACACGCACACACACTGATATCTACATACACACACTGATGATCCCATTCCTGCAGTTCAGCGAGGAGCCGCCAGAGGCCGCTGTCGCGAGATGACGTCGTGTCCCGGGAACTCCCAGCATGCTCCTGGAATGTCAGTTTGCCACGTAACGAGCTGCGCTTGGTTGCCTTGTCACAGGTAGCTAACACCGGGAGCGGCCCGAGCTGTCTGTCCTCACCGCCGACACCCCGGGCGAGACATGGGGGGCTCGCAGAGCGTGGAGATACCAGGAGGAGGCACGGAGGGATATCATGTGCTGCGGGTATGTGTGTGCAAGGCCTGAGCCGATTAACAAAGCAAACTAGCAAGCCAGCCAGCAAACCAGCCAGGGGCCCCCCTCAAACCAGCCAGCCAGGGGCCCCCCTCAAACCAGCCAGCCAGGGGCCCCCCCTCAAACCAACCAGCCAGGGGCCCCCCTCAAACCAGCCAGCCAGGGGCCCCCCTCAAACCAGCCAGCCAGGGGCCCCCCTCAAACCAACCAGCCAGGGGCCCCCCTCAAACCAGCCAGCCAGGGCCCCCCCTCAAACCAACCAGCCAGGGCCCCTCAAACCAACTCAGAGCCCCCCCTCAAAACCAGCCAGCCAGGGGCTCTCAAACCAACAGGGCCTCCTCAAACCCAGCCAGGGGCCCCCTCAAACCAGCAGGACCCCCCTCAAACCAGCCAGCCAGGGCCCCCTCCCAAACCAACCAGCCAGGGCCCCCTCAAACCAACCAGCCCAGGGCCCCCTCCTCAAACCAGCCAGCCAGGGCCCCTCCTCAAACCAACCAGCCAGGGCCCCTCCTCCAAACCAGCCAGCCAGGCCCCCTCAAACAGCCAGCCAGGGCCCCCCTCAAACCAGCCAGCCAGGGCCCCTCTCCAAACCAGCCAGCCCAGGGCCCCCCCCCTCAAACCAGCCAGCAGGGCCCTCCCACTCAAGCCGGCAGCCAGGGGCTACTCAAACCAGCCAGCCCAGGGCCCCTCAAACCAGGCAGCCAGGGCCCCCCTCTCAAACCAGGCAGCCGGGGCCCCCCTCTCAAACCAGGCAGCCGGGGCCCCCCTCTCAAACCAGGCAGCCGGGGCCCCCCTCTCAAACCAGGCAGCCGGGGCCCCCCTCTCAAACCAGGCAGCCGGGGCCCCCCTCTCAAACCAGGCAGCCGGGGCCCCCCTCTCAAACCAGGCAGCCGGGGCCCCCCTCTCAAACCAGGCAGCCGGGGCCCCCCTCTCAAACCAGGCAGCCGGGGGCCCCCTTCAAACCAGCCAGCCGGGGGCCCCCTTCAAACCAGCCAGCCAGAGTCCCCCTGCGGTAGGTACTCCAGCCAGCCAGGGTCCCCCTGCGGTAGGTACTCCAGCCAGCCGGGTCCCCCTGCGGTAGGTACTCCAGCCAGCCGGGTCCCCCTGCGGTAGGTACTCCAGCCAGCCAGGGTCCCCCTGCGGTAGGTACTCCAGCCAGCCAGGGTCCCCCTGCGGTAGGTACTCCAGCCAGCCGGGGGCCCCCTGCGGTAGGTACTCCAGCCAGCCGGGGCCCCCTGCGGTAGGTACTCCAGCCAGCCGGGGGCCCCCTGCGGTAGGTACTCCAGCCAGCCGGGGCCCCCTGCGGTAGGTACTCCAGCCAGCCGGGGGCCCCCTGCGGTAGGTACTCCAGCCAGCCGGGGGCCCCCTGCGGTAGGTACTCCAGCCAGCCGGGGGCCGCCTGCGGTAGGTACTCCGGGTAAGCCAGCCGGGGGCCGCCTGCGGTAGGTACTCCGGGTAACAGCCAGCCGGGGCCGCCTGCGGTAGGTACTCCGGGTAACAGCCAGCCAGGGGCCGCCTGCGGTAGGTACTCCGGGTAACAGCCAGCCAGGGGCTGCCTGCGGTAGGTACTCCGGGTAACAGCCAGCCAGGGGCCGCCTGCGGTAGGTACTCCGGGTAACAGCCAGCCAGGGGCCGCCTGCGGTAGGTACTCCGGGTAACAGCCACCCAGGGGCCGCCTGCGGTAGGTACTCCCGCTGGCCCGCCATTACAAATCCAGGGATACCCAGCTACATCCCAGGCTGTCAGAGCATTATGGGGACTGCAGTCCATCTACACCAGCAGCAGTCCAGCAGGTCTCTAGAAATTCCCTGTTACACTATAGTTAGCTATGGCTGTCTTCCAGTATTGAAGCCATAACCTTAGTAGTATTTTAATGTTTTTAATTTTTATTATACAGGCCTGTTATTATAGCTTTATATAATATATAAAAGATTTATCCAGTGCCCTCAACAGTGCTGTTTTAACCAGACATTGTCATGGACCCAAATTATGCTCTTGTGATTAGTGTGACATCCCATTCTTAAGTAAAATCAGCTTAATGAGACATTCTTGAATTAAAATAGACAGAAAAGTCTGCATTGGACTTTTTACATTCTAAAAGGGCGTCTCCTGTTCAATGGGGAAGGTTTTGCCGCTATAAGGAATAATATATTGTGAACAGTATGTATGGTGCCAGGATGATTATAATGTGCCTGTGCTAAACATTGGAAATGGCTTGGGGATCCAATTTCTTATACCGGACAGGATTTTACAGGTTTAAACAATACATTTGTAACCTAGTTACTTTAGGGTCAAATCCATCAACCTGTACATTTGATTAAGTAATGGAGATATAGGGATTATCTCAAAAAAGATTAACAAAGTATGTATAAAGCACACAGACTGTGCCACTGTCTCTGTAGAAACATTTGTATCATGTAGAGTAAGAATTACGATGATGTACATATGTAGTATTTTTTTTGCCCCCCTCCCACCCACCCAAAAGCTTGCTCTATAAAATAACCATTACAACGGTGTGTATGTTGTCCTATTTGGTTTTAATACCTTTAGGATTAAGAGTTAGGAAAATCCTAATCAGTCTTGACACAACATTATTCCAAAAACCATTAAAAATTACACAAGATGAGAAAATATTTATGAATGAAAAGATTTGTAAGATTTAGGAAGGAGATTTTTGTGATTGGATTCAGCATAGTACCAAACATTAGTGTGTCTCTTAAGTACAGTAACAAACAGTAGCGTGTTCATTGTATAACAGGATGTACTTAAATCACGCCAGCTTGGTTTTTGAAATCTTACTGACCCAGGAAAAAAATATATATATTATTACTTAGAGCATGTGAAGCATGCATGATTAGCTCTCAAGTCAATGCTGAGTTGTCCTAGAGAGCTGAATATTTATGTGGTCTTGGCTTCAAACATGCGGTTAAAACAGCAGTGGATTTTGTAGATTTTGGGTTCAGTATGAAATCTGGGTGAATCATGCACAAATCTCTGATTGAAACAGTTTAAAGGAACACGCCAAGCATGTGGTGGTTTCGGTCCAGAGAGTGTCCCCTTAAAATAAACATTTCATTTAGTAAAATTTTAAGAAACACTTTGAGCACTAAAGCTACTACAGCCCACTGTAGTGGTTATGGTACTAGAAATGTTCTGGCTTCCTCTAAGTAGGCACACTATTTGAAACCAATTTGACAATTTACCTAGGAACATCCAATCACAGCTTTTCCTGGTGCTGAAAGCTCCTGCCAGGTGTTTCCGTTCGCTCACCTGAGTTGTATCGTTTGACAACTTGCCACAGGAGGGCGCCAGGGCACTCCTAGCACCATAACCACTACATTGGGTTGGAGTGTTCCTTTAAAGCCAAAATGTAATCAAAAGAACTTAAAGGAACATTCTAATGCTTGGCAAATCTACATGCATTGCACTTGAGGTGCCTTTGCACAGCACACACGTTTTCCAGTGCCAAACAGGCTAGGAAATCTATGGGTCTCCCTGGAGCTGGACTATCATGGATTCCAGTGAGACTTCTTCAGATATCTTAGTGCCAGCCAAGTGGTGATTGCAGCAGTTGGTAATGGACAATCCTCAATTTACCCATTGCAGCACTTAGAGAACGTGATTTCAGATCACTTTCTCCAAGCGCATGTGAAGGGGAAACCGCACGAGAATTGATTCAGTGATATGCAGTGGTCATGGTGATAGGAGTCTGGATGTCCACTGTTTCTGTTTGCACTTGTGTGCAGGGGGGCTAGTTATATTTGTGATGCACGTGATTTTGGTTGCCTGGAACTCGTTTTCCCTAGCCACAACTCTCATGGCTGTGACTGACACCGCCTCCTTGAAAGAAAGGTTTACTTCAGAAGTTCTTACCTCAGGTTTAGTTGAAGATTAATCACACATAGGAAGCCACTTTTAGCTGTAGCAGGTAATTATCAGAGCAGGAGTTCTAAATTGAATACACTGTACAATAAGGGAAGCTTTAAAAAAAAAAAAAAAAAGTCCACTTTTTTCAGGAAGTGTGTAGGGAGACTGTGAGTTACAGCCATGGGAGGTGTGACCAGAGCTGCATAAACAAAGATATTTAGCTCCTAAATGGTAGAGAATTAAGCAGTGAGACTGCAACGACATGATCTATACACCTAGGCTGCTCAAGCTAAAGTTGTTTGTGTGTAAGTATTATCTAAAGCTATTGGCAGTCTTATGCTGTTGAATAGGATTTGATCAATAATGGCTAAGTTCTTGCCTGTGCCACCATGCACATAATTACTTATTACAGAAGTGATTTGCAAGAATCGTGAAAGCTATTAGACCATTCCCTAATTGAGACACATCACAAGAGGAAGCTTATACTTCATCCTACCTCACCAAGAAACTTTATCATGCATTTAAAAAATCCCCATTTAGGCTTTAAGACTCCTTCACAGTAGCCAGAAGGTCAAATGTAATAGTTACACACAGAATGCTGTTAATTGAGTTGCAGATAAGAAGATAGCAGCTGTTATCAACCTTTGCATCTGTTTCTGATCTGATGAATTGTGTTGCTGGCAAGTGCACTATAAAGGAACACAATAGGGTCAGGAACACAAACTTGTATTCCTGACTCTATAGTGTTAAAACCACTATCAGGCTTTCCCTTCTCATCTCAGATCTAGATCATTATTGTCTCATTCAAGATCTACAGATTTGACATGGCCCTCAAAAGTTTTTTTGTATATCTTTATTACTAACCTTGTGTATTACGTTTCATACGAATTGAACTTCACCTGAATTTTGGTCATCAGATGGTGGTCCAAATTCTGTAAAGCATAAGTGCCATATGATGAAAAAAACATCACAAACAATAGCTGAATAGCTATTGCTTTGTAATTCAGTATTTTGTTAGCAATGAAATAAAAGATGTATAAATAAGAAAGAAATAAGCCATAAATCGACAATACTGAACACTTAAAATATGCAACCAAATGCTAAAAAGTAACCACACTAGCAAAATTGTGAATATTGACCGAATTTGAATGGTAAAATATCATTCTATTTAGATTACACAGTTCTGGCTAGAATTAATTTTATTAACTGGGTGCAAAAATTAGCCTATATTTGTACTGCAATATATAAATACTATGTATATATATTTTGCAATACAATGACATGCTCATATTTTGGAATCAAAATGTTTCCGTTAAGTACAAGCCTACAGGTTCTGTATTATAATGTTAGTCCTGAGTGATACGCTACCCTGTGCTTTAAAATGTTGTAAAACTATAATTTAACAACCATTACCTTCCTACTACACCTTTAACAGTGTTATCTCAGCATATTTATAGTGTGGTAGGCTTCCGTCTTTGTTTCTATGTTTCACACGCTATACTGGCTGGTTTAACAACATCCCGTGAGAAAAGGAGTGGTTTAACATAACTTGCCATCCTAGTAATAATCCTATCAATAACGGGTCAATCCGTATGTGTCTTGCAATTTAACTAATATATTGTGTCATACTGATACATACCAATATCCAGGTGCATTGAGGATGGTGTAAATAAAATAATTGTTTTATCTATGCTCATGGCATTAAAGTAACACAGCCACATAAGCAATTTGTTGGAAATGTGGTTTTAAATGAATTTAAATCTTTTATCAACGCAAGCTAGAACATGTTTTGGTAAACTTAGTGAATTTTAAAGGGACATGGTAATAAGATATGACCCCCAAAATTAAACCAAAAAAAGGAAAATACTTTTTAATTCCAGAAGGTGCAGTGCTTGCACAGCAAGTCCCATTAGCTGATAAGTCCCCACTTTCTGATCTACATATTATTTTTATTTCCTTATGTTCTGCATAGGTTTATGGATAAGTAGTTTTTCCCCCAGTAGCAGATCCACACATCACATATGGATGTTATTAACCTATTCAAAATCAAGTTAATTGCTTTGTGCAAGTATCTTCCAAGCAGCTGAACGCACATGCACACAGCCACTCTACATCATAATCTTTGCAATAATGCAAAGTTCTGTTGGTGTTTAGAGTGACCCTTTCACTGTATATAAGAATTATTGAAAGCGTGCATTTTATAGACCAGGCATAGACAACCTTCGGCACTCCAGATGTTTTAGACTACACTTCCCATGATGCTTTGCCAGCATTATGGGTGTAAGAGCATTATGGAGGGTGACGTTTACAACATCTGGAGTGTCGATGGTTGCTTATCCCTGTTATAGACCATGGGAAACTATATAACATTACTCCTGTGTGCCTCTTGTGGTCCCTTGCCATGATTTTGCTTTAAATCAGAATCCACTTTAAATTCTGATGTGTCAGTTTTATATTTTCTATATATATCATTCTCTAATTGCCTGTTGTGTTTGAAAACTGAAATCCAGAATTTTATTGAAAACTCACTTCCCAAGATGTGTACAGGCATCTGAAATTCTCAGTGTGTTTGTCCAAATAAAAGCCATCTTAAGTGATGTTTCTATTTTAAAGGGACACTAAAGTCACCCAGACCACTTTATGTCAATACATTTTTATTCTCCAACAGCTAGTGGAGAGTGGAAAAATTAAACCATGCTGTACACTATATTGTTTTCTGTAAGAAGTGTAATCAGATGGATTTCAAGAATACATTTTAAACCCTTAATTCCGTTAGGGCGTACTATGCCGCCCCGCATTTACTGAGCCTAAATGCCGTTAGGGCGGCATAGTACGCCCTTACGATCTTGCGCTCCCCAACCTCAATTTACTTACCTGTACCGGCTTTCTTCTCGGCCCTCCAAGGCTATGTGATCGCGACGGATGGCGCAAATCACATGACCGCAAAGCAGTTATGAGACTGCCTGCAGGGGGAAGTCCCCACGGTGTCTGAAATTAAAGTTAAACTCCCACATTCAGACAATATATTATACATGTATAATAAGTTAATTAAAACACCTGATTAGCATATTATATAATATATTTCTTACTGTATTTTGGTAAAATACACTTAGAATTAAATTATATATGTATAATATGCTAATCAGGTGTTTTAATTAACTTATATTATACATATATTACAAAATATACATTAAAGTGTTTGTGTGTGTGTGTGTGTGTGTGTGTGTGTGTGTGTGTATATATATATATATATATATATATATATATATATATAATTTTATTTTTTATCTACTATATTTAATTAATTATTATTCAAAGGATCTGCCTGATAACCCATGCAGAAAGTCCATTTAATTTACAAGCCCTATATTTAACACTGTAACTTTGTGACTAAGTGGCTACTACAAAAGACTGGACTAACCCAATTTTGAATAACCTGGGTTGTCTACTTTTGTGAATGGCATGCCATGATGGGGGTAATTCTCATTCTTTGGCTGCCATATGGTCTCAAAGGCAACATAGGCTCAGCAAACCAATCTGGAAAACTGAAATGGGATAGACCTATATTTGTCCCTGTAGCCTTCCAAAACACCATAAAACCTGTACATGGGGGGTACAGTTGTACTCGTGAAACATCGCTGAACACATACGAGTGAAACTTAAAATGACAATGATATCATCAGTGAAAGGGCATTTTTGTTTCTGAAAAATACAAGAAAAACTGATCTGAACGCTAATTTTGGCCTGGGTTTGTGACTGAGTGGTTACTAAAAAAGACTGGACATATCCCATTTTGAATACCCTGGGTTGTCTACTTAGGTTATGGTGCCATGGCATACCATTTGCCAATCTGGCAAATTTGAATGTGTAAAACATTAAATGGACAAGCCCTATATTTGATCCTGTAACTTTCCAAAACTCCATAATACCTGTACCTGCAGGGTACTATTTTAGACATCACTGAACACAAATATAGTTATAGCAGTAAAATGTATAACGACGATGATATAATCAATGAAAGTGCAGTCTTTGTGTGGAAAAAATGCAAAAAACTAATCTGAATGCTAACTTTGGCCAGAGTTTGTGACCAAGTGGCTACTTCAAATGACTGGACATACCCTATTTTGAATACACTGGGTTGTCTACTTTTACAAATGGTATGCCATGCTGGGGTTAATTTTCATTTCTGGACCGCCTCACAGTCCCAAAGGCAGCATTGACCCAGCAAATCAACCTGGCAAATTTCAATGTGTAAAAATTAAAAAGGGGAAAGCCCTATATTTGACCCTGTAACTCCAAAACACCATAAAACCTGTACATAGTGGGAACTTTTGTACTTGTGAGACATTGCTGAATACAAATATGAGTAATTTAATTCAGTAAAATGTAACAGTATTATGATGATTAACAGTTAAAATGCCATGCAGAACTTGAAAAATAACAAAATTACTTAAAGGGACACTATAGTCACCTGAACAACTTTAGCTTAATGAAGCAGTTTTGGTGTATAGAACATGCCCCTGCAGCCTCACTGCTCAATCCTCTGCCATTTAGGAGTTAAATACCTTTGTTTATGAACCCTAGTCACACCTCCATAAACACTCACTGTAAAGAGAGCCCTATTTAGGCTTCCTTTATTGCAAGTTCTGTTTAATTAAGATTTTCTTATCCCCTGCTATGTTAATAGCTTGCTAGACCCTGCAAGAGCCTCCTGTATGGGATTAAAGTTCAATTTAGAGATTGAGATACAATTATTTAAGGTAAATTACATCTGTTTGAAAGTGAAACCAGTTTTTTTTTTTTCATGCAGGCTCTGTCAATCATAGCCAGGAGAGGTGTGGCTAGGGCTGCATAAACAGAAACAAAGTGATTTAACTCCTAAATGACAGTGAATTGAGCAGTGAAATTGCAGGGTAATGATCTATACACTAAAACTGCTTTATTTAGCTAAAGTAATTTAGGTGACTATAGTGTTCCTTTAATTTCTCAAAGTCTTTAAAATGTTATTCATATTAAAGGACCACTATAGTGCCAGGAAAACAAACTCTTTTTCCTGGCACTATTGGGTGTTTAGGTCCCCCCGCTGAAGGGGTTAAACACTTACCATTCTCCAGCGTCGGGCTCCCTCGGCGCTGGTGACCTCTCCTCCCTCTTCCGCAGTCAGCTTTTAATGCGCATGCGCAGCAAGAGCCGCTCGCGCATTTAAACAGGCCATTGGAAAGCATTTCTCTCCTATGGACATCAGCGTCTTCTCACTGTGATTTTCACAGTGAGAAGCGCCGAAGCGCCTCTAGAGGCTGGATTAACTATTGTATTAATAGCAATTTCTCTGAAACTATGTTTTCAGCTGCAGGGTTAACACTAGGTGGACCTGGCACCCACACCACTTCATTGAGCTGAAGTTGTCTTGGTGCCTATAGTGGGCCTTTAAGTTATGTTTTAAATATAAATATTTAATATGAAATAAAAAAACCCTGTTTCTCCTGAACAAAATGATATATAATATGTGTGGGTGTACTTAATATCAGAGTTGAATTATGGTTGAACAGACATATTGCACAAATTCCAGGTTTTGTTTACGTATTGTTTTGATCACAACTTGTACAACTGATTCCGTCCTTAAGGGGTTAAATGTAGCAGAAAGCCATAGAAAAAAGACAAAAGAAAACTGCAGCTTTGTTTATTAAAATCATTATGTGGTATGTCCATTGTCATACAGGCCTTGAATCATGCTTTGTGCTGTTATTCAAATGTAATTTACACGGATATTGTGTAAAATCTTTGAATTTTGTAATCAGCTGCTGCTTTATTTTTCAATCAGAGTTATTGTGAATAGATCTTTGTACACATTTAGTCTGTGAGCTGATTGGGGTAAAATTCATGGGAAGTAGATTTTTGTGCCCGCCATTCTGTTAAAACAAGCTATGAACGGATTGGATTGCAATGCCTTTCTAACATGTCTTTTCTGATTGATTATCTTTACAAGGTGCAAGAAAATTCTCCTGGACACAAGGCTGGGCTGGAGCAGTTCTTTGACTTTATTGTTTCAATCAATGGGTTAAGATTGGTATGTAATCAGAAAATTATATTTATTGTATTTATATTAGACTGATATGCAGAGCAGGTCTCTTTGGGGCTATTTCGTCTTCAAAAATGAATTTTGTTATATACTAGGATTTGATTTTTATTTTTATATTAAAGGAACACTATAGGGTCAGGAACACCAATGTGTATACCTGACCCTATAGTGTTAACTAACCATTTAGTCCCCCTGGCAAACCTTACCTTCCTTAAAGCTAGTAAACTCTCATTATTTCCAGCGCCGTGCGGGTCTGCCAGAGCTGGCTCCGCCCCCGGTCCGCCTCCTTGGCTAACATCATCAGAATTGATTATCTCAGCCAATCCAATGTTTTCCTGTAGGAAAGCATTGGATTAGCTGAGATGGTTAATTCTGATAATCTTCTCCAAGGAGGCAGGCCGGGGCAGAGCCAAATACTGTCCTGGCCTATCATCATCTACTCATATCAATGCATCTTTATGGGGAAAAGTTTAGCCTCTCAATGCAGAGCTTGGAGACGCTGAACGTCAGTGCTGTACACTTTGAGTGGCCACTGGAAGTGTCCCTAGCTTTTACTATTATGTAAACACTCACTTTTCCCTTAGGATTAGAAATGGGTTTTAAAAGTTGTGTGTAGCTTTGTTATATAATCCCAACCATACATATCCCTTCAAATATGTTTCCCCCCAGCTGTCCATATCCTCTACAGTCATGTTGCATCTTCCCATGTATTCATATTTCCTTCCCTCTTTCTATACATGCTATTTTAAAAATGGTCTTACGTCCACAACCATACTCCATCCCCAGCAAAACGGTTGCCCCTTGTAACTGTTCCCCTCCCCCCAATTATGATCCCTCTTCACAGATCCATCTTGTAAACCTGTGCTCTGTCTTCATACTGATAAATAGTAACTGATTGATTTTACATGGATTGGTGCTTTAAAATGTGTGATCTCAACAATTCTACACACATTTGTTTTTATGTTTTATCAAATGTCTTTCAATACTCACCTCTACATTCATTGATTAATGTAGTGTGGTTCTGGTGTCTATAGCCTTTCCCTGCAGGCTTTTTAGTGTAAATCAGAAAGCCAATAGAAGTGCTTCCTATCTCAGTGCTGCACAGTGTACAGCAACTAAGTTCAAAGTCTCCACGCTTTGCATGGAGACCCTGAATGCTCTCCATAGAGATGCATTGATTCTATTAGGAAATGCAGATTGGGGCAGTGTGGGATTTTGCTGCATGTGCACAATAGCCCTCCATTGCTTTTCTATGGGAAAGCATTGAATTGGCTGATATCAAAATTGATTTAAGCCACAGTGAGAATGGAGAAAAGGCAAGTCTAAGCTGGTTCTCCAGCACTATAATTTTAGGGCTACATGTTTGTAGTCCTAACACTATAATGTTCCTATATTCCTTAAATTGCAAGCTAATCTAATGACTTTGGTCCAAATTTTACTTATACTTTTTTATGACTTTGCTTCATCCTGATTCTAAAATGTTAGGCTGTCTGTTTTTGTATGCATTTTGTTCTCATATATATATATATATTTTTTTTTTTTGCACTATGCCTATTGCCTTGAATAGTATCTTGTAGTATAGATTAAAAAAATAAGTCCCCTCTTATTCATAGAATAAAGACAATGATACCCTGAAGGATCTGCTAAAAGCCAGTGTCGAGAAGCCAGTTAAAATGGTGGTCTACAGCAGCAAGACTCTGGAACTTAGGGAGACCACAGTGACACCAAGCAACATGTGGGGAGGACAAGGCTTGCTGGGAGTTAGCATACGTTTCTGCAGCTTTGATGGAGCAAATGAGAACGTATGGCATGTCTTGGTAAGTAAATGTTCATATTGTGGAGTGCCTTTCTTCATGGATATACCACCACTAAGAGGAATTGCAGTGCTCCATAGTTTAGACTTTGTAGATTTGTTTTGGTTAGGGTTTTGTCGAAAACTGAGATGCAGCTGCAGGCTAAATGATTTACAGCCATAATACAATCACTAAATCTGTTTCTATATAGCATTAAATAGACCTATAGCTTGTTTTGTATGGTGCGTTTCAACAGCACCTTACTTCTAGATTCTCCTGTATCTAAACGGTAATAATAAAAATAAAAACAATATTCCTAGGTTTCAGATACTAATGTACATTTGCTGTGGATAGATATATAATACAATATTTACGTGTTATACACAAATCCAATTCATTTTACTGTGAGTGTCCATTTTGCTCCCATACATTCAACAGTATCCACTCCCAACTCCTCGTTCGAGATCAACATATTTGCATTTAGGTACCAGTTCCACTTTCATTGGTTATGGTCTGTGCTTCCTTTTGGTTGTTTGACATCACAGCCGAGCTGCTGTCTGCATTGCATGTATTGTAAATATTAGGGTTAGCATGTCCTAACTAATTGGTGCTTTTATTTCTTCTGTCATTCCAGGAGGTGGAACCAAATTCCCCCGCAGCACTGGCTGGTTTGAGAACCAACACTGACTACATTATAGGAGCAGACACTGTAATGAATGAGGTTGTTACCATTTTTGTTTACTCTGTATTGTATTTTGTACCATTAATTCCTTTCAGTATTTGTACATGTATATTTTAGGATTTAGCATGGTTACAATATATGAACAAATTTTTGTATAAGGAAAGAAGGGGGGGATAAACAAGAAATGCCAAGCACCGTGTATATTCAGTACATTACACTATGCGTATTCTGATATAAGGGTTAAATTAGCAGGTGTCACCACCTCTCAGTGTCAGAAGTGACACCTATGCAGTACATTTGCCATCATTGGTCTACAGGATAACCAACATGGTACCTTTACTTACTGTTTTTAGGAGGATATCAGGTATATCTTCCCAATGAGACCTGTGAGAGGATAACACACGTGGTTCCTTTATTTGCTTTCTTGAAGGAATGTTGGGGTTTTTGAATCAAGTGTGGGGAAGACTTAACCTGGCATTTTGCATCTGGTCTGAATGCTGTACCAGACGTAGTCTGTATGCTATCTTTTAGAGCCTTGCAGATTGCAATTGATGGGACAATAAGCTGAAAATTATTCACAAACCATGATCTGTATGCAATGATGATTAACCATGATATGACAGCTTTTCCAAATAAAGTGCAGTGTCTAATTTATCCATCGCTGATCTAAAGATGCTTATTTTCTTTTCTTTATAAATATCATTTTCTGTTTAATTTTCAGCTCCTTGCCTCAAGGTTAATTTTTGGTTACATACTTTCTAATGTTTCTTTATGTTTAATCTTGACGCAAGGAGCTGAAGGTTAATTTTTGGTTACATACTTTCTAATGTTGGATTATTTTTCTCTTGCAGTCAGAAGACCTTTTCTCGCTCATCGAGACCCATGAAGGAAAACCATTAAAATTGTATGTGTACAACACAGATACAGACAACTGTAGGGAGGTTGTCATAACGCCGAATTCTGCTTGGGGAGGAGAGGGCAGGTAAGAAAATCTATCCTTCTAGAGGTGGAGAGGTACTGTTAATATCTATCCAAAAACCAGAGCGGAACCCCTTTCAGAGGCAGCATTATACCAGCTTAGAATATTGTAGCTTTGCTTCTAAGAAGAATTACATTTCGAAATGGCAACCAATATCTCCATCCTAGCGGATCTCACAAGTCCCTCCTTAGACTGTCACAGGATCGTTAAAAAACAGCCTGAATCACACAGCCGTCATTAGCAGTGATCGGGGAAACTGACAGAATAGGACGGTGGAAGTTTTGCCTTTTGTCAACCTCAGTACTTGCCATAAGGCTTATCATCCACTGTAGGCATCAGTGTTGTATTCTCGCACCCTAACGTTTACAGAGCGACTTTAACATGTTTTAAAACATTTAAAAACCCTGAAATATCTCTTTAAATAGCAAGACAATCCGAGCTTAGTCGATACTGTGATATCATTCCCTTATGCCATTTTTGATCTATTTGCACTTGGACAAAACAACATGGTATGTTTGTCAGACTTTTTATTCTGTTTTTGAGTGAATACACTAATGTTTCAACTGCTGTACCAGTTACGTAGTTTCACTGTTATACTAACATTGCTATCCAGGACTATGGGCAGTGGACTTTCCACTAACATCACACTACCTTCTTTCATTTCTACAGCTTGGGGTGTGGTATTGGATATGGATACCTACATCGGATACCAACGCGGCCTTTCGAGGAGGGCAAGAACATTTCTTTGCCTGGCCAAGTTCCCGGGGCACCATTGAGTCCTCTGAAAGATGGTTTTACAGAGGTGTGTATTTCATAAACCATAACTCCTTCTTGTTCCAAAAAATTAATCTATTACATCATGGCTCCTAGGTCATTAAATTCCACAATAAAATAAAGCTGGGGCTGTTTCCTGCTGGTTCTGTGGAAACCACAGTATCTCTTAGTAAATGTGGGGCCAACCATTTTTGCAGAGGGGGTGTCCCAAGAACCGACTATCTATGTAGATCACTTAAAGTAAGTACTGCTCAGAGCCCTTTAAATTACTATGTTTAGCTATGGACAGATTAAATTGATGGAGTCACAGGTCTCCCTGCACACCACATTCGCCCCTGATTACATGACACAGGTCATGATCAGTGCTAGGTTACGCATGCTGCCTTGTGCCAGTCACTGCTTGTAATCAGGCAGGAAGAAAAAAAATAAAATGACATATTGTAATGATTGAGCACCTAAGAGGGAGCTATTCCCTCTCACTCTGTACATTGTATTCTAGGGAAACTCTCAGCAGTGACATCTGCTGGGGAAATTCCTCTGCCAACAGTAGGAACCAAGATTTAGGGGTTGGATGAGGGTTGACATTTTAAGGGTTATTTACAGATACAGCATTTAGGATTAGTTATACGTTGTTTAGAGTTACAGGTAATTTGGGATTTAGGGATAAGGAATGTCACAGATAAGTGCTTTTCTCAGCCAGGCACAGGTTGGAGAGTGATGAGGGGTCACAGTTGATGGCATTAGTAAGGTTGGGTACCCTCCAACACTTTTTAACTATAACCTTTCTCCAATCCAAAGACTTCAATATACCACAATGCTGGGGTCACAGAAAAATATCCTCAAAATAAATTCTGTATAATGTTCTTGGTGCCTTCTTTTGCAGATTGTGCACATTTGTGCAGTGAGGTGGCTGCATTAACATGCTCCACCAAAAACTTGGGAAAGTTCTAAATGTGGGTGGTACGAAAAGATCTAAAGCTAAGCAAGCTTTACCCCCCCCACCCCCCAGATGCAGTACATACACAAACATGCAATACTAATCATTACATGAAAACTGAAAAAGGGGTTTGTTGTTTTGGTAAGGGAGATTTTATATATTTTTATATATATATATATATATATATATATATATATATATATATATATATTTATTATGTAACTATCACATTAATGTGCTGTGTATTAAAAATGTGAAAACACCCACACATTAAAAGTTTAAAATCTTTAATCCTTTTTTTTGGTCTGAAGCACCACTTATCTTCTAAGACCATACACAATTTAAAGGTGTAAAACCCTCAGAATATGTATTATTGAGTCCATGTGTGCTTGCTCATGATTTCAACATCTGTGAACACACACTAACTCTTAATGGCACGAGTGTGTTTTGGTCAGATAAGCTGTGATTCTGACCAGAGGCACAAAGATGGCTGTTCCTTCCAGGGGTTACAATACATATGTAGTCTTTTATTTTGATTAAAAATGACGATAATATTCTTTAGAAGAGAATAAACATATCTGTACACTTCAATAGCATAATCTGTTAATTAACTTTTTATGTCTTGCAAAGTGCCACCAAAATTTTATGATGTGGATTTTGAAATGAGCAGAGTATTTGATTTGTTTTATTTTAGGTGCAGTTATCCTCTGTAAACTCTCCCTCCCCTTTACCGCTTGGAACTGCAGGAATTGAAGTAAACCTTTCTGGACTCTCCATTGGCTCAAATACACCTGCAGCCACTAGTGCTCTTAATTCAGGTAGTGATTACATTTTTGTTACTTATAGACTCTAATTGTTTGGAAAATACATCATCAATTGTTACTTTCCTAGTTTTCACCTAGTGTATAATTATTTACTAATCACTTGCATTCAAGAATTTATTTTCCCTAAAAGAAACCAATCCACCTTGCAAGAGTTTGGGATTGATTAATCTGCACGGGGAGATTCACAATGTGTAATGCTGCGAGTACCTTATGGATCTACCCTGGGAGTCTCTGGGTTATAATATTAATAAAACCCTAATTGAATGGTCCGGGCTACTTTAACGACATGCTAATTTGTGTAATAAGCATGCCAGCCTTGTAGATGTTTAGGCTTTCTAATTCACTTATGCCAGTTTATAGAAAATAATTGTGTGTGTATTATGGGACTATGAAATATCAATTTTTTATCTTAGCTGTAGCAGAGAAGCTGGGACATTTATTTTCCAATTAATCTAAATGCAAGTAAATGGTGAGGCAAACTCCTTTTTTCTTTTAAACACCCTTAATTTCTCAAAAGTGAATTTACACTTTAGTAAATGATCCTTATTAGATTAATGAAGATGGCAAAGGTAGGAAGACACATCTAACAGCTCCTCACCACCACCACTTGTGCTCCTCTGCCCCTGCCCCATTTGTGTTTCTGTGCCTATACGCCACAGTTTCCCATATCTATTTGTCTGCCCCATACACTTATCTTCTGTCCATCAGTCCCATACACCCAATTAGTCCAGAAATATATTTTTAAAAATAACAGGTGCCCTATGTTGGTACATGTCTGGCAACTTAGGAATAACCCTGGTGCACCCTATCTGGATCTGCAGATGATTCCTTGGAGTTCTCTCCCCGTGTCCCCAGCACTGAAACCTTTGTTTCAGGGCAGAATGTTGTGGAGCGAGACATGAGACAGACCAAACAGCCATGGGTGTGTTCTGTATCACACATTGTATAAGATGAGTGTCTCTATGAGATTTATTGAAATAACATTTCAGAATGGTTATTAATTTTATTTATAAAGCTGCTTTGTACGGATGGTGGACTAACAAACAAGTTATTGCAGTAAGGCAAGATGGACATACAGGAACAGAAGATGCTGAGGTCCCAGTTCCGAAGAGCTCACATTCTAATTTGAGTGAATGTTTTTGGTTATTATATGCTGCCTTATTTAGATTTAGTGATCTGTGCTTAGACAGATAACTGAAAATGGTAGTTAGTCACCAATATCCTTTACAAATACCTAAAATGTTTGACAGTTTAAAGGTAATGGTTTTTTATTTTTTATTTTTTAGGTTTGCCAACAGTTCCTGTATTAACCCCCCAAATTAATCATTCTCTTGCCTCTGTTCCGCTAAATCCAGCAGTTTCACTCCCAGGTAATTTATTGTATTTCTTATTGTGTGAGCACACTTTATTTTAATGAAATGCGAGAAGTTTCCACTGTAAACAGAATATGTTTCTGAATATCAGACCAAAGGCAGAATGTGTGGCACAAAACTAAAGCACTAGAAATTGATCACATCAATCCGTGTTCCCTATGTCAAACATTAAGCCAACATTATTGCACTCTTGTACGCTGGCCATGAATACTACAGAGATCTCCTCACAGATTGCTGAAGGTTTACGTATCAGAGTGCCCTGATAAACGGCCAGAAACACTGAAATACTGCAAATGTATTTATTTTTCCTTTTATATAGCGTGAATTTTACGCATCCTTGGTGTAATAATTTCCTCTGTAACTACACTAAAGTGCTGCAGTAAGTGGGGTTTGTTCAGAGTTAGTGGTGCCAGATCCAGCATATTTCCCTGGACCCATCATTTCTGTAGGCTGATGTGCAGCACATGAATAGGGATCCCCCGTAGCATGCTGTAAAATCGTAAAGTGAGGATTGCTCCTAGATTTAATTAAATAAATAAAAATTTCTCCTGAATTATTCCGATGGTGCACACTGCACAGCAGTATTTTTCATTGTCTGCCAATCAGGAAGTAGGAATTAAAGAATTAACGTGGAGACGGAAAAATGTGTTGAATCTTGCAATCCAATCCATAGGCTGGTAGTGTATAGTATAGTTGGTTGTTGCTTAGGAGAACAAATATAACTACTTAACTTGCAGGTTTCTATAATTTCAAGTCAGTGGATAATATGATCTGTCCTAATATTTAAAAGTAAACGGTGGAAGAGATCAACCTGTAGTAGAAAAAGAATTGTGGATATATTGCCTTCGTCCATGTATTATACTCGTGTTTAAGTTACAGTAAGTATGTGAACTTCTGATTTCATGTTTTTTTTCTTTTTCTCAAGGTCTCATGCCATTATCTACTGGACTCCCTACACTAACAAACCTTCCAAATCTCCACAATCTGCCAGCTCCACACATAATTCCAAGGCCAGGATTGCCAGACCCTACACTTACACGTATGTATTCATGCTGGGAACATGATCTTTTACTTATTCCCAACTCAAGTAAATGTTGGAAACAGTAGCTTACTTCTGGGCAGCAAATGAGTCATTGATCTCATCAGTCCGACACGCTCACGATATTTGTAAAGTATATATATGTGTCTGAATATGGTGGCTAACCTTCCCACCTCACATGTGAACTATATTTCCCATGATCCTTGTGACTGGCTAGGTATTGTTGGCTATGCGCACCTCACATGTGAACTATATTTCCCTTGATCCTTGTGACTGGCTAGGCATTGTTGGCAATGCACCTCACATGTGAACTATATTTCCCTTGATCCTTGTGACTGGCTAGGCATTGTTTGCAATGCACCTCACATGTGAACTATATTTCCCATGATCCTTGTGACTGGCTAGGCATTGTTGGCAATGCACCTCACATGTGAACTATATTTCCCATGATCCTTGTGACTGGCTAGGTATTGTTGGCAATGCACCTCACATGTGAACTATATTTCCTTTGATCCTTGTGACTGGCTAGGCATTGTTGGCAATGCACCTCACATGTGAACTATATTTCCCATGATCCTTGTGACTGGCTAGGTATTGTTGGCAATGCACCTCACATGTGAACTATATTTCCCATGATCCTTGTGACTGGCTAGGTATTGTTGGCAATGCACCTCACATGTGAACTATATTTCCCATGATCCTTGTGACTGGCTAGGTATTGTTGGCAATGCACCTCACATGTGAACTATATTTCCGTTGATCCTTGTGACTGGCTAGGCATTGTTGGCTATGCGCACCTTACATGTGAACTATATTTCCCATGATCCTTGTGACTGGCTAGGTATTGTTGGCAATGCGCACCTCACATGTGAACTATATTTCCCATGATCCTTGTGACTGGCTAGGTATTGTTGGCAATGCACCTCACATGTGAACTATATTTCCTTTGATCCTTGTGACTGGCTAGGCATTGTTGGCAATGCAGTTGGCTTGCAAATCTACTTGAGCATTACTCCAGGTTACATAAAATCTTAATTCTTTAATTTGGCTTTCCCAGATACAAAATAGCACATGAAGACCTCTTCCAATGTATAAGTAACAGTTAAAATTAGCTTTTAATATTCTCTCTATTGCTTCAAGGATCTGCACTTTGTAATAGGCAGATAATGAATATGATTTGAGTTTTGATTGGCTGCTGGTGTTTTAAGCCACAATAAGGAGGCAGTGAAAGTTGCAGTGGGTGACCGGATTTAAATAGCCCACTTAACTATCTGATTCATGTTTCTAGCCAAGTTCATAAAAGGTTAGTTTAGATTTTGGATTTTTCTCTTTTGTCTCTTGGTAGCTTTTTAAAACCGTTGCATACCAGGCAAGGCCTATAACTTGCTTTCAGACTATTTTAAAACATTTCTGACACTTGATCCATATGTATGAAATGTATGCTAGATTTTGCTCACTCTCTTTTCCTCTTTCAAGCAGCTTTTAATAGTTTTGGTTGTAATTCTGCTTTTTTTTTTCCTCTTGCAGTTTCAAATTTGCCTCCCATTCATTCATTACAAGCTTTGAACCTATCTGGACTTCCACCCCTGTCGATAAATCCTCATCTCTCTGCCTTTCCCATGGCACCACTTCCCAGTGACCTAATTCCATCACTGCTGGATCACACTCCCCCAGCACCCCAGACAGAGAACGTCACTGCAACCAGTGAAGACTGCTGCCATGCGCCCCATATGGCCACAGAGAAAGTTTCCATCAGTAGTACAGAAGCAAGCACCCCTGAATCATCTTAAGACCTTCTGTGCGGATTGGCTTAATGTATTTATTTAGCCACAGAATGCAAGCAATCGTTAACTCTGTACTAGTTTGTACTTATATGTAGGAGACCTGTAAATAAAATAAAGGCTAGCTATGAAGAGTTTAAGGTCAAAGAAAATGGAAACAGATGGAGAAAATGCCAAACTATGAAGTGATTGTAAATTATTTTAACATAAGTTTTCCCATCTGAAAATATCCTTAATAAAGTTATAGAACGTGCACTCTTAATGCGTGTATGGTTTATCCAAATCATTTGAACTTTTGCGTTACCAGAAACTGTCATTCAATAGATTTCAGGTCTCTAGCAATGAAAAGGTCAGCAACTTGTAATGTCTACTACACTGCTTAAAAGACAATACCAGGGATGGCATTTAAGTGGAAAGATTGTTAAGGAATATATATATAGGTTTTAGTTTAATCTGGGATGTATATGCACACAGCAATAAATTACTGTAATTTTACATTTTAATGTGTAGCCCTTTTTTTTTTTTTTTAAACTAGTGTTTAAAATACATTCCATACCGGGACGCATGCTTAATAACAACAGGAGTTTATTAAAGATTAATATATCATAGCTATGCTGGATAATCACAGACTGTCCACTTTAATCTGTATCTTACCCAGAACCACTGACTAATGCATTTTGTTTTTATAAGTATTAATTAAAATTGAATTTGTGCCAATGTAATTTTACTAATGCCAGACAAGTTTTGTTTTTTTTCTTCAAACATTCAAGATTATTTGGGTTTCAAACTTTGGATATGAAAGATATTTTAACCTTGGATCATATTTTATTTATTATAAAAGTGATATGTGATTTAGGTTTCAATGCAACCAAGACTGGTGGTTTTTAAAATTGGTCACATTGTCTGCTTTGTAACGACCATTTGTGAGTGGTACAAAAATGGCACAAACTATCACACAATACAGCATGGTTACATAGTATCTGTGTGTATTGTTTTATTAAATTACACCATGAGCCAAGATTTTGTTTACTGTCTGGAATGCCGACTGTGTATTTCTTAATCCTTGGTGTGTGTTCCTCTCGATACCTTCAATAAAAAAAAAAAAAATGTTTTTAAAAGGAAATGTTCATACTAAGGAAAAACATCAGAAGGTGACAGTGTTTTTTTTTTTTGTTTTATATGGATACGGGAGTTGGGGATTCCAAAATTTCATGGATATTAAAGGGACACTATAGGCATCCAGACTACTTCAGCTCATTGAAGTAGTTTGGGTGCTGTGTTCAAGGTCCCTTAATCCTATAATGATCATTATTGCTGTTTTTGCTAAACTGCAATAATAACCTTGCAGGGTTAACTCCACCTCTAGTGGCTGTCTAGCAGATAGGGTGCTTTTGTTTTCCTGACACTATAGTTTCACTTTAAGAGACAGTAATTTGCATTTCTAGGTGTAAATTAATGGTTTGAGAAAAAAAAACTGGCTTGAAGGAATGGAATAAGACAAAAATATATATTATGGTTTTGTAATATTCTAATTCACAGATTTTAATGCTTAAAATTTAGAAACTGCAACATCTATATCAACACTACTAACCTTTATGAACAGACAGGTTTTTTTTTTTATTAATAGAATTTCTAAAGTGAATTAAAACTGGATTAAATGTTTGTAGACCAAAGTAACCTAAATGAAAGTAATGGTGGTTTCCCCCCCCCTCCCAGTTCAACTATTTTGACCCTAAGTTTGAAATTCACTTTCAATTAAATTTAGTGACTAACCCTGAGCCGTGTCAATTAATTTGAGATCTTGAGATATTCTAGTCACTAGATTTACTAGCTGTAAAAAGACAAACTATTTCACCTCTTCAGAAAGACAAAATAAATTCATCAGAGGGGGTGTGGTTTGGCCGCCAGCCCTAATGGCCGCATAAACTGAGTGCTTCCGTCCACCCGCACTATAATAAGCAGATACCAGCAACATGTGACCCTACCACCGAGTCACTTCATCATGTCCGGTACTGGCTCTGGAGCTATACCGCCAAGCAAGAAAAAGGGAGAGAGGGGAATCCTGCAATGCCGTGAGGGGTCTGTTCGCGGCCTCCCACGCACTTCAGACCTTGAAAGATGGCCGCCACACCAGCCCGCGTGGCTCGCGGTCCCCTGCATCCGCAGCGGAAACTGAAGCACAGGACAGCACGGGCGAAACCTCCCACATCCTCTAGAAACTCTCGGAGGTGAAAAACTATCTGGCAGGGGAAATTGCCTGCAGCTCCAGGGAAGTAAAAGCTGAAATCCAAGCTTTGGGTGCATGCACCTCTGTTAAATAGACATGCCCCTACTCGCGGTATAGCGATTAGGGGCATAATTTACTAATACTAAGTAATCTTTACTTAGTATTAGTAAATTTGTCTGAAAGACTAATTTAGGTCTTTCAGCCTTTTAGTAGATAACTCCCTACGGTATTAGGGAGCTATCTACTTATTCATTCCTGTCATTACATTGACAGGCTAAGTAACTTACATTTTATATGAATGTATGTTACTTGATTGTTGCAAATGCTTACAGCTGAATCCTGGCTATGTTTGTATACTTTTTATTTAAAATTGTATACAATGTAACCTTCTTTCACTGGGTAAGTATATTCGTACTTAGGCAATACTGTGCTTCGGAATTTCGAAACTTCAGGACCTCTGCAATTCAGACATTCGGAAGTGTCCGGATTGCCCGAAATTCGTCCGAATTCATATTCGGACCGAAACAAATTGCACATGTCTATATAGCAGAAACAATGTCCTGCAGTACCAAGATGTCTTGTTGACCATATATCAGGATCTGTCTCCTACTACTCTACAGCACAAGAAGGACTGGAAGCCCATCACTCAACTACTACAGAAGAATAACACTCGATATACTTGGGGCCACCCTTTCAAGTTTATCGCCTTCCGAGCTGGAAGGGCCTATACCCTGCAGCCCGGCAATGACCCTGCACCATTCCTCCAGGGACTACGCATAGATGTTCCGCCCAACTTTTGTTTTAAATTTGTTTATTGTTATCATGTCATAAGCTTGGTGAATATGCATTCCGTAGCAATACAGTAAGGTATGTAAAATGAGCGAAAAAGAAAAACTTTTATGAGCCTACGCAGAGGCTAATTCAATCAGTATAAAGCAAAGGTACATTTTTGCAGCGGAGAAGCTTATGTCCAGTTATGGCATATTCCATTTGTATAGTACATGTAATCATCTTTTTTTTGTGTGTGTGTGTGTGTGTGTGTGTGTGTGTGTGTGTGTGTATATATATATATATATCTCTCTTATGGATGTGACCTGTTCGGATAGTGGCGTGTGTCTCGTGGTGACAGTGGTGCGCATGTAAAACCAAAGTTATGTAATGTGCAGGCGTCCGTGACTGACATGTATATCTGTGCTTGTCTAAAGCGTCTGATGATGGATGCAAGATGTTTGTGCCAGTCACAGCATGTGTGTTGAAACTGCAGTGTAACATTAGATAGTGCTGTAGCCTGGATGGCTACGTGTATGGTCGTCTTATAGCGTAACAGTCTGGCGTAATTTCAAAATGCGTAGTATAGGAATAGGAACAGGTAAAGAATAAACATTTTTAACAATATGTCGCCCTGTGTGAAAAGCTGAGGGAGGCCTCACATGTCTCTGCTGCAGTGCAGTTCCCGGGTTGCCGAGCCCCCGTCTGGCCACCCCTCTCTGGCACCAGTTCACCGGCCGGGTCCCTCGCGGCACCGTGGGCACTCAGGAGCAGTGATTGTCTGTCGGACCCCACCACAAAGTCCGCGGCACTCTTGCCCCCTGCACCTCCCCAGCGTCACGTTGTACCCCCTGGAGTGAGCAGTCCCAAGTCTCTCCCAGTGCCGGCCTCACGCTTAGGGCTGGTACCCCGCCCCCCGGCCACCGGTCCACCGGTAGAGTGGTGCACTCCCGCCCCACAGGGCTTGCAGCAGTGGGGACTTGATTCCCTGGGGACCCCCATACCCAGAGACTGGGGTACTCACTGCTCTAGCCAGCTTGTGGGCCGCGTAGGGTGTCCGTCGAGTGTCCAGCATCCCCTGGGCCTGCACCGGCCGTCCATGTCAGTCCCCTGTGCTTTATTCCGCTGTGGCCCTCAGGGTGTGATATGCTATGCTGAAATGTCTCCATAGGTGCAGGTGATTCTCCTCGTATCAGTTGCAGAGCTATCTAGCCAATGCTCTCTGCGGGCTGTTTCATTAGTAGTAAGCCGTCTCTGCTGGTTCATGGGCTGTGTGTCCCCCTGCAGTATCCCCTTTTCCTCTGTTTCTGGTTCAACTCCTGCTGGCTTGTTGTTCCTCATACAGCTGTTTGCCAGTATAGGCGGCCAGTGTGCACCCCACGTCGGAGCTCTCCCTGCGGCTCCAGTCGCCGCCATGTGGCCGGGATAACCCCCGCCGGCCGAGAGGGGGGGGGGCAGGGCCGTGCCCCGGGCCGGGGACAAGCCCACATCTGGCAGTTTTGTCTCCCGTTCGGATGTCTTGGGGCTGTGCCTTTCTGTGGTAATGTGCTGCATGTGCTGGCTGCGGGTGGTTACGAGTTCTGCCGCATGTAGGCCCGGCTTGGTCTCTTTTGCTCACCCTGCTTGCGGTATGTTGTTTTTATCGGCATCAGAAGATAGCTGGGGTCATTCCCCTTCCTCTGCTGTCACGGTACCCGGTGTGTGGGTGTTCCGGTTCGGTATTTTGGGCCCTTTTGTTCAGATTAGTGCCGGAGCTCATGTGTATGGCGTCTGGTCGGCCCGGCCCCGCCCCCCCCCACCCAACTTTTGCATGCCTCGGCCTGTTCGCCCTGCACTCACCTCTCTCCCCAGCTAGTGGCATGAGGTTCCAGGCGGTGCGGTAAACCGCACCGGAAGACACCATGCCAGTACTAACCTTAACACGATGGACTCCACACCTCAGTGACTGAACTCTCACTTCCACACTGGTCCAGCTAATGGGGACTATTGAGCTGTGGAAGACACCTTAATATCCCACATACTACTACACCAACAACCTGACTGACAACTTACACAATTTTATTTTTGTTGCACTGTATAAGGTATTCTTGATCATATATAATTTGTTCAACACACAACTGTGGTCTCAGGCAGACACGGCTATGCGCCTACTGCTTGGGGCGGGATCCTTTTAGCCCATCCCCAATTTAGCCCTAGGGATGCACCAACATTATCACATCGCCCAGGCATCTACAACGAAATGGGAAGGTAAATAGCTGGGGGGGAGGTCACATTCCCAACAAAAAAGGGGGGTGAGGGGGAAAAGGAAAAAAAAAACCTGTATCAGGCTGACAGCTGGGACCCCGGTGAGTGGGGGGCAGGCGGTGGGCGAGAGATGGGAGGCACGGTCACCGCTGTTCGCTTGCAAAGATACCCATGCCTTGCCCTGCGGCATTCACAGATAAATCTTACGCCAACCTGTACGCCACCTTCCAAGGCAGAACCTATTCACTATCCTACGGGATAGTCCCCACACGAGATCACTCCCTTTCTTCTAACCTCATCCTGAAATGGTGATGAGTTAACTATATTATGGGTCGTGAACATTGTAGCATTGGGGATGGGAAACACAACTCCCAAGGTCGGCTACGGTCAGGTTAACCGCGCAGGTGTAGCAATCCTCACTCACAAAAGCTGCCCCATTCAAGTTTCGGGTCTTGTGGCAGACCCTGAGGGTCGGTATATTTCCATATCGGGTACCCTACATAACACTAAAATCCACATTAATGTATATGTTCCCAATAAACCTCATCCCCAATACTGGAACTCATGACACTGGCTAGGACAGAGGGGAGAGGCATACTTGTAATGGGAGGGTAATTCAATGCAGTGCCGTGTCCAGCAGTTAATAGGAACACAAACCTGGAATGGTTCGGTCCCACAGGAGGGGGTCACAGGACAAACTATTTCACCAGTTTCTTGCCAACACCAACGTTCTAGACACATGGCGAATACAGCACCTGTGATTTCACATTCTATTCCACACCGCACGGTACATACTCCAGGATTGACAACATCCTTCTTAATGGGGCGGGTGTGGCAAAACTCGCACACTCCGCCATAAATAACATAACCTGGTCTAACCACTCAGACATAGATATCATACTTGACAGGCTCTGTTACTCCTCTAACTGGATGTGGAAACTAAACACAGGACTTATGTAAGGCCACCAGCACAATAATATCAGAATACTTTACTCACAACATCTCTACAGACATAGACCCAGTAGCCATTTGGGCCACCCATAAGTCAGTCCAGAAGGGCCACTTCATCAAGGTAGCTTCACACAAAAAGCGACGCACAACCCACCTCCTATTGGAGCTGCAAGCAGCTCTGAGAAAAGCAGAACAGCAACACAAAGCAAACCCCACAGCAAGCAAACTGACTGAGGTGAAGGCGCTGCGACACCCTCTTAGGGAACATTCCCTGGAGGGGGTGACTCGTTCCATTCTGTGGTCTCGGCCGTTGTATTATGAAAAATCCAACAATATGGATACAATTTTATCCATAGCGCTGCATCTTCGGAGTGGATTTTGACCCATCACCAAAATCTGAACATTGGCAGGGATCCTAGCAGACACTCCAAATGCCATTACAGAATATTATTCGACATTATACAACCATTGCCCACAGCCAGAAGGGTCTGCCCCTGATGGTTGTGAGGACCAACACTCATTCCTGTTGGAACTAGATTTGCCACAGGGCCAGAGGTGGGGAACCTTGGGTGCACCCATCTCACCACTAGAAGTTGATGCAGCTATCACGGCCCTAAAAGGTAATAAGGGACCGGGTGGATACAACATGGGGTATTATAAGAAATTCAGGGAAGTACTGGCCCCCCAACTCACTACACTTTTCAACCACTTTCTGGATGGAGGTGCACCAGACTCGGACATGGCACTTGCAAACATCACATTATTACCAAAACCAGATAGAGATGAGGAGCTAGCATCCAACCACAGGCTTATCGCACTGATCAATTCAGATCTAAAAATATATGCCAAAATTTTGGCTACCAAACTAAATCCGCTGTTGACACACTTGGTCCACCTTGACCAGGCGGGGTTTGTGCCAGGCAGACAGCTCTACGAAAATACTTGAAAAGGGAGCTGTACTGACATGGTACATGTCAAGCTCGGGAGGGCCTTCTCTGGCACTGTCCTTGGACGCCGAGAAGGCCTTTTACAGGGTGAAGTGGCCGTACCTCTTTGGCCTACTCAGGGCGTGGGGCTTTCCGGAACCCTAGGTGGTGGCTATCCGTGCCTTATACACAAACCTCAGAGCCCAAACACTGATAACTGGGGCCCATTGCACCCCCTAACCCTTAAATAACGGCACAAGGCAGGGTTGCCCCCTGTCCCAATTGCTCTTCACGCTCTCCCTGGAGCCGCTATTGTAGGCCATCCGACAGCATCCACACATACAGGGGGTGGGTGTAGCTGGACGACAGTTCAAAACATCAGCATATACTGATGACGTCCTTCTCAGCATATACTGATGACGACCCACTCAGCTCCATGGAGCACCTGATTAAACTATTTGATCACTACGGTGACCTGTCTGGGAATAAAGTCAACATGGTTAAATCCATGGCAATGCCCTTCCACCTTTCAGGACATGGCACAGAACCTGGAGAAATGGACAGAGAAGCCTATCTTGTGGCTAGGCAGACTTCACTCAGTGAAGATGAATGTCCTCCACAGGCTGTTGTTTCTCTTTCAAGCCCTACCAGTGCAGGTCACGAGAGGGGACTTGTCAGGGTTACAAAAGGCCATAGACACATTCATCTGGCAGAGGAAGCACCCCAGAATTGCACGTAAATTGCTATACCGACCCAAATATAGAGGTGGGCTGGGGTTACTGAACATGTACCTCTACTACTTAGCCTCACAATTAGCCCAAATTGTGCACTGGCACTCTCCCCCAGATCACAGGAGCTGGGTAGATATCGAATCACTCCTGATGGGAACTGACCATCACCAGTTTTTTATATGGTTACCCAAAAAGAATAGGGCCTTTATACGCCCTACTTGCCCAGCGATACTAAATTCGATCAGATTATAGGGCCAGGTAGCACAAAAGTACTCACTCAGTAAACTCCCATCTCCAATGACACCTGTACTCCGTAACAGGGCCTTCCCCCCGGGGATACTTTAGAGGGATTGAACACACAGGACTAGAGTTGAGCGGACACCTGGATGTTCGGGTCCGGCTGAACTTTGAAAAAATGTCCATGTTCGGGCTCGAACTTGACCCAGAACCCGAACCCCATTGAAGTCAATGGAGACCCGAACGTTTGGCCACAAAAATGCCTCTGAAAAACTCCTGGAAAGAGCTAGAGAGCTACAAAAGCAAGTAAAATGGGGGTAAGAGTAGGACAAGTGCCCTGCAAACAAATGTGGATAGGGAAATCACTTAAAATAACATAAAAATTAAAAATGCAGCTGAGCCATAAAATAGCACTAGATGGAACTTTGATTTTAGCTTTGGAAGAACATAAATCAAAATCTAAAGCATGGCTGTCAGGAGGATCAACAGAATTATCCATTTGAGAGAGGGTTGGAGTGCAGGGTATTCTCTTTCATTGTTCAAACTGAGTTCAACTCCTGATGCATGGAGAAAAGGCCTTCACAAGCCTCTGCTATTGTGTACATAGTTTATACTAAGTAACCCATAGGTTGAGGAGGGGGTGACCGTGGCAGTGGAGGTGGAGGCGGCGGTGGAGGAGGAGGATGAGGTACCCAACACTGGTTTTTTTTTTTTGTAATTGTGGTAGCCCACAAAATATTGGGACATACAGAAAAAGAAACATTTGTGGCCTGCGGAACATTTCTTGCAGTCCTGATGCATGGAGAAATGCTCAATTTCTGATGCATGCAGAAAAGGCCTTTACAAGCCTCTGCTAATTTGTACCTAGTTTATACTAAGTGACCCATAGGTTGAGGAGGCGGTGACCATGGCGGTTGAGGAGGAGGAGGAGGATGATGAGGTAGCCAACACTGTTTTTATATATATATATAATAATTGGGGTAGCCCACAAAATATTGGGACATATAAAAAAAGACAACTCTGTTCCGCAGAGTAGCTGTTGACATTATAGTTGCGCAGGCACTTTGTGGACTCTAGAGAACCTCGGGCCAATCGCACATCCCCGTGACGGCGACTTTGCATGCGGATGTCATCCATATCAACTTTCGATGCCAGTTTCTGCGCCTACCATGGTGACCATGGGTAATGGGGAATCAGGGTTCCATTCCGTACAGGGACCCTGAGAAACGGCTACCACATGCAAGGAAGGCAGCAGGCGCGCAAATGACCCACTCCCGATGCGGGAAGGTCGTGACGACAAATAAAAATACAGGACTCTTTAGAGGCCCTATAATTGTAAAGAGTCCACTTGAAATCCTTTAACTATAAACAATTGGAGGGAAGTCAAGTGCAGAGCCACTGACCCGTGCGTGCTGCAGCTGAAACTCCACTATCGCCTGCTGCTGCTCGCACAGTCTCATGAGGCGGTGAGCGGGAAGGCCGAAGTTACGCTGCAGCGCAGACAGGCGAGCAGCAGCAGGGTGACAACGCCAAAAGCGCGCACAGCTGCTACAGTGAATTTAACATCCTGTTCCAAGTTGCGGATCAGTCTGGTGATGGCTTCTGGTATCCAGACTATTTTTACTGAAGCTGCATCAGGGTCCTGGTATGTGGCCGCACAAACGCTGGTGCTCAACACCAGGGGGCGTGCGGTTACCCTGCACCAGACCCTGCTAATCCATTCCACACTGTGACTTCTAACTTCAACATCAGGCATACTGGGTCCTGGTCGTCTGACGGCCGCCCAGACAGTGTCTGGGTCCTGGTCACTGGACTGCCCACCTCACTGTGAAACTACGAATGGATCGTTAAATCTGGTATGAACCCGAACTTTGCAGTTCGGGTTCGCTCAACTTTATTATGGATCCCTTCATCGCTACATGTATTGCTTGGATAACTGGTAATTCTTGAGCTGATACATGCTGACGAGCGCTAGGGGACGGCCGCTCCGCTTTTGCACCCTGCTCCCTCTTATGCTGTGCTGGTGCCTCTGTGCGACCAGCGCCTCTTCCTCCAAACTGCACACGTCACTCGCATGACCTTGATTCCATGTGGGGTCTAGGACCTCATCATCCTCCACATCATCTTCCACTCACTCCTCAAACCTGCCCACCTTGCCGGTGTACATACTTCAGAAAGCCACAGCAGTTGGCACCTGTGTTTTTACAGCATGTAAAGTCTGCAAAGGACATTTGGAAATTGTTTTAGAATTGTATTCAGGCAACAGTTTTCCCTATAAACTGACCTCTCAGTTTGACTTGTGAGGATATTGCCCCAGAATTACAATATTGCTGAAGTACCTATTAGCTATTGATCACTGGTTTAAATATAGCAGCTTGTTATCTGGTAGTTTCTAGTGTAGAAAATATCAATCTGTTTTCTATCACTTAGATCTGTGTAACAAGTGTTGTAGGTGTGAAACAATTTTACAAGTGACCGATGTAGTAGTTACGCTTCGATTTGACTCTCAGATATGAAGTGAACACCCCAAATATACTATTTAGCACCAAAAAAAAAAAAGACTTTTTAAAACTCCAATGTAAGCAGCAGATTAGCAGCAAAACAATTAGAATTTTTACAACTACGCAGTAAGCGCACTGTTTGACGCTTCTATTTGACTCTCAGGTATGAAGAGCGCGCCCAAAATGTACTATTTACCAGTTTAGCAGCAAAACAATTAGAATGTTTACAATTGCGCTGTAACCGCAGTATTTGACGCTTCAATTTGACTCTCAGATATGAAGAGCAGGCCACAAAATGTACTATTTAGCAGATTAGGACCCAGAAAATAAGAATGTTTACGACTGCGCTATAAGCACAGTATTAGACGCTTCTATTTGACTCTCAGATATGAAGAGCAGGCCACAAAATGTATTATTTAGCATATTAACACCCAGAAAATAAGAATGTTTACCACTGCACTGTAAGCACACTATTAGACGCTTCTATTTGACTCTGATATATGAAGTGCAGTCCGCAAATGTACTATTTAGCAGATTAGCACCCAGAAAATTAGAATTTTTACAAGTGCGCTGTAAGCACACTATTAGACGCTTCTATTTGACACTCAGATATGAAGTGCACCCCACTAAAATACTATTTAGCAGTTTAGCACCCAAATAATTTTAAGTTTTAAAACTGCAATGTGACAGCAGTGTTTTACAATTCTATTTGACTCTCAGATATGAAGTGCACCCCACTAATGTACTATCCCACTAATGTACTATTTAGCACCAAAAACATTTACTTTTTAAAACTCAGATGTAACCGCGGTATTTAAAGCTTCTATTTGACTCTCAGATATGAAGTGCACCCCACTAATGTACTAATTAGCACCAAAAACATTTACTTTTTAAAACTCAGATGTAACCGCGGTATTTAAAGCTTCTATTTGACTCTCAGATATGAAGTGCACCCCACTAATTTACTTTTTAGCACCCAAAAAAATTTAAGTTTTAAAACTGCAATGTGACACTTCTGTTTGACTCTCAGATATGAAGTGCACCCCACTAATGTACTAATTTGCAGAATTCTTTCCTAAGCTGTTCCTATCAGCGGCAGCATCCTCTCCCTACACTAATAAGACCGCATGTGCGTGTGGCGCCACGCGACTCCAGCTTATATAGAGAGGCTGGGTCACATCCTGCAGTGGCCAATCACAGCCATGCCATTAGTAGGTATGGCTGTGATGGCTTCTAAGGGCACACGAGTCAAACGCTTGATGATTGGCTGCCCTGCAGCCTTTCAAAACACACCATTAAATCGCCGAACTCCAACCCGAACGTACAGTGATATGTCCATGTTCGGATCTGGGGGCCAAAAACCTAAACTTTGCGGTTCGGGTTCGCTCAACTCTACACAGGACTCCAAAGATATATACACACTTGTACGTCGAAGAAGCCCCGGTCACGTTCGATAGGCTCAGGGAACGCGCCCCACTATCCAACAGGGACTATTTTAGGTACCTACAAATACGTGACTTAGCATCCAAACCAGAGGTGCGAGCATCAGCTGTCCGCCCACTTAAATTTTTTTGAGCAAATTTGCTTCCAAGAAAATCAGCCAAAAAGCCTAATTTCCCTCCTGTACAGCCACCTCAGTGTGGATGCTAACGAATTAGGAAACATCAGATATACCGATCTGTGGGAGGCAAACCTTGCCGAGGTGCTGGAGGGCACGGATTAGCAATACATATGGGAGGCATGCACACATTCCTCCATCTGCGTAACCCTCCAAGAGCAATCGATCAAAACACTATTTCGGTGGTACACCACCCCACTCAAACAACACCACATGAAACTTAGCCCCACTGACACCTGCTGGCGATCCTGTGGTGAAAAAGGAACCTACATACATATGTGGTGGAAATGCCCCACTGTCAGTCTTTTCTGGAAGGGAGTGCTAGAACTAGGTTCTAAAATATTACAAAGGACATTAGATTTAGACCCATGGGCATGCTTGGTATCCAAGCCTACTGAGGGACTCCCCCGCCATGAACAGAAACTACTCAACATGATGGTGGTTGAACACTAAGCTCCCCTCCCTCTCATTGGTAGTGGCCAAAATAAAAGACAACTATCTTATGGACAAGCTGACATCACAGGTCCGCAACACCACTGCCACCTTTCAGAGAGTTTGGGACCTATGGGAACAATACACAGAGGAAATGGGATTGTAGGTCATGAGAACAATCACACCGAACGACATACAACACCACCCCTGTGCCGTGGGATTTTGAGATTACCTTTCTTACCTTTTGACAATAAGGGTATGGTAAGACTTGAGTATGCATCCTACTTCTACGCCATCTGCACATACACTTCACGGACAGGGGAGCTCACTCTATTGCTACTCCATGCCTCTCTGACTCAGGGGTTTTGCCATTCCACAGCCATTCATGACTATTGACGTTGGCTCCGAGTGATTCCAAATGTCTCTCACCACTTAATACCTACACACAAATACAGTTAGCGCTAAATTAACCGCACCACACTGCCACGTTTATCCTACAATCTTAAATATTTCATCAGAAAACACGAATAACAAACCAAAAAGAAAACTCGAATGAACAGAAACTGTGTCACTGGGAGCAGTGGTGCGAATGAACTACGGCTGCCACCTACATTCCCCGCATAGCGAAGCGCACACACCCCTAATGGCCATACTGCAGGTACTTTTCCTACCTTTCTGTTATACCTTTATTTTTCCTATGTTTAAACAAAATACTTTAAAAGTTGGTCACTGCTTTTCTCACAAAGGGATACATGATCTGGAATACTGTAACAAATTATTTTTGAACATTTAGGCATCTATATTCCAAATGTGTGTCATGGGCTCCTCATACCCATTCCCTATTACTAGCTGAAACTTAACCTGTTTAATGAGTGCTGGGGAAGTGTTCTACCTGAGAAGCTGACAGGTACCCACTAATTACATTTTCCGCTCGCTCCAGGCCTTTGGCTGAATACCATTACTGGGAAAGTCTAGAGCAGGATGTTTGCTATAAAGAGTAGCCAAGCAGTGGTCTTATGGTCCCTTTAGATAATAGACCCAAACCTGCAGCAAGAAGCGAAGCCATAGGTAGCTGTGCTTCTTACCTAAATAACAGCTGCCATCTTGCTTGCTTTACAGTGTGTGATATCGCATGCACAGTGCAAACACCAAGGGAGCTGTGTTTAGACCTTAACCATGCTCATTTGCACTCTACACTAGACACCAGAGAGGAGACCTGGGCATGTAGAGAAAAGGTGAAATGAGTAAAGAGGGCATAAAAGGACAGCGATAGTAAGTGGCATTGAAGCATTAAAACATATAAATGCCGATTTTGGTGAAATGGCAGTTTTTTGTGAAAAATGACAAAAAAATAAAATAAATATGAATGCAAACTATGGCCAGGGTTTATGACTAAGTGGCTACTAAAAAATACCAATCATACCCCATTTTGATACCGTGGGTTGTCAACTTTTGCAAATGGTATGCCATGATAATTGTATTTTAGTTCCTGGGCTATCATACGGTCTCAAAAACACATAGGCCTAGCAAACCAATCTGGCAAATCTCAATGTGTAAGAACTGAAAAGGGGGATAATCCCTGTATTTGACCCTGCAACTTTCCAGAACCCCATGAAACTTGGACTTGTGAGATATCGCTGAACATAAATATGTGTATTTTGTTGCAGTAAAAGTATTATGACATTCACAGCTTAAATGCAATGCA